GGCCGGCTTGTCAGGATTGGTTGCAGTACTGAGGTACTATCGGCCAACCACAGCAAGGGATAGGCAAGCAGAGAGGACGGAGGGAGCAGGATGTTGCCGATCATGACATAAAGCGACCAGGTCTGCAGGCCAGGAAAAGGCCTCCTCGATGTGTCAGGAGACAGGCGATCCAGTCCAGCGCTAAAAGAGGTCTGACCTGACGGGCATGGCTCAGGGACCTGGGGGACCAACAAACCGGGGAGTATTAGGGCAACAGGAAGGGTTTTCAGCCTTTCCATCCCTCCTTCTTCCCTGCAACAGCCGCCGCCTGCTGCTCCCAGCTTGACACTCTTGCCCCGACTAGAAAGGGGCCCTCCAAAGTCCCGGTATAATGATGACGACAAGATGCAACGCTGAGCGATGGGCGCAGGCCTTGTCGAATTGGAAGAAAAACTGTAAAACGGAGTGTGGTGGGTTTGTTCTGCCTGCGCCTCAATCAAGGTAGACAGTAATGATGTGCCGCAGCACCGGTACTACTACCACTTAGTGGGTGGTGCGTACTGCCATCACAATGTGTTTCCTATGTTCACCGGCTGCGGACCCCAACCGGTGCTCGAACTTGACCTTTGACCTAGGTGCGTGTTCCTTGTCGCCCGCCCGCATTTACGCGGGTGATGTCATGCTGTCATGCTTGGTTTCGAAACGGCGGGAAGAAGGCGGAGTCTAATTTTCACGGCTATAATCAAGGGTCGTCTTGTCTCGTGTCGGATGGCGGCAGTGGCTTGGGGGTTCTGTTCGACGCCTTGGCTATGAGAACATCTGCAGAATAGGATTAGGATCCGTTCCTCAAACCAGTCAAAGGGAGAGGCGAGAAAGAAAGAAAAATAAGAGATCGATTTGAGGGACTGCATTCATGATGGCGGTTTTGGTAATCTCACATCTCATTCTCGATCAAGCAGAGAAGAGAAGAGGAGTTAGCTTGCCTGTAGACAGTGTCACTGTCGTTGGCAGGAGGGGAGGAGGGTCATTTACATACCAATCATTATGAGGAGCAGCAGCAGCAGCAGCAGCAGCAGCAGCAGCAGCAGCAGCAGCAGCAAAGTCGTGCAGCCGAAGAAGCCTCGAAGAGCTGTTGAGGGTAGATGGTGATGCTGATGGGCGGCGGGTGCAGACCCGAAGCGACGATCTTTGCAGTACATGGCAAACACCGTGGCACAACTCTGTTGGAGCAGGGCATCCCACCACTCACTCTCGTCCCCAAACAGTACACAGTGCACAATCCTGATACTGAGCTAGTGCTGTTCGGGTTCTGATAGGGATCCTGGCTATCCTCTTTCTGTCCACGATGCGCATGTGGACATGGGCATGTCTTCTCAAGATGCCAATGACGACCTGCGAGGACCCTGCAGGAGGAGGCAAAGCCAACAAGGGCTTGTACCATAGTACCGTAGTACAAAAGTGCCAGCTTGCCAGGGGGTCTGGTAGGAGGGAAAGAGTTTGAAAGCATGGATCCTCCTGTCTGCAGCGTATCCAATTTTTTCGCTTCTTCTCTCTTGGGCCAATCTTGACGGTGTGTGTGTACGAAATTGGGTCAATCGACGAATTTGAGTTGCCCAGTCAGGCAGTCAGCATCCATGACCCGCCCCCACCCGGGTGAAGAAACGGTTTCTTGATGGTTGAGATAATCGAGGTGGACATGGAGAAGGTACATAGTAATCTGATAGGAATGGCGTGTCGACTGAGTATGACGGAATGGCCTGACTGATCGACGAGGCTGATCAAGGAAAATAACTTGCAAGAGCTGGTCAGCGTTTCTTGACTGGTGATGGTAGTTGTGGTAGTTGTTTCGCCCAAGATTGGGATCGGCTAAGCTTGAGATTGATGAGGCGGGACGACCATCAATCATCACCTGCAGGGCAGTGTACCATAGTATTGTGGCAGGAGCGGGTGGCAGTTGAGCGTTGTCAATACTTTCTATGTGCAGTACAGTACAGTGCCTGGCGTCAACTCAAATACAGGTACAGTGCAGTGAGACAGTAGCATGCAGCACACATGGCAGCATGCCACGGCAGGCACCCCCACCGGCTGCCCCTAGCTGATTCGGGTTACTGCCTAGCTGTCAAGGAAGAAAAAAGAAAGAAAAAACCCAAACCCCCCCCCCCCCAAAAAAAAACCACCAGAGGAAGGGTCTAACTGGGCCACATACTGTACAGCACAGAATTATCATAGTAGGATGGCCATACGGTGTTGCCGCTGTGGTTCGGCCCCCGCCTCCGTCCCCTCTCAGCATGCAGACGGATGGAGATATTTCATAATGATGACTTTTACAACGCACTGCAGAATGTGTGATTTGTGTTAGTTCCCCCTTCGTCTCATCATCTTTCGTCATCATGGTCATGATGCGATCTTCTTGGGTAACGGGTTCGTCAGACGCACGAGTCCACAACCCGATTACATAGTACAGGAACTTCGTACAGAAGTACGTACCACAGTACAGAAGTACATACAGATTTGTATATGATGATCCAATCCTTTGCCACGGCCCCATTTGAAACAATACTGTGTACCCTCATCAGAGTACACAGTACAGTATCCCACTGACGGACGGGGTTTATTACCTCACCGGAATTGTGCATGGTCTCCTGCATGGTCTGTCCTACGTACAAACTTGTCGCAACTCGCGCGCCGCCCTTCTTCCATATTCTGCTGATGATCGACAAACGGCGCATCCAGCGACCCACTTACCCCCCTCCGCTCTGACGGCGGCAACCAGGCAGAGAGACCCAAGAGAGACACGGCAGGACATCGGAATGATGATCAGGAGAAATCCTCCACGGGAGTAATTATGGAAACATTTTTTTCTTTTCTTCCCAGTCTTCCCACCAACCATAGATGATTCCTTTTCTGACCTCATCGGTTTCTATGCAGGATCGTTAATGTCGCCGGCAACTAGGAAAATCAGCTGCTTCTACGCATGGGGCTTGCAGCCTCAAGCAAGGAGAGAAAGGAAAGGGAGAGAACAACAAGAAGGACAAGAAAAACCACCAAAAACAACCTCTCTTCTTTCTCCACCCATCTTCATGCAGTGTCTCCAGAACCTTCGGCTGCGTTGCCAAGGAGGGGCCACCCCCTCAAATTCTGCTCGACGATCAGTGAGGATCGCTGGCATGAATCGCCGCTCGTGATGCACCGGGGAACCCACGCCGCAGTCATTGGCATTTCTAGCGGTGACCCGGTGGCCAACGGTGGCCAACAAACAGAATAAGTGATCATCGCCGCGACCCTCATCAGACCTCCTGCTCCGGCAGCCGGCCGAGTCAGGGCTTTGTGTCTCGCTATGGATCCGTACTGTGACATTTACTGTATAACGCAGCAAAACAAGCATGTGCGCATGCAGGGCATAGGTGAAAGAAATGCGAATGGTACCTATCCCGCAGAGCAAGATGCGGGAGAACTGTCACGTACCGCTACACACAAAAAGATGTGCCGTGTGCTTCTACGTGTAGATCCCCGGATTTTAATACGAGCAAATGAAAGAGGGAGGAGGGAGGTCTGACAGGGTTGGACCCAACCGGCAGTCCTGGCCAACGCCTCGGGTGACGTATCTTGGCGGGAGGACCCTTAATCCTTGACCCTCTCTCCTTCCTGGAAAGTTGGCAGGCAAAGAGGGCGGGCAAGGCAGGAGCACAAGGCAGCGAGCGCACCAGTGAGCGGCAAGAGCAAGCAGCCAGCACACACCCGCTCTGCCGCTGTGGTGGAGGCGAGTCGGCCCCTTGGCCCCATGTCCAGGTGTCACCTGTTCCTGCTGGACCGTTCCTGACAGTGGATGGGGGTGCTACAATTTTCAGTGGCTCTCCAGGGGGCTGCTCGTCAGCCACTTCGAAGCCTACTCAGGCCCAGTGCCTGTCTGCCCCTGCCTCTCACTATATACTGTGCTGACATGCAAGCGTCAAGTACTAACCACGTATGTACATAGTACGTAGTAGGGTACAGTGGCACAAGACAAGGGGGTGGCCCAGCGGTGCAAGGGTATGGGACAGGGGACCACACAACATGGGTTAGAGTCACCGAAGCTCTTCCTGTGCTGTGCCCTATCTTCTTCTCCCCTCTAACGCGCGCATCACAACCTCCCCTCCTCCTCTTGTCACCCCCCCAAAAGAAAGACCTCCCACCTGCAGTGCTACGATATGCAATTGGATCCTCTTTTTATTTTTCCTTCCACCTCACCTCGTGAGGCCCAGCACGTAACAATCTCCTCCTCCCCTCAATTCTCGTGGCAGCCCCGCCGATATTTTTCTGGCTTCCCACTCTGATCTCTGTCCCCCTTACCTGAGCACTAATTGAAACCCTTCTTCCTTTCTTCTCCCTCCTACTTTTTCTCATCTTCTCACGAACCTCACCACCACACCACGATCACACACAGGTGCTGAATCTTTGCAAGGATTACCCAGTATCGACATCGGCGGCGCCTAGTCACAAGATCACGTTGTGAGAGCGGACCTCCGCACCCAATACAGATTACAGTACGATAACTCTACTGTGGCAACTACGGTGAGGACGAGGCGATACAAGTAAATAAGAGAAAGAAGAAGAAAGAAAAAAAACCAAAGCGGAAGAGACAGAGAAAGGCAGAGGGCGCTCGCATGGAAGATCAGTCACCCATCAATCCTGTCCCTTGCCTTGGTTTTCAACTGGACTGGGTCCACTCCACCTTCCTATATCTCGCCCAAATTCCGAGTCCACGACTCAGGCACACCACGCAGTCAGCTTCCGGCACCACTCAGGCGCCCACTGGTGTTTCCCATCCTTAAACGACCACGAACACCACTACCATCTTCAGGCTAATACTCCCTGGAGCCAACAACACACACGCCTTGACATCAACAAAACTTTCCCATCCTGCCACACCCGGTAGACCGACTCCTCTAGACACGCAACACACTCTGCGTACATCGCACATTATGGACGAGGTCCCTCAGTCACCGAATCGATTCGACGAATACCCTCGACAGATGCCAGAAATGGCTCGTTCAGACTCGTCCTCAGCCTCATCCGTCGGTGGTGACTCTTCGCTCCCACAGATTGTCGCACCCGTCCCCGTACGCCCACGTCTCCCGAGCCGCAAGAGCAGCGGCACGATAATAGTGCCACGGGAGTCGGCAGAGGCTGTCGAGCCGGCGGAGTTGAGGTTAGATCCTGGCGACGTCCGCGCTATGAGCCCTCGGCGGACGAGCGAGGACCTGGAGAATCTCGGTCGCGAGGCAAGAGACGAGCTGCGGAGGTGAGTTCACATACGCCAGCAAGAACTAGCACAACGCCGGGCGCGAGATTGCACCTATGCACACTACACTCGTGGGGAACCGCTGCTGACTGATGACGAACACTATTACAGACACGCAAAGGCCCTACAGGAATCACTGGTCGCAATCTTCAACCGTATTGAGGCCGTCAAGGAAGAGCACGACAAGCTCGACAGCAACAATAAGTTCCTGCAGAAATACATAGGCGATCTCATGAGTACTAGCAAGATCACGGCCACGTCGTCAAGCCGGGCCAGAAAATGATACCAAACACATCGAGATCATGATTCCTTACGGCGAGCGAAAGGCAGAGCAGAAGCGCAGCAGAGACTGGATGCCTAAGAAGTGCCGTAGGAAGGAAAATTACAGAAAACAGGCAAGAAAAAAAAAGGGGGGGGGGGAGGGGGTAAAGAGGAGACGAGAGAGCTACGGCGATGGAGCGGAACTACGGACGAGCATCCGCGAACACATTCAGTTGACCACATCCGGCTACGTCATGGAGACTACAGCAAATTCTACGACTGGCGGTAGTCGCTTACCATATTGCACGGTTTGGGATGGGCAAGGTGACACGACGCCATGGTGTCACCGGAGATCTGACGGCGCTTGGTCGTGTGGCTCACGGGATTGGATGAGCTCGGTGTGATTGGCATCAGCCGGTCAGCACACCGCACTGGGGAGGGTGATGCAAGGACAGGAAGAAAGAAGACGAGACAGGGCCAGCTCGCAAGCGATGAGAGGCTGCTGGCTTCAGGAAAGCCGACGGAAACAATCCAACCAAATACTCGTGGACGCAAGACAAAGGTCCCTCTTTTCCTTCCAAGCCCCAACCGATCAACCAACGAACAAGAAGACACCAGCACCACCACCAGCACATCACCACCGTATGTTGTTCGCCACCGCCAATAGGAGGCCCAAGGAAACCGAACACTTGAAACACAACCAGTCAAGACGACACTCTCTATTTCTATCAACGCTCATCATTCGGCGGCGCAACCCAGGGGGGAAAATTGTGCAAATTTTATACCACTTCATCAACACTAAACCATTTATGTCTCCTTCTTCATCACCGCCTCGCGGCCCACCCAAGACCGGACAGACAGCATATTCCACGGGGTTTGTTTTCAAGCATCTAGCAAGAGGGGTTTAAACAGGCATTCACAAGGACAAGGGGCTGGATAGCATCATGCCCTCGGCGTTGGTGTGTTTTGGAATTACAATGTTCTTTGCTCTTTTGTTTTATTATGTCGGCGTCTAATGATATATCACTGTACTGTACTCGGAACAGGTAGCGGAGGAGCGCGAAGGCAACGCTGGCACCACAGGAGAGGCAGCAGGCCTCACGAGCATGAGACTCAAGAAACTTAGATACCAGTCAGAGATCAATCAAGGTGGCCTCAGTCCGGAGGCTCGACTTCTTTTTATTTTCAACTTCTACTTATGCTGTCTCCCACTGTGTTCTTCATGAGAGCGAAAGAAGACGGGCATCAAACCCTCACCATCTCCGTCATCTAATGTATCAGACAAAGATGCTGTGCCTTTGTTAGGATTCCTCCCAGATTGGAGAGGCTGAAGGATACTCCACATTTGTTCACTTTTCTCGGGCATCCAGGAGGAAGGGAGAAGTGAGAGATGGATCACCGGTCTACACAATTACACCTCTCGCTCCCGAGCTGCTATGTTGGTTCGAAATCCCCCTGCCCCGTTGGACCGGAGCCCGTGATGCAAAGAGTGGAGTGTGTATATTTACAACAAAGTCTGGTTGTGCCATCCTTTGGCCCCTCTGCTTCAGGAGCGAGGATTAAAGTGGCCAGGTACTACTATGTACTCTGCAACGCATGTCATTCTTGTTTTTGGGGGGGGGGGGTTAATGTTTTTTTTTTTTTTATTCAAAGAAAATTTATCTCTCTTTGTAGCTCACCTCACCGCCCCTCTCTTTTTCTTTCTCTCCTTCTCTTTGTTCTCTTCTAGATTTTACTTTTCTCCTGTATTTTTCTCCCCCCTCTGGTTTCTTTGCTTTTCCCTTTGCCCCGCCTTACCCACAGTCGCTGGTGTTCTTTCCAGTAGGGGTCACAGCCACTGATGTAGAAAAAAGGAGGGGTTGCTACCTAGTAGTAATAGGTTTTTGCGTAGTGCTTACTTGTACATAGTATATGTTCCCCCCCCCCCCCCCTTCTTCATCTTCCTTTTTTTCTTCTCTTCCCCTTGGCTCATGTACCATGTTTGCATGTATGAAAAGACGAGAGGACGCAATGCGCTGCTGTGAATGAAATTCTGGACAGGATTCCAACACACCAGAGAGAGCGGTGAGTGGTTTTGATGAGGTAAGAGAGGCATAGCAGGCTGAGCTGCACTTACCCCCTTCGAGTCATGGATCAACGAAAGGATGATCACATCGAAGGGATGATCACATCGCGGCATGTCGACATATGTACATAACCGCGGGCTTACCTTACAGGTCGCACCTGCTTAGTACGTTGTTAGGTAACGCAGCCACGTGCCGGCACAGCGTGGCGACTTAGCTAACCTGACGTACATGGCATGTCATGTGAGGTGTGGGGGCAAAAGAGGAGGAAGAAAAAGTCATGGAGGAAAGAAGAAATTTTATGTCATCATATAATGAGTCCTTGTTATGCGGGGCAGAAATATTGGGTATTCCTGCAGCAGTGGATTAGAGACATAGTCAAAACTAAATGAAGGGGACACAGAAAAAAGCAAAATCGGTGCGAAGCAAGTATGGCAGAGTGGTTCGGGGAGGCGTAGTATGTGCTGGGATCATGGTTTGATTACCTGCTTGTCAGATCAGATCATGCAGATGAGGCTTGGCTGGCGGCCCTTTTCAAGGGTCCAAGGTGGCTGATTGATATGGCTAATGGTGTGCTGCGTTGGCGCGCGCGATGCGGCTTTTGGAGCACTTGTAGATGCGAGCAAGCTGAAATATGTATCAGGGCTACACGATTGATTGGACTGCCAATTCAGTTGATCAAATTGGGATGCCAGAAAATGAGTGAGGAGAGTGGGGTTGGGATGGAACTTACGTACCTATGAGGGCTGTTTCTTCAAGTAAGTGCTTACTGGACGTACATATATGTTTTCAAGTAATCTAGAAAAGCTCTCTCACACACTGATGCTGATATCAAGCAGGAAGTAGCGACGAGGTGATGTTCACGATCGCCGAAGGAGGAGTGGGGCAGGTCCTTAGTCATATTGCTAACTAGCCGTCCGCTCTGCCTGGCGCGACGGATTAACGGATTTACCGGGCCAGTGCTCAACGGAGTCAAGGACCCCAGTCAACGAAGCCCCCCCCCCCCTTCTTCGTTGGCGACGATGTGTGCCTTGTTGCATACTGTATTGCCTCTACAGCCGACAGCCAGTCGTATATGCGCCGATTCTTGTGTTATCTACTTGTGTTGTTCCGCTGGCCCTATCATATCCAGTTTTACTAGGAGGCCCTTCGGATTTACGGTCGTCTTGACCCGAGCTCCTGTATCTTGACCTCAACCCGGAACATCCGCCGAAACGATCATTTTCACATATAGAGACACCCACAATTGCACATACACATACATAGTGTAGCCCAGGGCCGGCGTTGCAGCCGACTCGGCGTGGTCCCTCGGGCCGAGAGGACCGACAAGATCGACGGGGGACGGCGGGGATTGGTGTTGAGGATCAAGGACGAGGATGGAGAAGAATCCAAAGGCGTGCGAGCCCTGCCGGAGGCGAAAGATCCGGTGTGATGGTAAAATACCGTGCAGCCGCTGCGACAAAAAGCCCTCGGAGTGTGTTTATCGTCTTCGCACCCGTGTCAGGAAGACAGGTGCCCGCCGTGCTGCTGCTGCTGCTGCTGCTGCTGGCGCCGCCGCCACACCTGCTGTCAGCAATGCCGCACAGGCAACACCCCCTGATGGGAGGAACATCGACGAGCAGGACCCTTCTCTCTCAAACCAAGCCGTATCCTCGTCATCTCCGGCATCAGGTCGCAGCAAGCGAGGAGGAGGAAGAAGACCCAGGCTGCACTCGGCGTACAGCACCGTGTACCAGAGCGTGGCGGCAGCTCATGACAACGGCAGCGGTAGGGACTGGACTGAAAACTCTCGCCTCTTCTATGGGCCTTCGTCACAGTTTGCATTCCTCCAGCAGGTTCACAGGGCTATTATTACCTCCTCCTCCTCGTCGTCGTCTTCATCTTCCTCCTCAGCACCGCAGGGCCAGCCGGACCACGAGGTGCAGGAGGGCGGCGAAGGGTTGGACTTGTTCTTACAACGCGCCTTCTTCTTTGGCACCGCCTCGCGTGTCGACATGAGCTCCATGTTTGGCTCTTCTTATCCCTCCTCCAGTGCGGCCGGCGTCCCCCTCGAACAGGCCGAGGAGTTCCTACGGGCGTACAAGGGCTGGACCGCTCGCATCCTTCCCTTCTATACTGACGACGAGCTGGATGGGATGCTGCGCAGCCTGTATAACGGCGACAACAATAACAGCAGCAGCAGCCAATCTCAGGCTGGTCGGCCCACGCAGATGAGGGCGCTTATGCTGGTGATGCTGGCTGATGGGGCGCTGGCCACACCGCACACGGACACGGCAGAGATGCTCCTGACCCGGGCCAGGCACGAGGCGGTCGTGTTCGAGGACACAGTCAGCCTGCAGATGGTGCAGTTTTCCTTGCTGGTGGCGCAGTACCAGGCCGATATTGGCAGGCCGAACCAGGTGTATCTCGCCCTGGGTACCGCATGCAGGAAGGCTTTCGCCCTGGGGCTGCACCGCGAGTCCGTGAACGACCTGTGCCGGCGGGCCGAGGATGTGCACAAGTTCCGCACAACGCTGTGGTGCCTGTACACCCTCGAGAACTCGTACTCGATAAGCGTGGGAAGAGAGAGCTCGCTGCGCATGGCCGACATCTCGTCGCCTTTCCCCGAGGGACAGCCTCTTCTCGTCAGCCTCTGCCGCCTCGCCCACATCACCGAGCACGTGAACCGCGTCATCTACACCCAGCGTTACGACTCCCTGCGCGGCCTGTACGCCGCGGCCGAGGCTGTCCATGTCCAGCTCCGGGACTTTGCCCGTGAAAACGGCATCGCCGCTGGAGAGGGTGTCGGCGGCGGCGGCGGCAACAGCAACAGCAGGGTCGTCTCACAGGAACCTGCGTCGCTGATACTACACAGCCTCTTCTACCATACCATCCTGCTCACGTACAGGCCGTTCCTCGTGGCCGACCATGCCCTGAGCGCTGCTAGCCCTGAAGGCGGGATGAAGAACATTAACAGCAGCAGCAGCATCAGTGGCGGCGGCGGCGGCGGCGGCGGCGGCAGCGGTGGTAGTGCGATGTGGCTTCGCCAGGCGTGCAGGACAGCCATTGACTCGGCACAGGACTGTATCCTGTACGCGCACTCGCAGATCAAGAAGCACGAGGCTTGTCGGGGGTGCCGATACAACGGCTTCTTCTTCGAGTCGAGCTGCGCCGTCCTGTTCTTCGACATTCTGCACCACCCATCCAGGTACCCTTATAACGCGGAGTACATCCACATGGCCCTGCAGTCCCTCGACTCCATGGTCCACGACGAGCCCATCACCAACGCCCGCCGGTCCATCCGCCAGATCCTGCGCGTGGTCGAGGATACCATTGCTAAAAAGACCGCCGGCGGAGCCACGAGTGTTGTGCTAGGCCTTGCAGATCCCCTAACCCGCCAGCAATCAATGACAAAGACCACGAACCCATCACTGCCGTCACCGGTGTCGTTTTTGGGCCAGAATGACAACAACCACTACCAACACCAGCACCAGCAGCCAGTGGCCACATTTACATCTGCATCCTCATCATCCTATGCACAGTTCCCCTCGCTCAACGGGCCCAGCCAGCAGCTCATCTACTTCTCCGACCTGGGCGGTGGTGGTGACGCTGCTGCTGCTGTTGGTGGTGCTGCTGGGGATGGCGGCACCCCTTGCCAGAATCTTCCCTCGGCAGACGCCGAGGCAGGCGGCGAGTGGCTGGACCCTCTTTCGAATTTCCACTACGACGTCCTGGCGACCGATCTGTACTCCTTCTTCCCATTAAACATGACGCCGCCAGATGGGGCTGGCGGAGAAGATGGGGCACCTGTGGGATGAGAATGTCTGCTTCTTGAGACAAATCATATGACATATTGATTATTGTAATCATGTATGGGTACAACTCCTTGTTTGAAATTGGGTAATCGAATGGACCGGGGGGGGGGGGGGTGGGGAATCATGTAGTCTGTCTAAACGAATGCTATCTGGCTTTGCAGACTTTATCTCCATATACACCTCCCTTCAACTAGTGAGTGAGTGACAATAGCTCCCTTCGTTCTTCATTCTTTCAGTATACTCTCTTGTCCAAACACACCCTCATAAACACACAAAAGAATCTCACAACAGGGTAGCCATGGCGAGGAATACCGAAGCAAGCGCCCAGCCAGCGCTATAAACCCGCCCAGCCGCATTGTCCTTGTCATCAGACTTGGTATCCTTCTTGTCGCTATCCGACGAGGAGGACGACTTCTCCTTGTCCGCACTCGTGCAGTTCGTGATCCCACCGTACAGCATGACCCGGCCCTCTGTGTAGTTGAGGTACTCGACCCCCCAGCCTTGCCACTTCTGAAAGTCGCTGACGTTGCGGCCCTCGTAGGTCAGGTTCAGGCCCGCGGTGCCGTCGCTGTGGTTGTACACGCCAAACTCCCACGTGCCCACGGCGCTGTCGAGGGTGACGCTGTGGCCCTCCTCGACGTTGGTGTGCGAGGCGACCTGGTTGCACTTGCTGTCGGTGATGGAGACGTTGAACTTGGCTGGGGTGTTGTCGTCGCTCTTGGTGTTGTTGTTGTCGGTCTGGGCGGCGATGACGACACCGCACCAGGAGTTGGAGGACGAGGAGGTGCAGCCTGGGTAGGCGGTGGCTGTGGCGGTGGTGCTTGTGGAGGTTGACGTGGAGGAAGACGATGAGGTGGTGGTGGTGGTGCTCGCCGTGGCGGAGGACCAGGCGTCCTCGACGCGGGTCTTGGCCGAGTCAAAGTCGCTGTGGATGTCGTCGAAGATGCCTGGGGTGGCGGTGACGCCTGCGGCAAGGAGGGCCGTGAGGAGGCTGGCGGTGGTGGTGGTCTTCATATTGAGAATGTTTAAGAGGGAGGGTAAGGCGGGAATCACTAGGAACTAGGCTTGAAAGGAAGGACCTCAACTAAAGGAGAGTGAGAAGCAAGACGCACAGCGTCGGAGGGCTAAGATAATACGAAGGTAATACAAGAGTCGAAAAGAAGAACGTGCTACATCCAGCCTGGGAGAGCGATAGGAGAGAATGAGAGAATGAGAGATTGAGAGACAAAGAAAAGCGAAGATAGTAGTGAATGATGGATAGTGAGTGCCAAGACTTGATGAGAAGGAAGAAGGGTGAAGGCCCGCGATATAAATTAGAAAAAGAATCTAGGTGCCTATCCTGCCCTGCCTGGAAAACACCCACTCATCCGTCCATTTCCACGGCCCCTATAGAGATCGTCGTCTGGCCTCGCTCAGTTCGTAGAACGGGAAAGAAACGCAGGCGAGACACAAGTGTGCTGACTTTGATGGCCGCGCTGACGGCCGGATGGGGGGCAGGGCACCCGAGCCCGGGACGGAGGAGAAGCATACACAGCATGGCTGGCGTTCAGCGCAGAAAGAGAAGAGAAAAAGAGGAATGACGGGTAAATTCAAGCTTCTTCTTCTTCCCGGGGCCGGTGAGAAAGGGTCTTGGCCCGGGCCGCGCCCGTCAGATCGGGTGGGCGGCGTTTCGGGTCTGGCTCGCAGTTGATGATGGAAAGTGCCGGTGGTTGCTGGAGAGAGAGGCTTTGCAGCAGAAAATGTTTGGTGGTGCGGTGGCTGGGCTGTGCTTACGTGTGCCTCCTGGTCGTCTCTTGATTTTCTTTTCCGTTTTCCTTGCCTCTCTCCACGCTCGTCAAACACTAGGCTCTCTCTTGTCTGGTGGTCACTACTATGGGCTTTGGGCCTGCCTACGATGCTTCATTCATTTGCCTAATTGGTTCATGTTTATGCCAGCAGGATGCATTAGACGTCATTGAGCCATTTGGTCATGATGTGGGCTTAATGCAGAAGAAGATCGGAATGCAGAATCTTTTCGAGAAGGGAACATTTGTGCATGATGATGACGTTGAAGTCGTTGAGGAAAAGGTTATAGCATAATAGTTGTGTGAGCCTGTTCTGCGGGCTTGATGCAGTAGACCTCTTGTTACGTGCATAGAGCTGAGAGACGTTGTTGTACACCATGTCTACCCTGTGTGCTTCCTCACATTTGGGCCAACAGAAAGATGAAGTGACGAGCGTGTTTCCTGAATGAAAGCCCTGCAGACCAATTTCGGAGTGTTCTTCGCCTCGAACCATACTCACCTGGCCTCGTTTCCGAGCCCTAAATCGAGTATTGCCATCTCTCCATCTCTCTCCATAGATGCCCTCGACACTCATGGCCTCACCTACCTGCCTATCACTCAATCCAGGAGATTCGAACTTGGAATCCGACTCGTCATATCGGCATCCCCTCCTTTGCCCTCGTCAAGGAGAGCTCACCGACAGGAAAGGAGCACATACAACATAGCCGATCCTCGGGTCAGGTAGAATACATATAGGGGATAAAGTATGGAGCTCAGGCGGGTACGCATGTACCTCAGCATCTCAACGATGCCAACAACGTTGAACGTTGAAGAAAAGAAAATTGCCTCTTCCCTGGCGGTCACGGATGTCGGTCTCGCTACCAGTCTCAGCACAGGGACTCCAGTTCCAGGGGCATTTAACGAGGCACTCTGAAAGCGAAGAGACGCAGACAGGGGCTCATCACGTGTATGACGCGCAATAGCAGCAGGACCGTGGTTGAATCCCCCTTGCTGAAGATCCCAACTTTCCATGAAATCCGGGGGAAGGGAGGCGAAGGGATGAGTTGCTTTCCAGCGAAAACTTAATTTCGTCAAGCGGGCTGATAGAGTTCCGGGCCGCACGAGCCTACATTTTTTTTCCTCTTGAATTTTGCAACGTCCATTGTCACGAAACGGTCCTTCTCGTTATGTTGCATGTACGTAGGACGAGGGAGATTGAGACAGGCAGGAGAGCAAGAGAGAGCCCTCTTTTCGTCTGTGGGGAAAAGTGGAAGAAGCTGTTCTGACGGCACGAGTAAACAAAACGCCTCTGGAAACACTGGCTGACGCGCAAGGGAAACGCATATTGGGGGCGGATCCACCAGGGCCAGGGGGGAGGATTGTTCTCCAGATCGACGTCATGAATGAACAATTATTGATGGGGAATGGAGGATGGCAGTGCACTCTTTCCTCCATCGTCGCACACGCACACAAGGTTCACTGGCAGCCTGTTTTCGTCTGGGCTGAGATCAGATCAGAACGCTGCTCATGGGATCGTTAGCCGGCAAGGGCACAGCTAATGGTGAACGAATAGCCACTCCAGAAACCTGTTGTGGCTACACAAATGGTGGTGAAAAGGGCAGTGTATATGAGACCAAGGCCGGGGGGGCCGGCGTCTGAGACATCGCGTTCCAGTCTGGCGAGACCGGGCTGTGGTGGGTCAGGGACGGGAATACCGGTTTGTCGATTTTCGTACGGATTCCAGAAAGGATGTGTCAATGATTGTCGGGCCTGGCAGGCTGGCAAGACACACGAGGCTTCTCCATTTATTATTACCTCAACCTTGTTTGCCCACACCCACATCTTCGGATCCCAGAAGGAAAAAGGAGGTAAGGAGAGCAGGCAAGGCTCGGCATTTCGTCAAAGACAAGAAGAAGAAAACCCTTCTGCCGCACGACGATCCCGAGGAGAGATCTGCAGCCATCTGCAGTGCCATCCGGGTCGTGCCTTGGTGCTAAAATCGGAAAGAAAAAAAAAAGACAGGTCCAAACAATGAGGCGTTTCTCATCCTAGTGTGGGCCTCATGGCCATGCACGCATCCATCCATCCATCCATCCTACTATACTATGTACAGTAACGCTGTTCATACAATGTACCATACATAGTACATGAGTATGTAATAGAATATGGACACCCGTGGCTGTGTTGCGGTGTGATTTGTACTTGGTGGTTGATTTCCTTCTTTTTCTGCTGGTGATCAACATACTTGCATCTACAGTCACAGTCAAAGAGTCTGCTTTCCTGAAAATCCTGATTTGACCTTGTACCACTGTCAATCACATCACCGCCATCAATGATGATTCTGTTTGGTAGGCTTGTCATGTGCCGTGTATGCCAGGGGGTTGGCCAGCTATTTTAGCACGTGCAGCATTTCATCAAAAACCTGGATCCTGCAACTGCCAGACCATTCACGTACTACATTCACAACCAATAAAAATTGAGGTTGAAGAAATGAGGATTCAAATTTGGATTAGGTCATGGTGTGGTGAGGTGAGGTGAGGTGAGGTGAGACGAGACGAGACGCCTCGAAACGTACAAGGCCTGGGAGGCAGCAGGAGGAGGAGAGAAACTGATCTAAGTTGAAGGACGGGGGGGGGGGAGGCTGACATGGGTGGCTTGCTTTGGTAGGGATGCCCTATCACTGAAGAACAGGGGGTCAGGGGGTCCCTAAGAAGCCCTGGAGAGTTAGTGGGCACCGACAGTCTGGACGCTCTGTGGACGCAGCGCCTAGTCCTGCAAGAGAAAAGCACCAGCCCCCTGTACGTCTCTTGACTGCACTGCAGCAGCAAGCCGACCAATTGACGCCCGGACTGCCTAACCAACAAGGGATACAGCTGCGCATCGTGCTGCTAGATCGTGGCCCTGCAAGCGGTAGGCGGTAGAATGGACGCTCTTGGTATGGGGAATCTCTGACTTATGGATCCAGCAATCTGAATCTGGATCTTGAAAACAAAAATGGGACCTTTTACATATCGTAGGACTTTTTGTGGAAGTTACAGAGTACACAGTTTTGCCATGGTATGACTTGGCTGAAAATCCTGTCACATCTGCCGCTGCGACAAAAAAAGAAACATGAAAAGATTGGGTCTCCTCGTTTTTTCGTTCTCGTCCTTCCTTCGCTCTCTTCACTCTTCCTTATCTGACGTCAAGTGACAAAGTGGGAGAAACGAAAAAAGAACTCATCTTCAGCGTCCAACAGAAGGAGGAGAAAATCCCCAAACAAGGCACTGACACCAACCATGTTGCAAGTGACGAGCGATCGAGCCCCACGCCAGCCTTCCTCCAAACCTAAGTGACGATGAATTGCATACTCCATACCATAGCAGTGATAGCTTTGGTGCTCGACGGGCCTTGAAACAGGGCTGGGCTGGGCAAGGAAAAGACTTACCAGAGACTATACGCGTAAGACTCGGCAGTATTTTCCGTTGCGCCATTATACTACTATTGCCAGAGTACCGCCGCCGGAGCAAAACAAGCGCGGGAGATTACCATACACACAAAAGGGCCAAACCCCTTCGTCCTTCGCGCTGGAGAATATGCGCCTTGACGACGTCAGTATGGGGCCGTTCCCACAATTTTTCTCCCTCTCCCTCCCCCCTGCCCCCTTCTCGTTTGCTCGTGCTCTCTATTCTTTCTAACTGATGGGGATCCCGCATCCCCATATTCCATCTTCCCTAGATCGTTCTCTGCTTGCTAAATCGACCATAAAATCAAATCCCCATTGATACTATTGTGTTTATTCTGCGCTATCTAATTAGGCCCTTTTTTTTTTTTTTTCCTTTTTCCTCTTCTTTTTCTTGCATGGTTCCTTTCTTGGGTCCTTGATCCGCGGTGGGCCAGTGACGGAACCCCACTGACGCTGACGAAAAAGGTCCAGAGCATTTTACATACATAACATAGGAGTGTGCAATACTAAGTAGTAAGTAAAGAGTCAAAAGTCGTCGACGTCGCATTCCCTCGTCTCGCTTCAGCCTCCTCTGGGCCGTTCCCTAATTTCCATTATTTACAGGTGACACACCGACCACACCCTCTTGACCGTGCGCCCCCTGGCTTCAATTCATCTCTAACCGACATTCGATTCGTTGGCCGGGCATAGTTTCTTGACCCTGTCTTCTTTGTTTGTCTGTCTAATCCTCTTGTGGTCTCCTCTCCATCCTCGGCTATCGTCTGGGAAATTCACATCGAGAGAAGAAAAAGGGTGTGTATTATTTGTCTGTGTGTGTGTGTGTTCATCTTAATATGTTTTGGCCCCTCGACCGTCACTTTTGTTGCCTGTTACCACCCCCCCCCCCAAATCCTTTTCCTCCTTTCCCTTTATTCGCCCCGTAAAATCGGATCACCAATCCCACCCCATCACGATCCCCTGGCCCCCCCTCCATATAAGCCCTGTCAGCTCACAGACATTTATTATCTTGGTAAATAAGGCTTGGGTAGCCCCAGACACATACATAACCTCAAAAACAACCTCTCCTCTTAACCTTACCCATTTCCTTTATCCCAACCCCCTCCGAACCTACTGTGGCCATCCAGAAAGTTTGGATCTGGAATTTAAGATTTGGGGGACCTGTTCACTTACTCACACGGGCCAATCTCCCTTACAGGCGAGATCGGAATTCGAGTATATAATCTTTTTTTCCAAGATGGCTGTCACAAGCAGATTACGGGCCATGGGCAGAGCCGCCGCTATGGCCGCCGCCTCTCAGCTTGTCTCGTCAGCTTTCGCCGCGTCCAACACCATCTCGATAAGCCCAACCGAGACACCACCCTCGGACATAGCAGGTGTTGTCGACGTCTCGTTTGCTGGCTTTGGAATAGAACCTTCCAACCTCTTCTCCTTTACAGGTGAAGAGGACACAAACGATTTGTCCATCAACCTGATGGCTAACCTGGCTAATTACACGGGTAAGTTTTGAGTGATTCTCTTTTTGGTTGGTTGGTTTTACTATGAGAGAGGCACAAAAGAAAGGGACAAGAGAAAAAAGAATAAGAGGAAGAATAAGAAGTACTCACACTGGCAAAGGCAAACCACCTCATATACGGCTGGGCGGCAACACGGAGGACTATATGCTCTACGACTCGACGCAGGACAAGTATGCCGAGATCCGTAACACGGATGCCACCGGCAATGGATCCATCAAGTGGGACAGCATGTTGATCGGTCCTCGTTTCTTCGAGGCGGCCAACCGATTTCCCGATGGCACCCCCGTCACCTGGGGCTTGAACTTGGCCTACAACGACGACGACTACATCGACAGGATCACCACCATGGCCCAGCAGGTGTTTGACAGGTGTACCAACCTGGACATTGTGGCCTTTGAAATCGGCAATGAGCCGGATCTGTACTATGCCAGCAGCTTGTTCCGCGACTCGTCCTGGACCGGCGAGGTGTACTCGCAGGAGTGGCTCGAGCGGGCGCAGGCCATCTACGAGCAGGTCATCGAGCCGACGGGTCTGGGCATGAACTTTTTTGAGCCCCAGGCCACCTCCCACACGAGCGGCACCACCTTTGAGATCGAGCAGCTGGTGACAGACGGCATCACGAACCAGACCAACGGCTCGTCGTACGTGACCAACTGGAACCAGCACGACTACACGTACTTTTTCGGCGTGGCCACGTACGACCTGACGCTTGAGGCTGTTATGAGTTTCGATCTCGTCGAGGACCAGCTCGAGAACCAAGCCTCCGACCAGCTTACCCAGTCCGCCGCCACTGCCTACGGCTACGCCCTCCGCGAGATGGGCTGGGTCGGGCCCATCGGCTCTGTCAATGTGACCGACACCTTTGGTGGCGCCCTCTACACCCTCAACTTCCTCCTGTACGCCGCCTCGCTCAACATGACGGGCGTCAACTTCCACATGACGGCCACCAGCTACACTTCTGCCTGGCAGCCCGTCTACATGGACGGCGTGGCTCCGTACCCTCGGCCTCTTTATTATGGCCAAGCTGCCTTTGACCAGATTATTGGCCCGACCTGCACTGCACAGGTCTACCAGTACGCGCTGTCTGACGTGCCCACGGGTTACGACTCGTACCTGCGCGCCTACGCCGTCTACCAGTCCTCGACCCTGTCGTCCATCACCGTCGTCAACGGCAAGATTGCCAACACCACAGAGACGGACAAGTCCAACCTGACCGTCTCCCTGACCATGCCCACCTCGCTGGCCGGCAAGACGGTCTACCTGGCCTACCTCACCAACGACGGCCTCGATGCCAAGTACAACACCACCTGGAACGGCATTTCCTACGAGGCCAGCGGCGACGGCACGCCCACGCAGGTGTCTGACGCTGTGGAGACCGCCACCATTGCCAGCGACGGCACCCTGACCCTCTCGGTGCGCGACTCGGCTGCCGTTGTGGCTCAGATCGGCTCCAAGGTGGGCTCTCTGACCGCCGACAGCGCCGCCTGCTCGTCCATGGCCGCGCTGCGGCCCGGCACCTACGGCCTCTCTGCGGTCTCCTCGTCCGCATCAAGTAAGCCTGAGAGCGATGGCACTACCTCCAGCACGTCCAGCGGCAGCAGCAGTACGAGTTCTTCTGATGGTACTGACTCGAACAAATCTGCAGGCATGAGATCGGTGCCCTTTTCTTTGGGACTGATGCTCACCGTCTTGGTATCGTGTGTCTCTATGGCCACGGGTGTCTTTCTCTTCTAAAGAGTAGAAAGACACAAAGGACCTTTTTCTTCTATCATCTCTCTTCAATTTCCTCCTCTCTCCAAACGATCTGGATTCCTACGATGGAACACCCAACTCTCAGACCCTTCTTTTTTCTTCTTTTTATCTATTCTTATTTTGGATCTCTTCCATTTTATCATCTCATTTCTTTCATTATATTTGGTGGGTTTTCTGTGGCATAGCAAAAATTAAGTGGACTGGGTTTGGTGGTGATGGTTTGGGTGTGCGAATTACTTCTGCATCTGGGCGCGGTCAATTCCTGGGCTTTGTTACAGCATCCGCATACATACACGGGATGGACGGTGTCATTTACACAGCATGGTCTGGAGTTCACATGGCGTTTTTCTTTCTTTCCTCTCAAAGAACTTGCAATTGCATGGGTTTTTGGTCTATCATGTTCATGACATCAGAGTGTGGTGGAGGTTGGCTTTTTGATTCGAAGAGTGGTCTCGAAGATTTATGCAGGCTTGGGTTGGTGGAGAGATGACTTTTTGGCCTGTTTGTTGTGATGGATATACCCACACAGGTGCATATATATACATATATATACACACACATCATTTACATAGAACAGAGAAGAGAAGAAGGCATAGACACCTGAAAATTTCGGAGGTGGGGTGTGTCAAGAAGATTCACCTAGCTAATAATTGAATAATTCGAAGAACAGAGTGGTCCATAGTAAGCAGTGTGCCTTTGATTCGGATGATATTTGGCTTCTTGTATTTGTGGTGCCCATTTTATGTATGAAGTAGTGTTGGCAGATGGGTGTAAAAAAAAAAAAAAAAAAAAAAAAAAGGATGTGGCCGGGTAGTGTTGGCAAGATGATTGCTGAAAAGGATGCTTACGGATCTGTTATAATTCTACTCAGACACCTGTTATAGTGGTCAATAAGAAAGGATTTCTGTCAATACTCACGACTTTTGCATCCCATAGCTCGACATGACAGCCCACCAGGTTTGCGCCATTCACCAGGTCAGAGTGACCAGACAGACAGTGCAAGTCATATCAAAACACCAAGGTCGGTCACACATCTGTGATTCTGCCCGGGACATTACTCAGAGAGTCTGGATGAAGGTGTATGTATTCCTATCATCAGTAGGATTACGTGACTTTCGCCTAAAATATACATTTGCGGGTTGACTCGTCTAGATGCAGTGAGCAACGGCTTGTATCGCCGGCCAACTCGAGGGCTTCCGTGAGTCCAGAAGTCCAAGATTTCCAACAACAATACCTATAAATACTATGAGATTCTCCAACCTCTTCTCTCCCTTTTTATTTTCACTCACAACTAACACACATACATTTGTGAACATACAGAAATCAACATCCATACAGGCACCCACATTTAAACATAACAACAATACATAACAGCCATCGATATATAGCCAAGATGACAAACATTGACAAAAAGTCCTCCATGCCTGAGACCAACAAGTCTTCAGGCGAGTCCTCTACCCAGAACAAGAAGGATAGCTCCCTCGCCTACGGCACCTGTCAGATCCACGGCTTGGTGGCGTTAACTCCTTCAGGCCAGTGCTCCAAGTGCAAATTTCTTAGGCCAGCCTAGGTAAAACTCTTGGGCACCTTGTCTCTCCAGCGCGCTGTGGCCAGGTAGCTTGAAAAAAAAGGGAAAAATGATGGAGCATGTCGTGATAAGCGTCTTCTTCTCTTGAGCTCGCTTGGGTGTAAACTCGAGAAAGGGCATAATCAGTCAAGAATATGTAGAGAGAACCTATAAATAGCACAGGCTCAAGCTGATGGGCACACTGGACATGAGGCAATAGAAATTGACTACATTCTGCTAAGACAATTCTACGACACTTGTTCATGCCCCTTTCATATGATATTGTCTCGGAATTTTGTTTTCCACTTGTGATGTGATATGCCAGAGTGCTTCCCGAGACTCAAGAATGGTGTTCCTGAAGTCTATACTGCGCGTCCAAAGCAAGGTAAAACGGTTACAATGTGCTTCCTGAGCTTACAAGTGATCCGTCAAAGAAAAGAAACGTTCATCAAATAAGTACAATCAAAAGTCCTAGAATCTGTGTTTTTACATGTTTGTCATGTCCTACCAAGAAAGTATACTCCAGGCCTCTCCAAATCCCCCCCCCCCCCTGTCAAAGTTCCAGCCTTTCTGGATAGCAGAGCACTTAGTCCCAGTGATAGGTGATGTTGAGACCAACACTCGGGCCCTGCTCCTCGCAGGTCGTGTTGAGCGCCAGGTTCTGAGGCGCATCCCACTCACCGCCTGTGCAGGTGCTGAACTGGTCGCCGTCCACACAGAGCAGGTAGCCATCCGTGCAAGGGCTGTCCGGCGAGGTGGTGCCCGATGGGGAGGCTGTGGAGGCTGTGGATGATGCAGCTGCAGGTGGTGTCTGGTAGGCAGGCACGCTGTATTGCGAAACAGAAGATGATGCGGCTACACCAGATGGTCCCACCAGTGTTGAGGCCAGGGTGGTGGGAAGGGCGGTGGCAATTCCTGTGGCAGTGGCCTGTGTCGTATAGGCCGTGATGCTCGAAGAAGAGGAGGAAGAAGGACCAGCTCCTCCATAAGAAGGCACAGCAGATCCCACCACCGTGGCAGCAGTAGTCGCAGCAGAAGGCTGGCCAGTGGCAGCCCCACTCGTCCCCGCCGAAGCAGCACCGCTGTTCCGCGGGTTGCCATCACAGGCCTGAGGGAACAAATTGTCCTGGCCGTTGGGGTAGCTGACAGAATTGCCAGGGTAAGGATAGGCGATGGCCACCTGCTCGTACAGGGCCTCAGAGGTAGTACAGCCATTACTGGCGCTGCCAATGTTGGCGAGAAACAGATCCGGGTACGTCGTCTCGGCAGTCCTGGCCTTGGTCCTCTTCCTCGCAGCCTCCTTCTGGGCCCTTCTCAACTTGGTGGTGTCGTCGCCGTCAGTGACCGTGACAGGCGCACAGTTCATGTAGAACTCAGGCGACCCGGCGATGCGGTTGACCCAGGTCCAGGCCCACGTATACGCACCAGGAGCAAAGTCGTCTGGGATGGTGAAAGTATACGTATCCGGGTCCTGGCCTGGCTCGAGGTTCCCGGTGACGTTGGCCTTGGGACAGCCGCCCTCGATGGAGTGGATGACCTTCCAGACCGAGTCCGTGGTGGGCGTGTGGCCCTCCGTCAGGGCAAACTGGCAGCTTCCGCCGCCGTGCACCGCCCAGCCGGCGAAGGAGACACTCTGCTCCTCGCCGATGGCCATCTCGGTGGCCGTGCCGTTGATGACGAAGGCGTCGCCCTGCGGGACCTTGCATGGGTAGTCGGAGCCGTCTGGGTTGAGCGGGTTTGTGGGGCCGTACTCATCCCAGTTATATGGGGTTGGGTTCACGAGCTGGACATGGCGCTTATGGATGCTGCTCTCTGCGCCGGCGAGAAGAGGAGTGGTGAAGAGTAAGGCGGCCATGATGGCCTTGCGTGCTGTTGTCAGGCCCATCTTGAAAGTCGACGTTCCTCTTTTGTGTTGTATGTTTGGTGTAGCTGCTGTGTCCAAGTCGGCTGAGACTTCCTGCTCAGAAATTTATAAGAGAGAGTGACTGTCGTGAGAGAGTGATTGTCTTTCCGTTGCTGTTCGTTGCGAGAGACCGGACTGGGTTATGTAGTGAGAAAGAGTGGACGCCTACTATCTTATAGACAGGATGGCCAAATGAACAAGTTGATTGTCCCTCTCAGGAAAAGGAGGAGCGACACCTGCGCTGTCGGAGTGGAATGTGAAAAGATTGTAAAAACAGCTCGGCTGTCTATAAACAACATAAGTGTTGCGAGATATGGGACGAAAAGGATGGAATAGAAGGCAGTGAGTGTGTGGAGAACATAGTGGTCTTGTTTCAAAGAAGAAAACAAGAAACAAGTGAAGAGAAAAACTCAACCTGGAGTAATTCATTCACACACCAGAGAAAATAAAGAAAAAATAATCACTTGTCCACCAAGACCACCAGCAAAAGGGCAAATTTGTTCACACAAAGGGATCGCGCTCTCGAAAATGCCGTCGTTGTTTCGAGCCGGATGCCTGCATGATCAATGTCTCGTTCTCATTCGCCGTGTTGTGGGCCGTGGGAGGCGTCGGAATAGGGGCTCCACGCCCAATCAATCCCTCGAATCAGCCGTCCCCCTTTCGTGGCGCCCATCATCTGCTGGCGCCACCCTTTTGGGGCGGACCGTCAGACCACACACACAGCAGCAGAAAGAAGGATGCGACACTGCCTTTACTTACTCGCTTCTGTACTTGTAGAAGCATTACTGCGGCAGAAGAAGCTTGCTTGCATTAGCTTGCGGTACCTGCATGAAACAACAGCCCGATCGTTTCTTCCTCGGTCTGATGGCGAATCTGGAGGTTTTAATCAAAGTTAGGATCCGAAGGGTTTAGGATCCGTAAAGGAATAGATTAGGCTGCTCATTGCCTGTTAATTGTATTATTGACCGTTCTCGTGTTATAACTGATGAATCGGTTCAACACATCCTCCTCAAAATGAATCCTGCCACTGTACGTACCATGGGCCGCCCCTGCAGGTCAGTCGGCCTGCCTGCTGGACATTCTACAAATGATGCATGAATTTAGGCCAAGGAGCTGACACTCTAAAGAAGGAGCCTCCTTTGCAAAAGGCCTATTAATTCAGTACCTTGACTCAACCCGAGACTGATGGCAGGACGCAGGGAGGCGAATGCTGCATGCATGCACCGCCAACAGTCGGAATTAATCAAGATCTAATCATATTTAGCAATTCCGAGTCGATCAGACAGCTCACAAGGGAACAGTCACATGGAAAAGATTTGTGGAAAACTCATAATTAGGGCACAGCCGGTGCGACCACACTAAGGATCGCTTTTGCGATAAGCCCGTATTATTCGGCATCTCAGCGTGGCAGAGGTCATTATTTATTCTTTCGAAAGCTCCTCCTCGGAATTCCTTGTGACAACCTCGGACTGTTGGTCTATACATCCACATTGAAGCACAAGCATGTTCGTCCAGAAACACATATCTTTGTGTGTCTTCCTGTGGATTCGACTGGCTTAGTGCGATGTATGTCTTGATATGATACCAAGGGAGAAACTGACATAAATACCAATAAAATCAGCCGGACTTTCGAAATTGCACTCTCAGTGGCGAAGATGATATATATATATATCCAAAAGAATTCGTCCTATCTTCATTGTAATGATAGAAAAGCAAAAGCCAGACATCCCATTAGAATCGCCCTGTGGGTGAGCAAGTAAGGAGAGCCAAGCAGAAAACAATATTCAAAGAGCAGACATACCGTGCTCTCGCTAATGAAGCGATCGTGTTGGCTGAGTAAAGATCCGAATACATCGCAAATTTAAGATACTGCTTAGCTTTGATCTCTGCTGTATACGTCGCCTGCTCTCTCAAAGTTTGCAACACTCAAGTCTCTTTCTCAAGCCCCCCCTTAGACTCTATCACAGATTCTGCGATCTGACCTTCCATCCTCCATGCCTATACTCCTCCACCATCCTCTTCCTAGCGCCCTCATCCCCCTTCAACACAAAATCCAACCAGTCCACTGCAGCCCGCCCAAATGTGCCTCCCTTCTCATCCTCATCATAAAACGTACCCATATGACCAACATCTAGATTCCCCATCCAAGCTGGCAAATCCCCAGGCAATAAGTCCCAGTCCATCTCGGCATTCCGATGCGCCAGATCCGCAGGACCGCCGATGAAGAAAAACACCGGCACCGTCAACCCTTTGACCTGCTCCACCTTGTCCGCCGGCCGAAAGATCAACCCCGAGTTGAACACGCCGACCGTCTTCACCCTGTCTGTAGCCCCCTCCGCCTTGGCTTTCGCCCTCAGCACTGCTGCCGCGGCATACGCATCGATGGCTCCTTTGCTCTGCCCCGCCAGCGCAATCCGCGACCCGTCCACATGCGACCTGACATCTCCAGCATCCAGCCGAAGCCCCTGCTGCTGCTGCTTCTGTTTCGCCTCCGCACCAGCCACCCAGGCCACAGCCTCCAACATGGCCCCCTCGTCCACCTGCTGCAGCCTCCCCAGGCCAGACCACGTCCCCTCGTCCCCAGGCCCGCCGTTGGCAATCACAACATACCCATGCGAGGCAATCTCCCGCAGGAAACAGCCAAACATCAAACCCCAGGCCAGCCCCATGCCGTTCGCCCACACGAGCACAGGGAGTTTCTCATCCTGGGCCAGGGCGCTCGGGTGGGGTGTGTAGATGGTGTGGTTCGGGAGCGTGGGGTGGACGAGGTAGGACGCGGGGCCGTAGATGCCGCTGCCGCCTGGGCCGAGGGTTCGGGAGGTGAAGAAGTGTTTCGTGCCTTTGTGGAAGGCGGAGGCGAAGTCTGTGATGTTGGTGAGGGAGGAGAACATTGGGAAATAGGTTTGTGTTGGATGTGAAGGGAAGGGAAAAAGTAAATGCCCAGTGTTTATCAATGTTCAATTTAGGGCACAGGCTTTAAGGTTATATGTATGGAAGGGGGTCCTGAAAACTGGGGCTGGGTTATCCAAAGACGAGTTCCATGCTTCTAGCATTGTGGGGTCGCAGTGCATAATAGAAGACCTCCTCTCAAGCCCTGATATGCCTGGGCAAAAGAGCGTTCGGCGGGTATTAAAAAGGATAACGTCACAAGCGACCCACACAAAACAACATACTTTACAAAGACGGAAACACTTGAATGTCGGTTCAAAAGAGTGCAAGAAAGAGTAGTGACTTTCCTTTCTTTTATAGGCCTTAGGATGGAGAAGAGAAACAACCCATAATAATCCGTTGCCATTTTTTCGTAAGGACCAAGCAGATTCGGCTCATGGCATCCAGTCCATTTCCACCTCATTACTGCACCAGATCAGACATTCCGCACAGGCCCAGAGTCCCTCCTCAACAGCGGATTCTCGATCAACGAGTTCTTACACTGCCTGCCTTCCAGGAAATCCTCCAGGTTCCTCAACGTGCACTCGGCAATCTCGGTAAGCGCCTCCTTGGTGAAGAAGGCCTGGTGACCACAAATGATGACATTGGGGAACGTCATGAGGCGCATGAGGTCGTCATCCTCGATAATGGAGTTGGAATGGTCCTTGTAGAAGATCTTACCCTCCCCCTCGTACACGTCGAGGGCCAGGCCAGCCAGCTCGCGGTCCTTCAGGGCTCGGATGACGCTCCTGGTGTCGATCAGGGCACCGCGGCTCGTGTTGATCAGCATCGCGCCCGGCTTCATCTTCTTGAGCGCCGCGCCGTTGATGATGTGCTTGGTGTGGGGCATGAGAGGACAGTGCAGGCTGATAAAGTCCGACGACGAGAGCATTGTGTCAAAGTCCACATAGGTGCCATATTTCTTGAACTCGTCGTTCTCGTACGGGTCGAACGCCAGAACCCTGCACCCAAACCCGTTCATGATCCGGGCCAGACACACGCCGATCTTGCCCGTCCCGCAGATGCCTACCGTCTTGCCGTGCAGCGTCGTCCCCAGCAGGCCGTCTAGGCTGAAGTTGCCCTCGCGCACCCGGTTGTACGCCCTGTGCGTCTTGCGGTTGAGTGTCTGGATGAGCGCCACCGCGAATTCGGCCACCGCCTCGGGCGAGTAGCTCGGCACGTTGGCCACGAAGAGACCCAGTGCCTTGGCCTTGTCTAGGTCGACATTGTTGAACCCTGCGCAGCGCAGCAGGAGGGCCCGGACGCCGTTCTGGTGGAGGGCCTCTAGGATGGGTGCCGAAAGGTCATCGTTGACGAAGGCGCACACGGCTGTAGACCCTGCTGCCAAAGACGCAGTGTCTGAGGCGAGTGGGAAGTCGTGGAAAGTCAGCTGGATCTCGGCAGCTGTACTGTCGTTGGAGGACTTGCGCGCTTCACAAGCAGCGGTGAGGTACTCCTTGTCGTAAGGATGCGCGTTGAAGATGGACAGTAGCATTTTGATAGGTAGTCAGTCGCCCTTGAATTGTAAGAGGTTGTAGGATTCTTGCAAAGAGACAAGCTTCAGGTCTCTTTGCTTTATAGTAAATGGTCTGATAGTAATGATGGTTCGATGTTGTTCTTGAACGGAATGCAAGTGACGTAAGGCAAGGACGGGAGGATCCGAGATGTCTCTGAAACCTTTTTTTTTTTTTTTGGTTCAGGGAAAGTTCATTATTGCGCGACTAGCCTTGGTGTGCTCCTTCTCAGCTCTTCCTTCTGCCGATGCACTGCGGACTCAGCGTAAGCTTTCTAGGTAAGCAATGTGACCACAGAAAAAAGAAGAATAACAGGGTTGTGCCAAGCATGCACAGCCCGAGCTGAGTGCTCCAGAACGTTATGAATCCGTCTTGGCTGTGGCCATACAGGGGAAGCAACCAAGGGTGAGAGTTTGACGCCTTATCTTGGCCTAATCAGGTATTCTGCAATTTCAGTCTCGAAAAATGTATATAGAAAGTTAAAGAAAACAATTAAGTTGTCTGGAGTAGGCAGTGATGTAGTATGGAATGTAGTCATAAGGCCTCCCAAGTATTGAAATATGTAATAAGAATGACCCATCCAGCGGGAAGAAGTCATCCATTAATATAAATCTGAAACGAGGCGTGATCTGATCGCATATTAGATATTTCGACTCAAAAGAAGGATTCGCTGAAATTACCCTATCTCTCGCGTGTAAGATCGAGTGCGCTATAGCCTTCACCAATGTTTTCGAACAAGAACAAGTTGCCGAGGCCTTTGAACGAGGTTTCTTCAAGCAGGATCGAGATGATTAGCATCATTGTGACTTACTAGACATGTCGAGAGACGGTTAGGGTCTTGTATTTGCTTGAGTGACAACCCAGGGGCCAGTCTTGGAGACAAGTGATTAACTCAATTCTCGTTCTTGATCAATCACTTCCACTACTTTGTCCATCGCCTCATTGCCTGAACAAACAGCCTACCACCTTTATTCAACACGACCATCAAAGCAGCCGATAGCCATCATAAATCACTACCATACCATCCTCGTCAGTCACAAGAAAATCTCAAGAGAACCAAAAAAAGAAAATAAAAACTCACCTGCCGCACCCCTCCTGATGCCACTCCCAATCCACATGCCCGAATTCACCCAACGATACCTTTCATCCCCTGTCTCCAGCCTGACAAACAGCCGAAAGCGGTACTCGGACGGATCCACCTTGTCGCCCTCCACAGGGTCCAGCAGTCTGCTCAGCACGTCCGCCGGGCCCGTCCTCCACCCTTCGGTGCGCACCATGATGTGTGCTGGCTCCGCATCGTCTGTCACGAGGAGGTACCGCGTGTCTACGAATGTGGACTTGTCTCCTGTTAGGAGTTGGGCGTCTTGGCCGCCTGGCTGTTTTTCATGGCTCGGAAAGTTTGGTTTTGTTTGTTAGTTCAAGTTGTAATTGATCAAATTGATCAACGCTGAGAGCAATAAACGAGCAGGAGAAGGGAGAAAGAACAAACAATCGAAAAGGGGAGGGAAAAAAAAAGAAAAAAAAAGAAAAAAAAAGGAAAAGAAAATTGACGCACCACAATCTTGCCCCGTCCCCAGGTGGCGCTCCAGTCCCCTCCACAGACGCCAACCCAGTTCCGCTCACCCCAGCAGCTCTGGCCCAGCGAGACCTTGCGCTCCAACCTGGCCGACAGCCGGAAGTCGTGGGCGAGCCGGGGCAGCGGCAGGTCAATGCTCTGAGCGAGACTGGCCGAGGGAAGGCCGGAAAGGATCGCCTGTGTCTCTTCGCCGGATCCACGTGGATCGTGACCGTCGAGCTGCTTCTGCTCCTGCTTTTCTTCGGTCTTGGATGACAGGACGGGGAGAAACTCGTCGCCTCCTGCGGCAGTGGGCGGTCGTTGGGCCATGGCGCGGTCAGGAGGGAGGGAATTGTTGCACTGTGGTAGCGTGAGGCTGTTCGGCTGGTAGGAGAGTTCTTTGTATAGTTGGTGTAGCTAATGCCGGAGCGGGAAGGGAAAGGTGACGTCGAGATACTCGATGGTCACGGATTATTTATGGTGGATCTCGGCAGTTGACCGCAGCGGGCCTCGGCACGGAGAGCCCACTTTCACAGTATATTGTCATTCAATGTATTAAGTTACCGTTTTCGGACACAGGCAAAGACAATCGTTGAGCCTCGAATAATAGATATTGAGGAAGACGAACAGGTGCAGCGGTTCATTATTGGTCGGTGTCGAGCCATGTTACTGGCACTCCTCTAACTTGTAGCCACTTATATTTACTGTACGACAGTCTGGCGTCTCTGCAATTATTTGGGCCCAACTTTGCTGGCACAGGTTCCTTTGGATATCCTATTTTAAGGTCGTGTGATCCTGTTCAGTGCATAGTTTGTGAGGAATGATCACTCAAATAGTCATATATTTCCTCGACTATGAGTTCCATCAGAACTCTTCATGTCACACACACATGTGTACATAAATCTACCGAGCCCTCCTCTTCCTCCACCCAAGACTCGTCCATCCGTTTAATATCACTCGAGGAGATGTAATGCTGCACCGGAACCTCTTCTGTCCTTGCCAACCTATCATACAACCATTCCTCGGCTTGAATCCGCTCCTCGGAAACCTTCATCAAATTCCAAACATGCAGCAACCTGCATCTCTCTCTTTCCCCCGTCTCTCCTCTCCTTTTGTCATACAAGAACACAAATCTGCAATGCCTAAAGCATCATGTCACGAACCTCCCTAATTTCTCCTTCGTTCCGCTCCCCGTGCCCAGCTGTGCACCGTCCCACATACCTGTCACCATCGGGATCCGGCATGAACGCATCCTTTCTTATATCTTAATACTTCAAGAGGATGATCCTACCACCCGCCTCCATACCGTGAGATCTGTACAACTTACTACCACCGGATGCCACCAGATCGATTTACCGACCTGCCAGCTCCAGCGATGGAGGCACCCTCTTTGTAGTAGGCACCACTACATCGCACACCTCGTGTTCCACCCGTCCCCTCACCTGACCTCTTGGGCCCCCTTTCAGACCAGCCTTTCACCAGAACATCCTCGGACGAGGTTCCCTCTTCCTTACAGAGGCTCTCTCGAGTCTGTGTCGTGTGTTGTTAATACTCAAAATTCTCGGGAGACTTGGCCGGCGTTGCATCAGACTTGGTGAGGATCGTGGCTTATTCGAGATAGTTTACAACGACAAACAGACGTACAAAATACAGCAAATTTATGCAGACCCACCCTTTGATCACACAATGTTAGCAGAAAATCATGTATTGGTATCAGAATGTCTTTCAAAGTCACCCCTACTATCATCGTAACCTATACCAGAACGCTCAGGCTAAGGAAAACGTATCAAAGAGAGGAGACGAGAGATGAACGCCACCTGCGCCAAAGCTGGAATAGAAACCTTATGAAGACAAGATCATTCCCTTTTTAGTATCCTTCCAACAATTACACTCATTTGGATATGAGAAATTTCTGGCAGGTTTTCTCCCGGCTTGTAAGGGAAAAGAAAGAAAAAGAAAACAGTCGGGTCGTGGGACCTTGTGGCAGACGCAGAGGCTACCATTTACTCCAGGGGAAAAAAAAAAAGACGACCACTCCCTCCTCCTAAGTTGTGTATAAAAAGTCAGGCCGCATGTCACCCATGGCCTCGACCTCAGGCTCCGATTTGCCCTCAGCCCAGCCGTCCCGCTTCCCCTGCAGGCGCTTCTTGTTCTCTAAGCGCAGCAGGAGGGTCATGAGCAGCGAGCCGCCCAGGAGAAAAAGCACCATGTAGGCGAGGATGGCGCCGTGGCCCTGGTAGTAGCGCGGGGCTTCGAAAAAGATGTTGGACGAGACAATACCGTTGAGGTTGCCCCAGCCGATGACAAAGCCCAGGACGACGCCGCGCTTGTAGACGCCCTCAATGTTGTTGGCCATCCAGCTGATGGTGTTTGCGATGCATGGGTAAATGCCCAGGGCGCCCAGGAAGGTGCCTGCGTACTGCACAGCGGCGTTGCTAGAGCCGATGAGCATGCTGAAGCCCACAATGCCCAGGATGGAGACGGCGATGTTGCAGAGGCCGCGGGTGCGGGTGCGGTCGGCCACGAAGCCGATAGTGACGGTGAGGACGGCTGCGGCTGCGTAGGGCGGGACAGTGAGGAGCTGCGACTTGACGGTCGAGCCGCCCGAGAGGCCCAGGTCTGCGACGATGCTGGGTAGGAACAGGCTGAAGGCGTAGAGCGGCATGTCGCAGCCCATGTAGATGACCATGCCCAGCCACATCTTCCAGTCGGCCAGGGCCTGCCAAAAGTATCGCATACTGAAGTCCTCGTGCGAGGCTGACGACTGCTGGTCCAGCTTCAGGCGACGGATGACGCGCGCGCGGTCCTCGGGCGACAGGAACCGGGCCACGTCGGGGAAATCATGCACCAGCCAGAAGGACACGACGCCAATAACGATCGTAAGGAGCCCCTCCAGGATGAAGATCCACGCCCAGCCGGGCCGTCCACCGATGCCGTCCATCTTCTCGATGGCAGCAGCGAGAAGTCCACCAAACGAGCCAGAGAGCGCGGCAGCCGAGAAGAAGATAGCCTAGGTGGATGATCAGGGCCCTGAAGGGATAGACAGGCAGAGAGAAGGGGAGACAGGGACGCTTACTGCTCGAACGCCAAACTCAGATCGCTTGTACCAGCAGGACAGGTAGTAGTTGATACCAGGGAAAAGACCCGCCTCCGTGAGGCCGAGAAACCAACGAGCAGCCATGAGACCAGACCAGCCCTTGACGAAGCCCATACCAAGCATGCAGCAACCCCATCCAATCCTAGTCCACAGGCGTTAGCACCTCTCCCCGCCCCAGATAAAGGGCTGTCTGATGTCTTACATGATGAGTGGAATGAACCTGGACGGCCGGAGCTTCTTCAGCAGGATGTTGGTGAGCGGCTCAAAGACGGCATACGAGACAAAGAAGATGGTCAGGCTGGCGTTGTACTGAGAAGTGGTGATTCCAATGCCAGCAGGGGGAGCAGCCACGAGGCCGGCGATCTTGGCATTACCGATATTGGTACGGTCGAGGAAGGCCATCAGGTACAGGAGACAGAGCCAGGGGATGAGGATCCAGTCGAGGCGCCAGACCAGCTTGCGGTCGATGACAGCCTTTTCCTGGTCCGATCGACCGGCATCTGGGTCTTCGGGAAGGTCTCGCAACGTGCCGACATAGTTCTGGCGCAGCTCAGTGGCCTTCTCGGTATCGTTGTCACTCATCCTGTTCTAATTTGAGTGGTGGTGGTTGTTGTTGTTGTTGTCGTCAGCTGTGGTTTTGAAAATGGTTGATATGACGGTTTGGGACTGCCAATGGTGAGGTCTGGTGAGATTCGAGACAGAAGGCTGTGTGACGTTGTCAATATCAGTTAATTGCCAGACAACTTTGCAGCAGAGAGAGAAGGGCAGGCCAGTCTTGAAGATTGGTTGTGGAATAGAGCTGACAAGCTGCACATTGCAGATAAAGGAGCATAACCTTTTTTTCTTTCCTCTTTCCCCTCTTTAAGACATGTGCACTCGACACAATCCAGTGTGATGCCCACTTGACTAGGACCAGGAGGTAGGAGGCTAGAGTCTTGGGTGTGGAGATGATATGCAATGAGATAAGATGCAGTGAGAGGGAGGGGGGGGGGGCAGGGGGAGTGAATGAGCCAAGAAAGAAGCAGAAAGAAAGAGGGGGATGTGGTGAGTGTGAAAGTCAATGACAATTATTAATCGCAAGTAAGGCTGCGAGTATGGATAATTCAGAAGGATGATTCAAGATGAACAAGAAGAACCCTTCCAACCGAAAGGGATATTGTCATGGCAAGCCACAGGCAGTAGCAGCGGCGTGACAGTAGTGTGCTGTGGTTCCAAATAACGAAGAAGAAAAGGCCGACCAATACCCGAAGGGGGGGGGGGGGGTTTGAAGAAGAGGATGCGACTGGGCCTGGAAGGATCACCACCTGACTCTGACTAGGTGAGAAGGAGGGAGAAGGAGTGGGGATCAAAGAAATCTGGGGAAGACAAGGGTAGGCAGGCGAATGAATGAATGGTTTATTTGGGTGCAGGACAGTGTTGTAATGACAAAAAGTGTGATGACGACAACAATAGAATGGGATATCACTCACATCTGTATGACCTCGAAAACAATGTCAAATATCAAGGAGAATTGACTTGGAGAATCAGTCAACAACCACAACTGTATATGACGAAGCAGCACAGAGAGTGCAGCACAACAGACGACGTCTTGCAAAACAAGTGGACAGACGATTAAGGAAGAGAAGGCGTGGCACAGAGTCTGGAGAGAGAGAAAGAGATTGAAGTTTGCATCTGTAGTGCAGGGAGACCAAGGTGCACATGGAAAGAAAAAGAAAAGGAGATAGGACAAGGAAACCAACGCAGACAGACGAGAGAAGCCTAAGGAGAAACCAAAACCCACTGGAGGAGGGAAGGGTAAGAGGTCGGTAGGGGCAAAGGAAAGAGGAACGGCGGAAGGATGTACATAAGACAAGTAGGGCCACCCCCCACGAAGGAGCAGTACAGCCACTGCAAGCAAATCACTGGGAAGCTAGTGTCCCTCCCCTCCCCTCCCCTCCCCTGGCCTCGTCACTGCCTACTTTAAGAGAATTCCAGGTAGGGCAGTTACATCCCTGTAATTGCAGCAGTACTAGAAGAGACAAGGTGAAAAGTAGTTGGGGCCTCTTTTTTTCCGTCTGATGCTTTGGAAAGATGGCAAGGTGTTGAGTGACTGGTAACCTGACGTCTGTGCTATGCTCTAATGGAGGGTTTCCAGGTTCTGTAGGCGCTAAAAGGTGGGGGCTACAGTGGGTTCTGGTAGGTCTGGGGAAAACCCCCATGGCCAAGTTCCTTCCCCGCGAATTACCCTCTAATGTGGAGTACATACAACTTGCCACTCGACCAAAGACCCACTCGAGCCCGCTGCTGGTCCTTGAATCCTTCAACGTTTATGTCAGTGGCCAATCAGTGGTCATGGTCCTCGGAAGGTGGTTCTGTACGTTATACTATGGTACATTGTAGTATACATTTTCGGTGTAGGGCAGATATCGGTTCAGTGGATGAGATGGGTCTGGCGTGGTGGGCATGCGATCCCCTGTCCCAGTATTTCATTTTCTCTTCCTTCTCCATGCACGTGTGCTCATAGTGCTGACCGACTTTTGTCAGTGTAAAAAGGCCCATGAGATGATATAGTGTGTATGTGTGCAACAGATAGCTGATCCGAGACAGTCATGCCATTCCAAAAAGCCGCTGCGGCATCTTTGTGATCTGAGACATTCCTAATCAAGATCAAGATTATGCTGGTGTTCCTGTCAGCCAATGAAGCCGTCCGTTCACTCACAACAAATCATTAATATTTCATCAGCCATGGCTTCGTAAAATACATACCTATATATCCTTCCTTCCAGAATCGCCACAGCGGCTGCCTCCTTTCAAGGACATCATGGCTCAAGAATCAGGCAAGCCATGCTGCGCGTGTGGCCAGATGGTAGCTAGATGGTGGCCAGGTGTATGGTTGAACAGATTCACCACATTGTCTAAGATCATATCGTTCCACAGACCGAGGGAAGCGTAGGACATTGGTGACTGAGGTACACCTGAGCCATCAGAGATAGACATACACACAGAGAGAGAGAAAGGTACAAGGTACAAGGTACGAGTAGTTACGCGGGCACGAAAACACAGTCTACAAGCCCGCTTTTGGCTGTGGAGGAACACAAAGTATTACCTGTCTGCTCTCACCGCAACATGATCGCCATCTTGCTTCAATTTTTTTCTCCGCTCGCAAAGAGACTCAATATCGTTTCTAATTAACTTAAAACAGGGCTTCAAGTGCTGGAGTTCCACCATAATGGTTAATTTCGGGCATGTTTGGCAACATGAATTGAGAAAAGTCTGCTGAGAGTATCATTGACAACTTCCTGGACCCTCATAGACATCGTAACATGAGATCCAAACACAAAATACCGAGTTGCCTCCATTAGTCCAAGGCCGATATCTTTTGGAAGTCAACGGAAATATGGCTTGATTTTGGAAGTAGAAGAAGAAGAAAGAAAGGGGTTTCCCTTCACTGCGGATTGGTCAGTACGCTGGTGGAAGATACTTTGGTGACCACGAACTGACGTGCCGAAACGCGGCTCTCGACCAGTGCAGACTTGACACGAGGGTGCATTGAGAGCATGTGCTCTGCCAGATAGTTGTTAAAGACTTAAGCAAGATCTTGTCATACGTCTGTACCAACAAAGCCAGGAAGGTCATCGAATTTGGGAGCCGGCTCGACCCACCGCATAATTATCTCCGGTGCCGAGTGTCTTCCCAGATCGTCAGCGGTGCTGTCCCTCAATAGCCATCCAGGCTACCGCACCCGACTCGAAATGTCTGATCCAGCACCAGCAGTGACATGCTTTAGCCATAAGGCTCAGGCTGCTGTTGGACATCCTGATCGCTAGCACCAGTCGCCCTGATGCTGTATGATAGCGAGCTCAGCCAAGCACATTGTGTCATTGCTTGGGAGTTGCTCTACGCTGTGATGAGTCGTGAAACCAGCAGGACCTGCTGTTGTGTTATGAGAGAGATCTCCGGGTTGGCCTTAACTCTGTGAGACGCAATGTATATGAGAAGTCACTGGATCTTCTCACTGTAGCCTAACAAACAGCGCCCGACGAAAATCGACTATTTGGTCCCGAGGGTGAGCCATAGGAGGCTTGTGGTGGTCACACAGCTTGCCTGGCTTCCGAAGCAATCTTGAATTCTCCATCTATCACGACATGACTACCAGTCTTCGTGTCGAGCATGGGTTACCCGGGATCTTTACAACTTGGTGCCCCCAGGCGGACCGGGCCACTGCAATGATCTGGTGAACACCCAAAATCTGGTAATCGGGTCCAAGTTTTCTTCGTGGGCGGCTACTCGAAAAGAAACCCAAGAGATTTTCCGAAACGCACGCACCCGTGTTCGCGTGCAACCCAAAGCGCGTGGGCGTGCTGCAGGCATCCGCGGTGCCGTTGATTTGGGCGCGCGGAATTGCGGCTTACGACACCGTAATTATAGCAAAGACGGCTCACTTGCTGACACTCCGTGGTTTTCAACCCATCATTATCGAATATTGACCAGCGGTATATGTCCACAGCAGACGTTGGAGGACTGTTTTGTTCTTGCACCCCAAGAACAGAGTATGAAACGACATCGAAAGACCCTAATAAGCTTTCCAGGTTCTTGGGGACTGTTAACAACCGAATGAACTCCTACTCCACCACTGGGGAAGATTTCTCGGACGTAAGATTCCGGCCACGAAAAAAAAGGACGCGCACAAAGATTTTGAGGCTGTTTGTGGAGCGCACAGGAGCATACTGGATGTAGATGGCGTTGACTAGGATCATTTGGTGAGGAATCCTGCCAAAGAAATTATTTGTCAGTGGCTCTCTGGGAGCTGCTTCGTCTTTGCCTCCATCTGAGACTGATTGCCTCTTTGATGAGATTTCCTGTGCAACATTGCTAACCCGGCACGAGGTCAGCCCACTCGGGCCAGGGGATGAAGGCGTGACTGTAGTGTCGTGTCGGAACCAAGTTGTTGGCGTTCAGACGATAAACAGAGTGTGTTAATTCCTAGCCGGCATATGGGTCGTTCGCTGGTTTAATGGTATGCTCATTTTCGATACTGATCATGATTATGTAAGTTTGAAAAGTAAACAAAACCAAGGCAGTGACAGATAATCATGAGACCATGTGAGATACTTCCAGCCACGCCTAGGCCGAGTTCCGTATGCACGGTCACACCGGAATGTGAAGAGATGGACAGTAGCTTGTGCAATATAGATCGAGGCAGCATCATCTGTCTGAGACAGCAGCTGCGCGTGTTCCTGACTAAAAGATCCTCCTGTGTCTCGCTCGGTGTTGGAACTGCAGCTGACATGCACAGACCGCCTCTCGATTTTGTCTGAGCATATTTGAAGGAATTCGGAGGCCGTCTTTCGAAATCAAGAGAATCAAAGAAGTCAAAGAAGGTGAACGAGAATGGTTTCTTTCCTAGGTTTTGTTGTCTGGGAAGGTGACGAGGAGAGGTTGCTAGGATTCATGACTAAGCATGCTCTGGGTGCTTTCACTGGTCCATGGGAAACGGCTTATGTAAGAATGTCACTTGCGACTGCCGTGATTCCACAAGCTGCTTGCTAGGATGGGCATCGCTCAAGCAAATCTTAAATAACGACAAACCCCGAGGAGGACACAGCTTGAATCTTATGTGAGATCACTCGCAACCGGCGTTCCGATCTCTTTGTTTGTTTGGTTTCTTCTTTTTTCTTCCTTGGATATGTATATGGACGTGGGCACAGCATCTGTCTTGTTTTCGTATTGAATAGAAACATCTCGACCTGGAAAATACCGCGGGACAAGTACAACAACCAGCTCCTGCGTCAACTGCCGACGACGACTCGTCAGTACGCCATCGTGACACTGACCCAGCTGTCATCGTTCCACAGACGCATCTGCGTGTGCTTTCAGCATCTGTCTCTTGTGCATAGAAGGTTTCTCGGCACCATGGCGGCACCCAAGAAAGTCTGCATAATTGGAGCCGGACCATCCGGGTTGGTGGCCGCGAAAGAACTGCTTCACCGCCCATCCTCTGCTGCGTCTGGCCTTGACGCCAGCTTCACAGTCACCATGTTTGACTCCCAGCCTCGGATCGGCGGCCTTTGGCCAGTGTACAAGACCGACGGTGCTGGGCTGGTGCACCCTCTCATGCTGGCAAACCAGAGCAGGCATACGATGCAGTTCAGCGACCTGGCTTGGGAGCAGGATGCGCCGCATTTGCCAAGAGCGTGGCAGGTTGGAAGATATCTGCAGCAGTACCTTTCCAGGTACTGTGCGTTCGAGGAAGAGAGGTTTCGTCTGCGGCTTGGATGGACGGTGCAGAGTGCCACACCACGCGACGAGAAGGAGGGCAGGACATGGCATGTCACTGCTCAGTCTCAAGATGGACTTGTGGACGAAGCCGACTATGACTACCTTGTGGTTGCCTCCGGATTCTTCGGAAAGCCAGTCATTCCTACTCTGCCAGGGCTGAGAGAGACCGGCGGAATACCAATTGTGCACAGCAGCCGGTACAGGGACCTCGAAACGCTGCTCCCAGATGCAGATGGAAAAGGGGGCAAGATTCTCGTCGTAGGTGGCCAGATGTCAGGGGTCGAGATCGCCGGAACTATTGCCTCTCATCTATCCTCCGCTGTAAATACCCCAGGACAAGGAAAGCTGTCCGGCGCAGGCAAGTACACTGTCCACCACGTCATCCAGCGACCGGTATGGGTATTTCCACTGTTCACGTCACCAGCAGCCGGCCGTGCTGCTGCACCATTTGCGCCTCTCGACTTTGCATCGTACAACTTGGCCAATCGACCGGGCCCGCTTCACAACACGCAAGGCCACATCACCACCGAGAGCGCCAAGGTGACCAAAGGTCTTTTCCAAGCGGCACTGGGCACCGACCAGTCCGAGTTCTCGCCCCTGCTCGCTCCATCAGAAAACGACCTCGAAGACCCAGCCTATCTCGCCGTCAGTGACTATTATGCAGAATTCCTGCGGCTGGGTTTGATCACTCTGGAAAAGGGCAGACTTGGATCTCTGTCTGGGACTACAGCGACAATTACTCCCGTTTCCTCGGATCAAGAAGAGCCCAGAGCCGTCACTGATGTTGCTGCCATAGTGCTTGCCACTGGCTTTGAGGCAGCACCCTCTCTATCCTTTCTCCCGGACGAGATCCGACGGATCCTCGCTCTGGACCCTACCAACATTGACAACACAGTTCTTCTTGCGTTCCACGGCACTCATCAACCGGATGTGCCTAATCTGGGCTTTGTTGGATTCTACCGCAGTCCATACTGGGGGGTTATGGAGATGCAGGCGCGCTTCTTGGCCGAGCTTTGGACACAGCAACGAGAAGGCCAGCTTCGCCCCTCCATGCAGAAAGCCCTTGCAGAGGATACTTCTATTCAGCGATTCGCGGCGCTCCGTGGGGATTCTCGCGCTTCTCAATTTCCCATGGGTGACTACGCCTTCTTGATGCAGGAGTTTGCGGCTGCGCTGGACATCTCTCTACTTCCTTCATCAATCGAGGATACGCCACCACTGCCGCACAATGGAAAGCCTATGGATATCCTGACGCCGTCACGATACGCCTCCCCGCTTGCGAAGCCATTAGAGGCGTACAAATCCCTGGCGCAGACGAGAGAGGCCGTCCTAGCCTCGCTCACGAATGGAAAATTCGTGGCAAGGGCCGTCTTCCGCTCGCTGCTGGGCGAATGGCAATTGGAGAGAGATCTTATCTCGAAGCTGCCCACGCATCCCAGTGGCCACTGGAGTGGGACGGCAAAATTCCTCCTCCGACAAGCAACAAAAGATGGTCTGAAATGTGTCGACAGAAACGATAAAAGCGGAGCTGGTCTCGATCAAGATGACGACGACGACGACGACCCGGGTCTAGAGTATCTGTATGTCGAAGAGGGCGAATTCAAGACGACTACTGGCATCACATTCCCGGCGACGCGGCGGTATGTTTGGCGATACAACGAGAAGACAGACAAGTTGAGCGTCTGGTTCGTACGGACGGGCGACACATTCAGCCGAAAGGACCCGCGGCGAGAGGAGGAGCAGATGAAGGCAGATTATCTATTTCACGAGGTCGACTTTGTTGTCCCCAGCGATTACGCCACCAGGCGAGATATCACTACAGGGTGGGAGGCCAAGGCGGGCCACCTCTGCGTCGAGGACTTTTACGATGTCAAGTATGAGTTCAGGTTCAATGCCGTGAATCTAAGAGACTGGTCGCTTGGATATACCGTGAAGGGCCCACAGAAAGATTATACCATCGATGGAAAGTATAGTAGAAAGCCCTCGGAAATATAGATTATATATCGAGAAAGAATGTCGACTCGCGAAATCCACCGAGGGAGCGACTCATTGCACACAAACAGTGGACCGCGTGACACGCACCACTTCTCACGAGGCAATATCTCCAGATCCCGCTCACCGGATGAAGTCCTTTCTTCGTTCTCTTCTCTTCTCCTTGTCTTTCTTTCCTCATTGAGTAGCCTCAATGTGATTCTTCTCGAAGTCGATGCGAATCCCACGCCTCACCTGAGAACTGCAAACAAGATCCCGAAAGTGCTCAGACTTGTCCAAAGCCACAGCCTCCGCAAGCTTCTCGTACTCGTCTACATTCTCCCATCCACAGAAAGACACCCACTCCTCCTCCTTCTCTTGGCCCTCGTCTTCGTCATGCCCGTCTGAAGCCTTTTCGATTCTCCACCCCCCTGCAGACGCCTCCCCCACCCCATCCTGCCCGGGGTCCCGACGACTCAGCCACGCCCAAGACTTCGCCCGCCCCTCAAAAGCAGCCTTGTCCTGGCCCCGCACACGGAACCAGCCGAGGCTCAACACTGGCGCATCCGCCGGCACCGCAGCATTGGGCACGTCCACGTGGTACATCTCGATGCGCGGGATGTCGAGGTCGTCTCGCAGGAGCTGGAGGAGCTCCTGGTTTTCGGGGCTGGGCAGGAACTGGTCCCGGTGCTCGGAGGGGGAACGCCAGTCGCCGAGGAGGTACAGGAGCTGAGGGGTCTCGAGGGACTGGTAGTAGGTGAAGCGGCGGCCGGGAATGCCGAGGGCAGTTTGCATGACTTGGATGGATTTCTGGAGCTTGGCGTGGAGGGCTGGGCTGGCTGGGGTGGTGCCCTGGGCGAGGGGGAGGAAGGCGAGCTCGGTTACAGGCATTGTTTTGTTTGGGTTTCGGCTGGTGAGTTGGAAGGAAATGCCTAGTGAGAGGCAGAAGAGCGAGAGCGGTAAATCCGTTGACTTGTTTGGTCTATATTGAACGCTTTTCTTTACTTTCCATCGGACATATGGTCATCCTCATGTACTAACGAGTTGGGGTTCAGGCAACTCTCATGACGCAAGCAACGCTCTGTCTACTACTTTACCCAGTTTGAATCTGCAACTCGTTACGTGCATGTTTTCATTCTGCCCTTAGCGTCCCTTGAATTGCCTGTCTTATGATTGCGTCGATGCGCTCTGACCTGATTTGTTGGGTGAGTGTCATGCATTTGAGCTTCCTGGTTTCTGTATTCTCCTGGTAGTGTTACCACCTCTCTGAGATCCATTGCTCGTACCTTCTAGAACATTTAGCGTTGGAGCCTCCAGATCACGCGTTACCCGATTCATGCTCCTTATGCGAGGCTGGGATTGATTTAAGAATGAAGTAGCGACTACTATGGTACTGTATCGACGATCGCTGCCTCTTCCTCTGGATGGAGGATTATTTGAGTGTGTTTTGGCCGCCGGTTTTCATTGTCCAGGTCATCCCGTCTACTACGGTACAAAATAGAGTTTGTAGGGCTGAAGCTATCCTTCGCTACACATGGAAAAATACAGAGTAAATCTGTTTGAAACGCTCGTGGAAACAAAGTTTCCCCGCCCATATCGCTAACGGGCCTGGCTAAAATTGCAAGGGGGATAAAGCCACTCCTAGTTTATATGAAAGGCCATATGATTTCGGTTCCAGACCGGTGAGATCTCAGGGGTGTTGGTTCCACGCCCACCGGAACAAATGCGTCCAATCCTCTAGGTGGGTTGAAGATCCACTGCCAGGATTCCCGCAATAGACTCTAAACAAACAAAACAGCTTTCTACCATGCTGCATCGTGAGATCACATCCTTGGCGCGAAGGATGAGTTCCACCCCTGTTCAATTCACTTGGGAACTGCTGGAGTACAAGATGCTACTGAGGCCCTTATCAACCTCTTTTCTTGTGCACCAGTATTGTTTCATGCCATCCATCTCAGAAGGACAATAAGGCTGCTGCAGTTGATCTGCAAACCATTCTTTTTTTTATCACATTCTTTTTGATTCAACAGTGTTGTTGACCACACTCATTACATAAGAAAAACATATATATAAAACTCAAAATGAAACACTCGCTCTTTTCATTCGTCCCAGCGCTGCTGTCGCTGTCGACGGCTGCGAACGCTGCTGGCCTGACCAACTCGTCCATGACAACCTATGTCGACTCCGTCTCGCTCAACTTCAACTTCGACCCTGTCAAGGCTGCCTACTGGACAGGCTACATCCACCACCGTCGCACGCCCTTTGCTGTCTCTCCCTCAGGAAGCGTTGCATACCTCGCCTACCTCGATGGCTCTGGCACCGATGTCCATGTCCAGGCGATCGACCCCACCACGTTTGAGGCCAGTGGCATCAACGTCACCATCTCGGGAGGAAAAGAGGCTGGAGGACTGGTCGCTCAGGATGATGGCTTTGCTCTCCTGACCAACGAGGCCATGCCTTCTGGTACTACCGATGCTCCTCCAGATGGGACACCAGTGCCTGTTCTGTACAGGTTCTCTGCTACTGGTGAACAGCAGTGGAAGACATGGCTTGGAGGCCCAAATGTCACGGATGCTGAGGGCCACAGTACGTAATTTACACCAAACCTCCCCTTTCTTTTTTTTTTAAAAGAATAATTACTTGAGTATAGATATTCATATTGGTTCTCTTCTGACAAAAATAAATAGTGGCTGCCACCGACATGAACGGTGACCTGGTCTACTCCAACGCCACCGGCCGCTACGCAGCCTACACCGTGGTGACAGCCTATGACGGAGATGCTGACGGCCACTTTGGCGATGCCATCCGCTACATCGAGGATACAACCGGCGAGATTGTGGTCATTGACGGGGCCAGCTCTGACTGGGGCTGCTCTCACAACACAGGCATCGCCCTTGAGGCCGCCGACGCCGCCCCCTACGCCAGTGTCTGCGCCGAGGACCAGGGCGGCATCTGGCTGAACAGCAAAGGCCAGGGCATGACGACCGAGGGCGTCAAGATCTCCAACGAGAACACGACCAACGGCGCCGACGGTGAGCCCATGGGCGGCATGTCGGGCTCGTACAGCAACCTGGCCCGCTGGCAGGACGGCGACGGCTACATCTTCGCCTGGGTCTCGCGCGGTGCCATCGACCTCTACGAGAACGCCTGGATGGGCACGGGCTACACCAGTGCGTACAACCGCACCAACGGCCGCAACGTCGCCGTCGCCACCTTCACGGACAAGTACACCATGGTCGAGGCCGAGGCTTCCAGCACGGTGGGTGCGGCGTCGGGCGACTCGCAGGTCAACTGGCTCACCACGACGACGACGGCCGACATGAGCAATGCCCACGTGGCCACCTTTGACGGCACCAACGCCCTCGTCACCTGGGAGGAGATTGCTGATCCCTTCTGCGAGTACGTTGCCTTTGGCTGCCGCGGCACCTTCTCGGGCGCCTACTACCAGCTCGTCACCAACACTGGCAACGGCACTGCGGTCGGCGAGCCTCTGGTCAAGTCGGATGTCTACGTGTCCGGTGACCTGGTCACCATGGGCGACGGCCGTATCTGCTGGCCCTATGTGAACATGGACTGGGACCTGGATGGCATTGTTGGGTGGACCTACACCTCTACCAACGTTACCAAGATGAGCTTTGCGTGCGTGAGCCTCGACGGTTCTTCTTCATCTGCTTCTTCCTCGTCTGCCTCTTCGACCGCTGCAGTGGCCTCTTCTTCTGCTCCTGCTTCTTCCGCCATTGTTGCGTCGTCCTCTTCTTCGGCCATCGCAGCTACATCAACCGAGATAGCTGTTGCCGCTGCCTCCGCCCCGTCTTCAAGCGCTGTCTCTTCATCTGCTGCTGCTGCTGCTGCTGCCGCCGACGCCACCACCGAGGCTGTCATTACCCAGGCAGTCATTACCGAGGCTGCTGCCAGTACTAGTGAGGCTGCTGCCACTACCAGCGAGGCTTCTGCTGCTGCTGCTGCTGCTACGACTCCTGCTACAGAGGCTGCCACCACTCTGGCCACTTCTGTCATCCCTGCCACCTCAAGGCAAGTTACTTCCACGAGCGACGTATCTTCCTCTGCGCCAGAGGCCACGCACACCAGTGGTGGTGGTGGTTTCTGGTCTGGGGATAATGGTCTCAGCTGGGGTCACTGGTGGGGTAATTGAAGCACTAACCTGTTCTCATCTCTTACAGCAAGTCAAAGTGCCACCGCTCCAAGTAAGGAAAGGCTGGGTATCGTGGTTGCATGTGGTAGTTCGTCGAGGTGTTGACATGTGCTGGGGAATGGTTGATCTGCTGTAGTGGACGAGGCATGGTTGGTATTTTGACCACTGGCCCTGAGGTGAAATTCGTGTACATAACGTTGTTTATACGTCCTGCTTGAGACGTTACAGGGGATGTAACATATGGAAATAAGACCTCTGGCACAACATACAGTGTACCTGTTGTAGGCACATCCCTCCTGATGATTATTTGGTAGTATCATAGATTGACTCCCTCCTCTCTCTCCTTGCTCACCACTCTCCCCCCTCCCCTGATTTCCTTTTGGCTTACCTTTCTTTTTCTCTTTGTCTTCTGACTTGTGATGGCGGCCAGCAGTCTTGTATCAGTATCCAACAACCAAGGTAGCTACATCAGACTATCTAGCCCGTGGGAAAGCTAATTTAGGTTGCCTTAGCCTGGCAAGAGATGGCCTCGAACCGTGCCGCTAGACTTTGCACTCATACACTGACATCTGATAGTAGAAGCTCAGGTCTTTCATCTCATACCGAAGTCAGAGATTCCCACGCCTTTTCCACCCGTGTTGATGGCCTCTCCCGTCGAGCCACTTCCAACATGTATCATCCAGCTTTCTACCTCACTGTCCTCGCAGCCTCAGCACTGGCTCAGAGGCACGTTGTTGACACTACCCGGATAAGAGCCCTCTCTCGTTATGCACGGTTTGCATCCGCAGCATATAGCGAAGACTGCAAAACACCACCGCTTGGCTCGACGGTGGAAATGACCTTTGAGAATGCCACCACCGACACGCAGGTATATCTATTTCGAGATGATTCGGCACGGGAGTATGTCTTGTCTTTCAGAGGATCGTCTACTGTAATGGATATTTTGATGGACTTGAGTGTGCCACTGGTAGATTGCACCTCAGCAGTCGGTGAATCATGCATCGGATGTCGAGTAAGCTGCAGCAGCAAGGGACTTTTCAGTGGGCAGAGTTGTTATATGACAGGTAACAATCACTGCTGACAAGTTCACATCGTCACAGTGTCATAGAGGATTCTTGGATCAGTACCTCTCTGTTCGCGATGCCATCTTTTATTACCTCGCCTCTACACCAGGCAGCGGATACAGCCTCACCATCACTGGGCACAGTCTAGGCGGGGCTCTAGCATCCATCGCAGCCACGGCCCTTGGGGCACAGAACATGAGAGTGGCGGCCTATACATACGGACAACCGAGGACAGGAAACCGGGCCTATGCTGACTTTGTAGACCGTATATTCCCGCCGACATCTTACGGTCAAGGGGATAGGATGATGTATAGAGTCACGCATGCAAATGACGGCATTGTGCAGGTTCCCTCTTGGGAGGGGGGTTATCGTCACCACTCGACCGAGTTTTGGATTCTTCCGACAGAGGCACAAGTGGTTCAGTGTGTCGGGCAGGAACCAGTGGATTGTAATCAGAAGTTGAGCGGATATCCGTTGAATCAGGCTCGTTTCTCATACCTCGGGGTGAGCGTTGGGAGTCCTTTTGATAAGGATGCTGCGTGTCGAGGCTTGTCATGAATAATGGAATGCCCACTACGGAATAAGAACTGCTCAGACATGGGTGAATATATAATTTATCAGACATATCTTGTCTCAAATTCTTCTCCTCGGCGTCATTACTATAGTACATGGTCTCCCTTCTAGCCAAAAATGCTCGATCAAGAGCGAAGATAGACCTCACGACTTGTTGTCTGAATGGCTTTAGCACGGTCCAGAGTCAAATATCTGCTCCATCCACTCTCCCGTCCCAAAGAAGCCATAAGCAGGCATTTCAAATAACACAGGTGCAGGAACAATGCGATTCCGGTGATCTTCTGCCATCCCATCTTCTGATGCATCACCGCTGCCAATGGTCTCCTGTTCCGAAGTCAAGCTTGCTAGCATTCCTTCCCGAAAGCCCTGCAAATTGCGCAGCATTTTCTTAAACAGGTCGTCCCCGGCAGTCTCCCCCGCCTCGACACTTGCTTGAGCGGTAACCCCAATGACACAATCAATAATAGCTAACGCATCCAGGCTTTTTCGCACGGCTTCGAGATCCCGCGCGGTACCGCTCAGCGTAGACAATCTGAACAGGGTCATCAGGCAGCGGCCCACCTGGAGAGTGTACTGGATCGACAGACCAACCCAGATAGAGGGCGAAACAGACGTCCAGATCTCAAAGCACGACTTGACGGCCATGGCGGACTGCCAGATCCATTTCAGGCTCTCTGAACTGTGCTTGCCGCTTGGTTCGGCGGCATTTTGGGAGGCTTCGGCTGTGGCATCGCAGATACACAACTCTACATAGCGGCTTTGGGCTCGAAGGAGATCTTGTTTATGTATGCATCCGAGGTCAGCTTGAAAGAAACTCGGTCAAACTAGGGAGGTCAATGTATCCCTTACCAGCTTTTGCCATGCTTGGTGTAATCAAGGTCTCGACTTGACGTAGCTGTTCACGTATTGCATCGCAGTAGAGGATCAAAGGCGGGGACAAAGGGTCCTGGTGACGGTGGATTTCATGAGCCTTCTGGGCTAGATGCTGCAGCCGGACCTGTACTACCAGTACTGAATCCGATGGACATGCACCAGCACTTGACTCTAACCTCTGGAGGCAGTCCTCTAGATGAGGCGTCCAGGGCAAAGATTCCATATGTTTGTAATACGCCGAAACTCTACCAGAGGAAGGCCCAGTTTATCAGCCATGTTTTGTGCAGAAAGGAGCAGTCGGTCAGGATTCTGACTTAGAGATGGAGAAACTCACGAGGCGCTGAGAAGATAGCAGCCAAGAATAACACGGCTCTTTTCAAGATGCTGTTCCTCATCATTGCCAATTGTGTCGAGTTGCTTCATATTTTGACCCCCCCCACCACCACCACCCTCCTTTTTGAACCCAGGATGATTCACAAGTGTGTGCCCTGTCTTTTGTTTCGGCACATTTAGCCCCAGCTCATAAAGAATTGATAGAGCGAGAGTCAAGAGGCGTGAGATGCTTTTCTTGCTGAGGAACGTGTCGTGACTCCACGCCACGAATGTCAAAACAGCCAGCAATAGGTCGATACTGGAATGACCATCCACGAGGAGCTCCTTGGCTAGAATCCGCTTAAACTCTTCTCCTCTGGCGAGTCTGGTCTTTGTGGACGGCCTGGCCACCGTGCTAATTGCTAGGAGGAGGAACGGTCGATCCCTGCCAAGTGTCTTGATGGATGTTTGTCGAGGAAGATGAACAAAGGGGCAGCAAGGGAGCAGTTTGTCGATGAAGCGGCTCAAACAGGCTTGTTTCTCGTGATCCGGAAGGTCAAGAGGACCGCCAATTCTTGCGGGGGACTTATTGGCGACTGGCGGAAGGGTCAATGATGCCATGTCTTCATCCATCCGATTTCGAATGGTATTATTATCGTCCTCCGAGGCTAAATGACTTGTAGATGTTGATCCCATTAAGGCTCCTGGCGTGATGTCGGCAATGGAGGGATCTTGCACTTCAGATAAGGCATCATATCTTCTGGCGTAAATTTCCCGCCGCAGTGTAGTTTGCAGCTCATCCAGTGAATCGGGAGATCGGGTGGCGTTCTTCAGCAATGACATGAGGCTGTCGATCCTCTGTTCAAGATGTGCAACTTTGGAACCGGTGCTTTGGCTTGTCTGTACTCTGCGGCGACGGATTGCATCAGATGGGATGCACCGTTGACCAAGACGATGGCACCTATTACATCGCATATGAGTATTTTCACACAAAGTTTTGTGAGCGACATGGCTAAGAGAGAATTTTGGCTTATTGTTGTTACCTTTCACAGGTGCCTCGCTCATCCCGTAGCATACACTTGCATTTTGATTTATAACACTGCAAGCACGCTTGACCATATGGGGCTGGCTGCCCTGCCTGTCTGTTGTTGTCCATATAAGACTTTAGCTGATAAGAATTATGATGTGTTGATATCTATGACGGACATTGAGTATTGATCAGGATGACTGCAGGGCTTAGTAGTGATTCAATGGCACTACTTCGTGGCCGGAATTGGAGGCACCTAAATACGACATTTGCTGTGCACAAATGCCCGGATTTCAGACTCTCCGAAATCCGCCACCAAACCGCGCTCTTACAGGACTTAACGGATGTATTAGATAAGCCTGTGCCCCACGAAGTCATGCCTGCCTGCATTCCTCAATTATTCCTGCGTGTCTCGCAACAACCACAACCACATGAGAAATCGTGAACAAATCACCATCTGATGGTGTGCCATGTAAAAAAGAGAGAGAGAGAGGGAAACTACTCAAATAGTTGTACTTCCAATTCCACGATCCCCTTGATCTACCCATCATCACTTAATGCGTAAAGTACTGCCTTCTCTGCTGCTGTTTCTGATGCTCGGGAAACATGGTGGCGTAGAACTCGGTCCAGCCTCCCATTCTCACACGAATCAAGTTGTACTTCTCAGGGTCCCTCGAAGCAGCTGCATAAGTAGAGAGATCGGCACATGTGAGTGAGATCAAATTCCCGCCAACATCACCTGCGGCAAAGGCCTTGACGAATTGTTGGAGCTCGTCCAGCGGGAAAGATTCCTGGATGTTCTGGAGGAATGTTTGAATTAGAAAAAACATGTTCATTTTCACCCAACGGCCCTGGGAGACATGATGTAGTACATAGGCAAGGGGGGAAAAAACAAAGAAAGACATACCATATCGACCGGAGTCGCATTGGAGAGTCCATACTCGGCTGCATGCCCCTTGACGCTCTTCATAGCCTGGTAGATATTGCGGAAGCGCGGGTTCGGAGGGTTCAGGTCCTGCGGCGCAGGTGCCGGCGACATGTCTGAGGCGAGAGGGCTGCCGTTCCGCCGTCCATCAGCCGAGGCGCCGCACGCTGCTCCATCACCGACATAGCCCTCGAAGGTGCCGATACCAGGCGTCACCACAAATTCGAAGCCGCCCTCATCATCCTTGTAGCGTTCCTTGATGGCATCCAGCTGCGGCTTGAGCGCCGGCGAGGGGTTGTCCTTATCTATGACGCTTGTGCATAGCCTGACAAGTTGGTCCATGAGCCATTCGCCCAGGGCGTTGACTTCCTCGTCGCCTCCACCCCATTTGGGGAGAGCAAGAGCGGTATCTCGGAGCTGTTGGAATCGTAGACCATGCTCGGCTGCGTCAGCAGGTCCCCTGAATTATCAAGCGCGGTGTCAGCATATTTCATCGAAACATGTTCATGTCGTGAGGGTGAAAGAAAGGGACGGTAATTAATTGATTGATTTTCCCAACAAATGGGACTTACAACAGCTGATCTTGGAAGGGTTCAACCATGTTGAACCCCCAGTCGTTCATCAGACAGCGCACCAATTCCTGCAGGGTGGTGATCGCAGTCTCGGGGTCATATACCAGTTTCTTGATGGCGTACAGAGAATCGATTGTGTTGGAGACACCCATGCACATGGGCGCAATGAGGTGAAAACGGCCACCTCCATCCGTCAGGTCTCGCCCCTTTTCCGAGCACCCGTCGATGACGACCGACAGGAGAGGACTAGGGCAGACGCTGACAAGGTTCCCATAGTTGCTGAGCATGACGTTGTAACACTGGATGACAAGCCACTCCAGCTGCTTTACAAAGACCTCCTGTAGCTGCTCAAAGGTCTTCATCTCCTTGGCGGGTGGAGAGCGAAATGTCTGCTTCAGTCCTCGCAGGTAGATTGGTCCCGCGGCGCCATACGTAGCCCCCTGGTTCAGAGTCTGCTCCAGTGCCTGCATGAGAGCGACACTCGCAAAGGTGAAGTCGTTGGCCCCAGCAAACATGGGCTCGTAGCAGCCATCTGCGGCATAGTTTCTGGACCACGCACGCGTGACGGTGCTTCCGGAGTCCAACAGGCCCTGGCAGAGTTTGTCGTCGTTATAGAGCATCGGCTGAGCGCCGCCAGAAAGAAGACACTTGGCTGCCTCGTCCAGAAATTCCTGAGGGATGTCCTTGTACGTTCGTAGCGACACCGTGGGCGCATTGACGGGAATCCGTCGTGCAGCCTTCAGAAACAACATGGTGACTGGGTTCGCGCCGCCCTCGGGCTTTTCATCGTCTGTGAATTTGTAACCACCCACTGTAATCTGCTGCACCCATTGGTTGATTCCTCCGCCCTGAGGAAAGTTACCTCCGATCCCACACACTGCACATGTGCCTATATTACAATAATCGTAGATGAAGGCGCGGTCGATAAAAGCGTTCTCGCCAATCTTGATGAAGAGGCAATCAATGATGTCCTGCGCTTTCTCTGTTGATAGGCTTTCCTTCTCACGCTGCCAAAAGGGCCAGAGGATCTGGTCGAGGCGGCAGAACGAGGTGAGCTCTCCCACGAGATGCAAGCAGCAGTGGAACGAGAAAATGAGCTGCACCGCGTCTTGGAAGGTCTCGGGTGGTTGGTTCACCAGACGTCGTAGGCGCGCTGCGTTGTCTTTCATATTCTGCACGTCTTCGGGTGCTTGGCCAGGTAATTGGGTCACCTTGTCGCAGTTCAAAGCCCAATTCTCCAGGTAAGATTGGACGGCGTGCAGTGAGATGATGGACGCCTTGTAAAAAGTGGACTGATTTGCATCACCTCCCTTGGCCTCGCGACGGCTCTGGAGGTCGTCGATCAAGCCCTGCACACCCTTCTTAACCACGAGATCATAGTCGGGCACAATGTGTCCCATAGAAGCGTGTTCGTTGAGCCCATTCTTGAGCCAGTGTGCGAGTTCCTCATCCTGGTCCAAGTAAGGAACGACCTCCTTTCCCCGACCGAGGGTGAAGTCGGGAATTTGCCCAACAATGAGCTCTCTGGCCTCGATGCGCAAGAGGTTGTTCTCTTTCGCAATTGTCGAGTCTGGTGAAGAGAGGAGGCCAGCCAGGGTGTGGGAGTTGGCGAGGGCCTTGAGCAGTGCCACATCCTTCTCGTGACCTCGAAGAATCTCCTTGTCCTTTGGATCGAGAAGGATACTCAGATGCGGTAGACGAGGAAAGTTTTGGCGATGAAGCCATCCGTCGCGCCAGTGATTGAAGGCTCTCGCCATGAGCCCAAGGACGCGATCACTAGGCGGGTCGCCACCAACGTAATGGTGTTGGCCCATCTGGTGAAGATAGTCCTGCGAGTTGTAGAATAAATAGCCGTTCTTACTCCTGACATTCCAATGATCCTCCTCGTAGATATCATCGGGCCCAGAGACGCCGGCAACGCCCAGCTCAGCCGCCGCTGGCACGTACCAGTAACTGCCACCAATGCCCTGCACAGTCGCCAGCAAAAGGTCCGCGGCGTGTCCTGCCTGCTTTCCAACAAGGTGCTTCAGCAGCGCCTCGAACCGTTCCTGCTCATTGCAAAAGGCCACAAACATGATCCCCTCCTCACGCGCAGAGTACCCGCCGGCTGTCCCATAGGGCATGGCCTGTCGCAGGATTTTCTTCTGGTCGCCGTTGGCGTCTCTCACGTTGCCTGCGCGGTGGACATGCCCGCGGAGGCCGTGCTGGGATAGGACAGCGCCGTCCACGTTGCGGCCGATCATCTCATCTTGTGCGTCTGCCGTCTGGGTGGCAATGGCTGGCCAGTCGAACTCGAACTTTTGGCTGAGGCCGAAGCAGGAGCCGGGATAGGGCCCGTCACGGATGAGGATGTCTTCGACGAGGGTGACTGGGTCGTTTGGGTTGGTGATGCCATCGACGTAGCGGCCTCCAATGACACGGCTATCTGAACGCTTGCCGCCGATGGTGATGTCAACTTGGCCCGGGCCCACGAGTGGTTCGAGATCAGGGAGCAAAGCCGAGACAATCTCTTGAGCCTTCTCGTGGCTTGGGGCTTTAACATAGAGCAGGATGTCGCCTCCCGTGTTGCGAAACTTGCGAGTGTCGCTGTGCTTGCCGTCCAGGACTTTGGTGCGGATGGGAATATCTCGCCCTGTCCACTTACCCCAGAGCGCAGGGGAGAAGGCTGCCACAAGGCCGCAATCTTGATGCTTGGAGTTGATGGTATTGTCCAGGTCACGGATCAGACCGGTGATGGCCGTGTGCATTGTGTCATCTTGATGTTTCAACTTGATGGTCAGGAGCTGGCCAAAGACTGGCTTTGTGAGTAAACCCTTCTGGGCTCCAAGAAGGGTCTTGTCAAGTGCCATAGTTGGTTTCGCGCTGTACTTCTTTGGCAACTCTTGTTCTATTTTTCTTCTCCTTCCCAAGTCTATTTATTGGCCTGCCACCGTAATGGCTTTATATAATCGTCACTTTCTCTCGACAATGCCAATTGTCCCCTCTCCAAATCATTTCCTGGGATAATTGATCAGTAAAGGCCGTGTCTCAGTTATTCTCCATTTACTTACCGCTCAATAAACACACAGTCTGACGATCGTGTAACTTGAATTGAGGGGAAGACCACAACTCCCCGTGTGGCTTTCAATGTGCATCACAATGGGCCAATTGCCGTTGGCAACGTAAATTCAATTTCGGGTGATTTCACGCCCCTTATAACGCCGTCTGCATTTGTTTACCTCCTACTGGCTCCACATGAGTATCACGAGGACGAAAATGTCTGCAGCATCGCGGGGTCGGGGTGATACGGCTTGCCTCAAGCCCATTACGCAGGTGGCAGACAAGCCCCGTCTTGGATGCTCTCAGGGTATGGGTGGAGGACACGAGGGAGAGGTGGGCAGAGCGAAGGAGAGCCCCAGGTTTCGCAGTTCTGATGCTTACCCATCTATCCCTCAAGTTCTTCTTTTTATGTGAGTCTAAAGTTCCGAGACATTTGCACTTGGACAATTCAACCGTGTAACATTACCACCCTTCCAGTGGTATCTCTAGGCAAATGCACGCTGTGTAGTGGACAGGGGAGGCAGGCTCTCTGATAGTGAGTAGCTCACCTGGGACGAAACACAGAAATGATCAAGCCTTTCAGGTTCTTCTTGCTTGTGTGAGAGATTGTCCTATCCGTACAAGATGCAGGCCTTCATTGGCAACGCGCACGCAAGAGCTGCTAATTATACAAGTTTGGTCACTCTTGCTCGGATCTAGCGATTATTATGAGACCCAAGAATTAAGTACTTTGGCAGCATATTCTGATGCGTAAGAGCTGAATTCTAAGAGCGTAACAGGACGACACGGCGCTGCAGGGCCTCAGGCAGCTCAAGCTCCAGTCCGAGCCTGATCGTTTTGACAAGGCGAGCTTGCTCAGTTTAGATTCCACTTATCGTATTGGTGGAGCAAAACTTGACAAGCCTGGGCAGGGAACTGTACATATGCTACTGGTGAGAGATTCTGGCTCGATGATAAGTTGTGAGTCGATTTGACTGTCTGAAGAATCACTTATTATTAGGTGGAAGTGATAAGATATACCTACGAGATGTAATCATGGTCTAGTAGTGACAAGATTGGTGAAATCCAAATACTCGTGACGTCTTCGTAGAGAGCGATAGAGGGATAGAGATCAAGCAAAGTTCATGTCTTCTCGGAGTCAAGAAACCAATTCATCTCCTTATAGAAGGGTGTACCCTACTCGTCTCCAAACCACCATGACAAAAGGCTCTTCAAAGATTTCGCATTATCCTCTGATTGACTTCCTTCTAGTGCAACCCAGGCCACTCTCAAGTCAGGACGGACCAAAAAGGCTTGTACACCCTGCCATCTGTCTCCCACCGGCTCAACATGCTTTTCAAGCAGCTTGATCTTGTCGCTGTGTGGAGTTGACAAGAGACGAGCCGCAAGCGTTTTTTTGCTCTCAAGTTCATCAATCGACCCACCTACAAACGCGAGGACGAAGACATTTTTCCTTGCCGCTTCAAGTATATCAGGTGCATGCTCATCGGAAACATGCGTCAGCCGAGTTCCCACCAGCCTGTGTCTTGTCTGTGGGCCCTCATCGCCCAGATGATACGGCTCAGTGGGATCATCAAACCCCGTCACGCGCCGAGCCCACAGCCTATTGAAAGTCGGCTGATCAAACGCCTCCGTGACGAAGTCCACCATTGCCTGCTCCTGTTCAGTGGTGGCGAAGAACAAGGCCATCTGCACCTTGATGTTCTTGATCACAGCCTGCACAGCCGGCCTGCGCTCCCGCGTGTAGCTGTCCAGGACGCGCTCGACCACCTCCTCTTGGCCCGAGATGCCGCCGCCCACAACGGCGGCGAGCTTCCAGGCCAGGTTAGCCGCGTCGAGAAGCCCCGTGTTCATCCCCTGCCCTCCAGCGGGGAAGAGCTGGTGTGCCGCGTCTCCGGCAAGAAAAATCCTGCCCCAGCGGTACGTATCAGCATGATACATGCCGTTTCCCGTGACGGATGACCAGCCCACATCCTGCAGTCCGTAATCTGTGCCGAAACACCTGTCGGCCCACTTCCTGATGAGATCCTTGTCGGGCGGAGCTGGTCTCTGCACAGGGTCTGTTGCTGCCGAGGGTGGGATGAGCCCCATGTAGCGGACAACACCCGGAGAGATGGTCTGCATGAGCATTTTTTCTCCTTGGACCATGGCGGTGCGGATGCCCGGCGTCTTGTCCTGCACCGTGCAGTCTGCCAGCCAGCCGTACCTCGTGGCTTGTGTTCCTGGCCACGAGATCCTGGCTGCCTTTCGGACGGCGCTGTGGGTTCCGTCGCAGCCTACCAGCCACGAGGTCTCGACCGTCTCCACGTCGTTGTCGCCGTTGTCGTCGTTGTTGTCACTGCCATGTCTCTCAAAAATGGCAGAGACAACGTCTGCTTTCTGCTCCAGGCCCACAAACTTGCGGCCCCAGGCGAACGGGATCCCGACTTCCTCGCATCGCTTTATCAGGACTGCCTCTGTCTTCACCTGTGGGAAAGTGCAGTTAAACGGATATTTCGTCCCCAGCACGTCATAGTTGAGATCTAGAAGTCGGCGCAAGGCGCCAAAGTGGGCGTTGGGGACCGCAGTGGCGTCTTCTAGGAACCTCGTTGCGATGCCGAGGGTGCGGAAGATCTCGAGTGAGCTTGCGCTGAAAGTCTAGGAGAAAAAAAAAGTAATTAACAATCTTTCTTTCTCCAGTAAGGTCTACTAAGCCCCTGCAGAGCTACTGAGATTTTTTATTTTATTTTATTGTTTTTGGAATGCGTGGCTTGAAGTTCTGAATGCAATTGTTGTGTTGCGGCTTCGTACAGGAATACAAATGTTCAAAAGGGAAGAAGCTAGGTTCGGGTTGAACCTACCAGACCCTTGGACCAGTTATGCGTAAGATCACGCGAAGGTCTGACGTCGGCCACGAGAATGGCGCTCGCTGGAACACCGGCCTGGTGAAGAGCCAGGGCAGTGGTGAGACCCACGGGACCTGCGCCGACGATGAGGACTTGTGGTGAAGTCATTGCCAGGTTGGATCTGGTGGCGATTCAACGTACAAGGATTTCGAACTTTGTGACAATTGACATATTAATTCACTGATAGCTCAGAAAAATAAGACTACTTCTATGGCACGTCTGACTTTGCCTGTCAACGCCTTCTTAATCTTTTTCTCTTCCCTCCGCACAGACCTTACTTAGTCTTATCCGACGTGGTGCTCTCCTCCGTGTTCTGCTGCGCCGTCTAACGGCTTGGTCCACCGCGGCGCAGACATGAGACCGAGGTTCCTAGTTGCATTCGCTTCCGTAGTGCATGCCAAAAGTCCCTCCTCTGGTCGCGTGCTTTCATCAGAATGGGGAGTCCGAGTAGAGTCCGAGGTCTAGCAAATTGTTGTCCAATCCAGTAGCAACATGCTGTCGTTATCGCCGCTCTCATGCCTCCTTTCCTTTTCGTACATTATTATACTAGGTAGACCTCGATAATTCCTCGCTTGAGATGATGGTTTCATGCCGCTGATGGAATTTTTTTGAACTAAAATGAATGCGGCATAGAGGAAACTGGAATGAAAATTACATGTAGGTTATTACTTTCGTACGTATATCAGACAACACAAGTAGTTCTCCAGCACCGGGAATATTCAGTAGGGCTGCTTGGGTATTGACTCAGGTTGGTCTCGCAATGACCCATTGGACCTAAACCACGTGTAAATTGTATGGTCTGGGCACACCTAACCGATTTAGTCAGGTAAGTACTTGGATCCGAATCCTTTGAACGACAATCAGATTGACTTTTAGATACCCATCATATTTCAGGTTTGAAGAGCCCGATTTGGAAGTGGATCAGCAATTAGGATTCCATGGCCTGTCGGTGTATAATTGTGTCGTGTTGTGCGGCTCATCTGAATCGTAGGCTCCGATACATGCATCTATGAAGATTAATAATGTATAAATAGTTATATAATACAGGACGCTCTCTCAAACTCCGGCAGCCGTTGTCTGCGATGTAATCTCTTTGATCATATCCTTTTTTTTAATGTATCGTCTGGACGATTGACTTCTTAACCGTGATCCCGTTCCACCCATTTTGGCTGGCCGTGTGCTGGTGATTCTCGTTGAACATATCTGCCAGGTTCGATTGGCTGTTGCTCCAGTCGGGAACACCCACGCCAGAGCCAGAGTCTGAAGCTTCCGACACCGTATCGCCCTTATGCTTCTGGCCCTCCAGGTCGGCATCGTTGTGGTTGTTGCCGTAGTGGACGACGGTGGTCACACCATACCGTTGCTTTCCGGACATGTCGTGCAGGGTAAAGGTGTCGGCGTTAGCGCTGCCTTTTATGTGGCCGCTGCCGGTCCTGCGCCATTGGTGAGCTGAGGAGCCGTGGCCGGGTGCAGAAGAACCGCCGCCGCCGAAGAACCTGCGGAGGAGAGGTCGCAGCGTGGCGAAGCCGGCGGCTGTGATGCCAAGTCCAGTCTCGACGGCGGACCAGATCGCAATATCGGTGGTGGAGTAGAGGAAGTCGTCGACATCGGTCAGCGTGTAAAGGTAAGGGAAGCGGACAATGGTTGCACTCGAGGCACTGTGTGATTCGGAATTGTCAGTCACGGGTGGCGCCACTATTGGTGATGACCTTTTCCCAAGGAAGCTCTTGGGGTGGACTTACATGGCACCGGCTGCCAGAATGAGCATGACGGAGATCTTGACCTTCCTCTCCATCTGCAGGTTCCAAACCAAAGCGACTGGCAAAAGACTGAAGGTCCAGTCGGTCCAGCAGCTAATAGCCGAGTATCCATAGAAGGTCTTGGGGATGATAGGCGCTGACCAGCACCAGCCGCCAGCAGGAGGGTCGGCGCTGTATCGGAGCCAAAAGTAGGACAGTGGTCGGCACTGCAGCAGGAAGAGCAGGAAGAAGGCAAAGCTGTAGAGCTCCGTGACGCCGATGACAACGTAGATGATCCACTTGTGCCATTTCGAGACACAGATGCGCAGCAAGAAGATGGCGATGGAGGCCTTGATTGCCATGTTGGTCAAGACATAAAGAGGCTCGCAGGTCCACCACATCTACAGCGTCTGGGGTTAACAAGGAGGTCCTTGGTTCAAGTTTAGCTTGGGTGAGCATGCAAGGCTTACCTGCATCGCCTTGGGGATATCCCCAGGCTCAATATCGGCGAAGTGCCGTCCGTTGCCATAGTGGACACCGCCGACCTCGTAGGAGATGAAGAGAATAAAGAGAATCTGCCCACTCGTCAACATTTCAAACCATCTCTGAAAGCTGAGGCTTGTCAGGATATACATACCTGTGCAACAATGGCAAGCCAATCATCCAGTGCGAATGCCTTGATGACCCAGCCACGACAGTAGATGCGGAGAGCAGTGGCAATGGTGGAAATGGTCAGAAAGGTGTACGCGACCGCAAGAATCTGCGGTGCACGGGTGTCGAGAGTCATGATGATTGGAATGAGGAACAAAAAACAAATGTGAATACAGTCAGTCCCCTTCCTGTAGATGTTCTGAAACCGAGAAGAAGCACGCAGAGAAAAACCTCCACCTGACTGATGGCGTGGGGTCGCCGGGAATATTATATCAACGACAGCAAAAGCCAAGGCGAGCCTCCTCTAAACATACGACGACAAGCAAAGAGGGCCCCAGGACCCCTGGGATCTATATGATGGGCAGCTAAGCCTGTCGAAAGCGCACCCCTTTAAGTCAGCTAGAACACGTTGGACAGGTCTTCCCTGATCTCCTAGCACGCCTGGGACATTCGGGCCGGGCCCTAGGGGGCAGCTAATACTTGGCTGAACGACGATTGTCATTTCTCGTGGGGTTCGAGGCCAAACTCCTGACTAGCTGGAGACCATATTGCGTACGGATGGCCATCTACATTGGGCTAGTATTGCGCTTTGATGGAGACTAGATTTGGCACTAAGGCAGTTTACTGGAGCCCACCGTCGTCGCGGTTTTTAGTGTCAAACAGAAAAAGACGAAAAGAAAAAAAGACCTCCTCCACTTCCCAATACTTATTTACCTACCCCTAGGCACGTCGTCCCCGACCCAGACTTGTTGTGTCGATCCAGAGGGTCCTCATGCTTGCCATGATACGCCACACACCGTGAACATCAGCGGGTTCAGTGCTTGCCGGAGACATGATTGTCCTCCCTGGTATCGAAGATCAGCTCTTCTTTTTCCACAACGACAAGGCAAGGCTGTTCGATAAGCTTGGTACCGAGTGAACACACCGTTCTTCGTGGTTTTTTGGTGCTGCTGGTCCTCTTGGCAAACACACAAGTCACATACGTCTTGTAGGGAATTAGGCTTTCCGTTTGTTACCGAGTAAGCGAAACTGTGAATCTTGCCTAAGTAAGTGGCTAGTCGGGGTTTTGATAACAAACGTGACGATATCTAACCAACAATACGCCTACACTAGCATTGCTCATGTAGATCATTCCCCATGAATAACCGTCGCGTCCTCAATAGTCTGCTGGTGCGTACCTGAGTTGTCAAAACCTTCTTGCATCAGCTCCTGGAGGTCGTGGCCAGATGGTTCTAAATTTGACCAGGTAGAAAACTCTGCAGCGGAGGCCCTGCGAAGACAACCCGAGCCAGGCTTTCATGATCATGACCTGAGCTGTAGAACTCTCGACAGCCCATATTTTGTTTCTGAATCTCGCGATCAGCTATCAATACCCTCATTCTATCATGCTGTAACAAATCTCTAACCAAAGATCACCGTATCGCTTGTGAATTTCTTGACAAGGGGGACGTTTTGGGAAATGGAGAGGAATGGAGAATCTTTCTAGAAGAAGGCATGGACAGTGCCGATCGCCTCTCGTGGTGTGACGAGCAGAGCATGGACATCCCACCTTTGACTAATATCGATATCCACGTACGCAGCATGGCAGGTCAAGGTCCAGCAAACCACTATGCACGCTACTGTGCAGTAAATATTAATCCGAACCCCTTTTCTGCGTACCCCTTGCAGCGGACAATCCCCCCGGCCCGCCGGCTTTACGTCCGGCTTTGCCCACACTGCGCGGTCGTTATACTGGAATTGGCCACAGCTCGTCGATCTGGAGGACTTTTTCTGGGATACACCACGTTATGGCAATACAATGCCTCCTGGACGCTGCCTGCTGCTCTAAATTGCCACTCCCATGTAGCTCAGTTGCTTTGCTTGTCAAATTAGCTTTTGGGTCGTCGCGGAGATCCTGGAACATTTCTTCCGCGTGAGGAACTCCACATGTGAATGTTTTCATAACAATGCTCGAGATCTTCCGTCCTCGCCCTCCCCTTTCCTGAACCTGCCTTTCTACCTTTATAAACCTTCCTCCCTACATGCATTCAGACTGGCCATTGGGACGCTGGTGTCCAACGTGTTTTCGAGTTAGCGTTGCATTCGATGCCGCTACCCTGGGCCTCGGCTTTCATGGTTCCAAGCCCTCGGGACTTCATCTGGCAATTACCAAGCGTACGTAATCATCAGATTTTCTGTATGTAGAGGGGGGAGGGGGTGGTTGGGGGTGGGGACGGCCTTCAGATGTTCGAGAAAATATTTCGGCGACCACCGTGCAAGAACACGGATGGCTCGGCGTCGTACTCATCTAGGCAGGCCGTCAGCAAAGAAAGTTCTCTGTTCTTCTGTCCACATTCACAGGACTGTAGCATTGAACCGATCTTTTGAACTTCATAAACTCTTTTTTCTACTGACTGCAAGGTTTCTCGGTGAAGGCGTCAATAAACCTATAGGAATGCCCGTTCAAATCGACTGGCTAGTGAACACCATACTTCCCTGTACCTCGACGACCTCCTCTCCAAGATTATGGTAGAATGCACAGGCAGCTGGGTGCTCGCAATGTCCCGCCGTCTTTTGCCGTGTGCGCATCCGTATGCGTGTTGAGACTAGTAAATACACAGCCTCTGGCTGCCCCGGGAGAAATTCGGATTAATTACAGAGGTTGCTTTGAAAAAGGAGCTAGCATTCTCGCTCCCTGGGTTATCTTAAATGTAATCATGCAAGTGAGTAGCAAGCCTCGACAACCATGAAGCCAGTGCGCACATGCATCATGCCTCGTAGCCCCCGCATTCCCTGGCCTTTTAGTTGATGCTACCTATTTTGCCGATCCTTTAACGACTGAAATGAAAACAGACCGGATGGATGTCTTATTCGGATTTGTGTTGACAGCATGTGACAATCGCTTGGCCTTCCACATTGAGTCTTAGCGAGCCTTAGACTACCCCTTGAATCATGTAATTCTTCAAAACCTGTCTCCACCCAAACATTACAGGAAGTCACTTTGCATCCAACATTGAAGGAAGCTCAGGTTAGGGTTGTTGTGGCCGAGCTAGAAGGTCATTTGGGCTCTGGAAGGATCAACAGTGTTTAGATGAAAGTTTCCAGGGTCAGCCAGCCTTATTTACAGAGTACTTCTTTGGCATCTTCAACATCATCATAATACTAACTATACATTCTTCTTCTGGCTGTATATCTCTCTCTCCCTGGCAATTCTGTGCTCACCAACTGTAAACATATGTAACAGCTGTTTGCACAGCTGCTTCTCCTTTCTCTGAATACAGGACGAGCCACCCGAATAAGCACCCTTACTGCCATAGACTGAGGCCACGGAATTGGGTACTAGACGCGATACGTTAGGCAGTCCAGTGACGACAAGAGACGCAATACAATGCAAAACTTCGATATTGTGGCTCATCTGCCCTTCATTCTACCTCATCAGCTTTCGACCAACACGTAAGCTAATAATTTACCCAGAGCGCGAGTCTTATGGCGGTTAGTCGTCGATGGATCGAGAACGGTGACAAGTAGCGCCGCTCGTAGCGCTGGTGGCTTTCAATGGCTTGCAGCAGGTCGAATCTAGAATGTGACGTTCGTCTCACCCCCTCTGTGCGCGTTTGTTTTTGGCCGGATTTGTCAGGGGTTTAAACTCTTCGGGCGTAGCAGTCCGTCCAGACAGGCAACGCTCGATCTTCGCGATGCTGTGGCTGATCGACTTGCAGATTTTAGGTGTGACAGCTGGACCTGACCTGGAACTCGGGCGCCGAAAGAGGCTGGAGGAGAAACGAGAATCTGGGCGAGCCATTGGTCAGCTCTTCTGACATTTGTTGATCGTCACTATGGATGTCATCACGTCTTTGATTTTCATCTGAATGACGACAAGAAAGCAGCAAGCGCCATCATGTCCAGGAGCAGCCTCCTAGAGGACGATTGGTGTGGTAACAAAGGAAGAGCGAGGAGCAGAAGCAGCACCCGTTTGGTCTGCACGCACCCGCGATGTTTGCTCAGGCTCAACGCCATCCAGCCCCCTCACGAATATCGGCATCGAGCATCGGAAAAGGTGGGAGGGATTAGTATTCGTTGCATGCTGTTCCATCACACAAGGTAATCAATTTTCTCCTCCTCTTCGAGAACAGAATACCCCTCGTCGGTTGCAGATCCAAACAAGCGAGGCAGCTGATGGGCTTTTTAGCCCGGATCGAACACAATCTATTAACGCAAGACATCACCAGGACATTTGACCTGTCACAGTGGCGTTGGTACAGCCACTTGATTTTCTAGGCCCCGGAGTTGCTAAAGAGACAGATCTGAGACCTCGAACGGCCGAGTCTCGCATACATCATGATGTGATCGAGATTCGCTCCTCTCTGCCCATCGGCTTGCTTCCTTCACGTCCGGCCCAACTATCCTGTCTTTGAGCAGGGTCAGGTCAATCACTAAATTTTAGGCCCTCAACCTTCTCCAAGTAAATGGTCTAGTGCAGCCCAAACCTACAGGTCGACTTCATGACCTGACAAAGTGGCCATGATGCGCCGTGTCGGGGAGCTGAGGCCCCTTGAAGATCTCTTGTCAAGGCCTGCATGGCGCTATTTGGCGGTTTAGTAATCTCATTTCACACGTCTAATACATAGTATAATACGGTCAGGTATGTTTGTGCAACAAGGCTGCTGGGCAAAGATGCACGCAGCCGATGTGCATGCACTGTCATCATCTTTCGCTTTGTCCAATCACACGTCTTACGACGCATCGCAGATTCTCCTCAACTCATTGTCCCGAATGACCAATGTAACGCCGGAGTCGCTTCCGTCCTACATCTTCTATCCAATCAGTCCTGGACTCGCAGTGGTACAAGTAGATTAATCTCGACACATCGACGCCGATGCAACGGCCTCGACCCGCGTCCACCCTGTCCGTTCCCGCCGTCGGCTGTGAACCCATTGGATACTTTGAATGAGTATAGCAGCTCTGTGCTGCACGTTTCGGCACACAGCAGCTAAAATTCGCTCGTGTTGACCAACGAATTTTTGCATAAGAAGGGACCAGTATGTCTGCAGCAGTCCATAGCATCCCAGCGCCTGATTGTCTCCTGCACACTCGCTTGGCCATGTCGACGCGGCGATGTGCAGATCCAGGGACATGGTTGAATGAGGCCATGGATGCCTTTCCCTCACATATTCACTTTTCTTCTCTCGAGGGGCGCATTGCCAAGTGTGCTTGTGTACCCTTTTGCTAACCACCTTTATTCTCTCCAGCTTGAACGTGAGGTTTGCTCCGGTCATCCTGGCCATTACAGCGGCCGGCAAGACATTCAAAACAATCTCGATTCGTTTTCGTAACACAGTTTTGTGAAGGGGCAACAGCCTGCCTGGGGATGCCAGGCTTCCTTGGTCTGCAGTCTCGCCTTTACCTCCATGGTTCCTGCGAGAAGCTCTCTCAGCGCCAAGGTATCACACCGTACACTTGTACTGCTTTCTGCATCCCGTATTCCGGGCGTTTTCAAACGTGTTTCTGCGATGTTCGGGTGGCTTTGCCCTCACCATGATCACTTTGTAACCGTCACGTTTTTGCCACCGTTTTCTCACAATTGATTCGTACGGCCACTCCGCCGATGTGTAATGTAAGGCTCGGTCGCAAACGCAAAACGGCCTTCCTGGAGATACACATTTTCCACGGCCTTTGGCATGCAGGCAGGCAAGATGGCACACAGGCTGTACCGCCTGATCGGAACCATCGTCGTACTCCGCACAATGACCCTCTGCGGCGGGCAGCTTCCCATGACAATACATTAGACGCGGCCAACATTTATTAAATCCTCCCCTCTCCCCTTCTGGCTTGCATCTGGCAGTCCTGAGAGCCTCTTCTTCCCCACTCACACTTCGCCAATGTACATGCTGTGGCTTGTTTGACGGTCACTGGCAGCTAATACTCGTCAACTGGAAACCAAAGAGCCTACCGGCATTTCTTTGACCTCAAAAGAGATCAACAGCAGGCATCTTGTTTTTGAGCTAGATATTAAGAACAAAAGGCTTCGACACCCGTCACCCGCAATCCCTGGGCCTGGCGGTCATCCTTTTGACATTGGGCTTGATCAAGACGATCTGACCCTCGTCCACCACCAACAACTTCCACCACTTATATTACGCACACACGCCCGATCAACGAGCGAGCCATTGTTCTCCATTTTCACCAAATCTTGGTTCCTATACCTGGCAATACACTATCATAGAAACGATTACTACTACTCCCTCGTTGACTTCCCCCAACCCATCAGGAGAGGCGCAAAGCCACCCGTGTTTTTTCCTTCCCTGCCCTGTTCCGCCGCTCACGCCTTTTCTTGATTAAATTTATCTTCTTTATATTTTCCCAGTCCTGTCCGGATCACTAACACTCACAATGGACGTCCCTCTCGCCGAGGACCGCGAGTTCGCCATGTTGGATGAAGATCAGATCAACACACTCAATGCTGTCGAGCGCATGGGCGCCTCACTGTCGCTCACCGGGATCATTCTGATCTTCATCACGTTTGCAATATTCAAACGCCTCCGGACTATACCCAACACCTTTATCTTTTTTGCTTCGATTGCAAATATTGGGGCCTGCGTTGCCTGCATGATAGGATATGATGGGATTGTGGCTATGAACCAGGATCGATCATCTCCTCTCTGCCAGGCACAAGGCTTCATTTTTGAATGGTAAGTAATAGAGGATTAGACATCACCCACCACTCATCACAGTTGAACAGTTCTATCAAGCTGACAATTTTGAGTTCCTCCCATCTAGGTTTATGCAGTCCGATCCTTGGTGGTCCTTCGCGATGGCCATCAATGTCTACATGGTCTTCTTCATGTCCTGTAATCCTACGACCTTTCGACACTACCTATGGCTATATTGTATAATCTGCTACGGTCTTCCAGCGATACCGGCCTTTATATTTCTCTTTGTACGTATGCCAAAGGGTCTTATATACGGTGACGCCGTGGTAAGTTTGCCCCCCTTACATTCCCTTCGATTTTGTCAATCAAAGTAGCCAGTCCTTGCTGACAGCTTGTGTGTCTTCTTCTTCTTCTTCGGTGGCTGTAGCTCTGGTGCTGGATAGCGTCTCAATGGAACGCACTGCGGATCTATTCCTATTACCTCCCGATCTGGATCTGCAGCGTTTTGTCTGCCGTCATTTACTTTGCCGTGGGCTATCATGTGTTTCACCAGCGCAATCAGCTGCGGAACCTGTCACTGAGTAACCAAGGCAAGGACGCGATGAGGGAGGATTCCGATCTGCGAGACTCGGCAGAAAAGGTGTGTCACGCGTGTTTCCTTGCGTATCGTTGCTTCCATCGAGTTGATCTCTTCAGCGCCCGGCTGCGTGTCCTTCCTTTGCTTCCCTTACTGAATAAAGACAACTGGCCCCTGCTATTTGATCATGCTAGTGTACTTTTGACGGCTTCACAATCATGATGACTCGTTCGATATTTTTCTTTGTTTTAAATGGTGGCGCGGTCTTGTGTTGATTCACCCACCTCGATTAACAACATGCCTCGAAACAACACCTCTTTCTTCACTTTTGCCTGCCCACTTCCGAAAGATCAACATGGCTGTCGTCTCTTGAAACAACACTTAATTCTTCGATGGCGATCGATCGATCGATACTAATGGACAAACTTTTGTCTCACTAGAATCTGACGTCTCATTCCGGGTCGGGTTACTATGGAACCGTGACAACCGAAGTGCAAGTCACCAGCGCAGCGATCTCGCCCAACTCCTTGCCTGCCTACGTCAATCCTTTCCAAACTGCGGCAGAACAACAGAAGAAGAAACAACAACAGCAGCAGCAGCAGCAGCAGCAGCAGCAGCAGCAGCAGCAGACTTCCTCCTCCACTGGCATCACACAGGCCCACAGCTCAGCACTAGATGGACAGCCAGGCGAGCGCCCAGCCCTTCACATAGACACGACAGGAGAGTCGCCACGTGCCGTAACGCCAGCCCCCAACGCACCAGGTGCCCTCTCTCCTATCCAGGCACACAATTACCCATGGTCATTAGAGTCAAACTACTGTTCTACTGCAGGACCTGATGTCGAATCGACTGCTCCAACACTCGTCAGCAGCAGTTCCACAAGCTTTGCCTTTCCGCTTCCACCAGCCCATCAACACACGAACAACACTTCCTACAACAACAACAACAACAACAACAACAGCAGCACCTTCGAGGCGACCAACTGCGGCTTCAACACAACGCAGTATACCTCGATATCCGCAGACCCCTCCGCCTCAGCAAAGGATGACCGCGGTCCCTCTCCAACACGGCTCCTATCGCCCATCTCGAGACGGTTTACGAATGAGGATCAACTGCACCACCCACAGCACCGCCGCAGCAGCAACAGCAACAGCAGCGGCGTGGACAAGAGCAAGACGAACAGCAGCAAAAACATCTTCCGAAGCGTGTCGCACGGCACGAGGCGGTTCGGGCAACGGCTGAGGCACATGGACCCCGTGAAGCTGGCGTACCTGCGCACGTCGTTTGTCTTTGCCATCTCGATCCTCGTGACATGGACGCCCTCGTCCATCAACCGCGTGTACACGCTCATCTATCCAGACAGAGCCTCGTACGGGCTCAACATCGCCGCTGCCGTGGTGCTGCCGCTGCAGGGCGTCTGGAATGCCGTCATCTACTTCACCACCTCGTGGAGCATCTTTCTGGAGGAGATGGACGCCACCCCGTGTGGGCGGCGCGTGCTGGAGTTCCTCCATATCAGCCCCAGCAGTGAGGACCTCGAGACCGGGCAGAGCGGCGGCAGTTTTGCGCTCGGGTCGTCGGCCAGATCGCCCAGGAGCGAGATGGGGCGGAGCAGGAGGCTGGACGGCGAGAGCCGTGACGGGGATGAAGGGGTCGAGCTGCAAAGCCCGTTGTCGTCGCCCGTGGTCTCGCCGGTTGTCACGCCTCGACGGCCTCAGCCTGTGAGGATGAGTACTATGAGGGTCACTCAGAAACAGCTAGACCAGCTGAACTGATCGAGGCGCAGCTATCTTGGTGGTAGTCAGATCAGGGAGACGACGCCACGTTTCTTCTTGCCTGGAATTCACTACCAAGAGTTCAACTCACATTTACTTGTCTGTTTCAGATCTTTTCTTCTTCTTCTTCTCCATATAGAGATAGATTGATTCCTGACGCTGGTCAGTCAGATCGATCCATCAGGGACGAGGACTCACGTTCCTCTCAAGAAATCGCTTTGTCGGAACGGAAACATGTGGCATGATTTGTGCGTTGCTGGCAACAACGAGGGTATCAATGAAAGAAACGCAAACTTGAAAGCAAAAATAACGAGTTGATGGAATTCTGTAATTATTCATGATAGTTTTGAGTACAAATACATAAATCAATAGAATGAAAAGACAGAAGAAAAGAAGAGAGGGATTTACCTATTTTCTAGTTCTGTTTCTCTCCCCCCCTTGGCTCTTTTCATTCGACGACAATGGCATCAATCCAAGGCGTCCCATCCACCTGAAAGATAGTCACCACATTGCCCCCTTTCAACATATCCACCATCAACGTCTGCTTCCCGTCCCCAGAGAACGTCACCGTCTGGTTCGACAGCCAGTTGAGCTGCACCTGCACAGAGCCACTGCCACCGCCTACAACGGTCAACGATGTCTGCCCCGAGTCCTCGTCGTCTGGCGTCCGCACATTCGCCAGCTCGACCCAGCCGCCCGTCCCAAGACTCACTCCGCCGTTCTCGATTGTGCCATTGAGCCCCTTGGGCGTGCCCTCAAAGGCCCCTATGAAGGTGCCAATCACCCCGTCCTCGGCCTCATAGCGTGGTCCTGTGGTCGGCTCGACCCAGATCTGGATCTCACTGACTGCCGTCGTGTACCGCAGCTTATCGCTCAGCGTGACCTCCAGCAGGTCCGTCTCGACGAAGAAGCCCGTGCTGCTGCTGCTGCTGCTGCTGCTCGAGTTCGAGACCGTGCTGACATTGTCGCTGCTGCTGGTGTTGCTGCCCAAATCAGAGAAGAAGACCGTGTTCAGTGCATTGGGAACGCAGTCGGTCCAAGGGTTCTCGAACGCAACGACATTGCCGGTCCTGCCGTCCGTCACTCGGATGCCGGCCGGACAGTCGGCCACACCACCCCTCTCGACGTCGGCGAAGATGGCCAGGCTGATGCTTGTCATGTTGCGAGCGCGCGGGAGGGTGATGGTGATTGTGCTGTAGGGAAACTCGCTCTGGTTGTTCGTCCAGCGGTTGTCGGGGGTTGTGTCGTACCAGAGAAGGCCGTCGTTCATCTTCCAGGGCGGGTAGGGGCCTGTGTCGCCGTTGGGGATGAGGTTCCAGTCGGCGGTTACATTGGGCAGGCCGTAGGGTGCTGTTTATTACACACAAAGATGAGTTGATTATGCCGCCCTTTTTTGTATTATTCACGTTGGAGCGTTTCCTGTTGCAAAAATGAAACAGAAGGACATATGCAGCAACTTACAATTCGGATTTGCCAGGATGTTTTGCCATTCGGGCTGGCCGGCCAAGGTTTGGGCTGCTTCGGTCGTGTTAAAGGGTAGTGTTGCGTTGACAATGGCGCTCAAGTTGGACTGGTGGTAGAACAGAGTGCCGTTCGAGTAGATGCTGAGACCAGCCGAGACATTCGCGTAATGGCTACCGTACTGGTCCCAGATGAGGGACAGAAGTGTGCCGTGGTAAGGCAGGGACTCGACCGCGAAATATGACCAGTTACTTGGGATCAAAGGTTGCAGTATCAAATTATCTCCTAGATCTGGCACGAGACCAATTAGGTTGGTGAAGATGTTGTCGATGTACGTCGAGTGCAGATAGTTCTCGCTATGGTTCGTCGTGTCGCCCGACCACATGTCGATCGTGGGGTAGTGCGATTCGGCAGTGTATGGCTTGCCGTCTTTGTAGTTGGTCCGCGTGTATTTGCTCAGCTCCTGGTAGAAGAGCGCTGGCGTGATGGTGCTGCTCAGGCCGTCCCTGGCGATCCGTGCGAGGGTCCCCAGGTAGACTGAGGTCGAGAACGGCCAGCTCTGCCCCTGCCAGAGACAGCAGTACGTTGTATTTTTGAGGGCTGTGTAGTACGGGCTTGTCTGCTCCAGAGTCGTCGGCCCAAAGTCTGTTAAGAAATGCTCTGTGTCGAGCCCGGCGGCGAGACCGTCGATGTACGTCTGGTTGGTGCCAATGCCGAAGCGATAAGGGAAATACCCAATGAGCTCACGGCCTTCGCAACGCAGGTTGGTGCCCTCAACGACGTCGATCCAGAAGTTGAGCTCAGCGCTGTACATGAGATTTTCCATCTTGCTGTAAAGATCGTTGCCGTAGTCCGTCCAGGTCTGGGCCAGAGCTGAGCTAAGATTATTCATTAATAACAGGTCAGATTGAGAGAGAAATAAAGAAGAAAAGTCCACACATACTGGCCAGCCAGTTCAGCAACTTGTCCAATCGCCCAGGCATTCGCCACCATGTAGGCATTAAAGCTGGGCCTATACGTCTCTGGACCAAGCCAGATCAAATCATAATCATTCCCACCGCCCATGCTGGACGACAGCCCAAAGTCATTCCACACCTGCATGGGGCCTCCCCCAGGACCACCCACGAGGAACCCAGGCAGACTGTACTCCTGAGCGTCCGAGAGAGGCGTGCGGTGGTAAAGCCCAGTGGTGTTGTCCCTGGTGCTGTTCCACAGATTGTAGCTCTCTATCATTCCGTCTAGCTGACCCACTAGGAAGGAGACATGGCCGGTTGCCTGTGCGTGTTCTAGAATTGCCCTCTGCATGTAGTGCGTATAGCTGATGCCCGAGAGTTTCTCTACACCACCGCGGGTATACTCCTCGATGAGGTTCTTGATGTAGTTGGTGTCCCGCAGCCAACGAAGCTCGACGACATGATGCGGCGCCGAGTCTGGGATGGTCTGGAACTTGGAGGCCCACGACACTGGGTGGATGAACTCGGTCACGACCCAACCATGGCCCTCGTGTGCCCATTTTATATGCCGCTTGATGACGCTGGCGCGATAGTAATAGACATCTTGGATCGATGGCTCAGGCACATCGATGAACGGGATGTTGTCTAGATACCATTGATGATCATCTAGGCCGTCGAGGTAGGATTCATGATCCAGGAAGCTGGTGGTCTGCAAGTATGCATCTGTAGGTGGATATGGTCTCTCATTCTGGGCCTCTACGAGCGCGAGACCAGCCACAAGTGACACAGCAAGACTTTGCAGCTTCATGATACATTCATCCAGGTCAACAACGGACTTGTAGAGAGAGAGAAAGAAAAAGGGATAGACTGATTGATCCTACCTGTACCTAAGTAAAACAGAATCAACATCTTTTTCCCCATACCCTCCTGCAGACTTTTAATTCTTGGAACCAGCATCAATGGGTCTCGCCACATCGGTTAGCACGGATGACGATGGGTTCATCCTTATACTCCCCGTCTAGGTTCATTTACTGTAAGTTCTGGGGCATCTTTTAGGCGCGCCTATCATAGTTCGACCAGCTTCGCTTCGTCAGCAATTGTGGTGACATTGGATTGTCGCTACTAGGATTGCAAGTAGGCAAGGTAGAAAATAGTGATCGTCATCATGCGGGGAAGAGATCGATAGAAGAGACCTCGAGCAGGGGCTGCACTGCAGCTAAACAAGATGGGACGAACTGCTAAACTCTTCTAAATACATCCTTAGAAAGGAATCAAAATAAGTCGTTACATTCATTTCATCCCTTATGAAGTGACCAATCAATACTGTGATACCTAATTTGAGTTTACTCTTGTTTGCCTTTGCGACCAATACATTTGAGAAGCAGTGACGAACAACAGAATTATAAGATTTATCCCGACCAAGGATAGCAAAGTCATCTTCTCGTTCTATGATATCGACTGATTCTTTGTGATAATCACTACATCTACATATTCGCCCTCGTCACCATGTTCTTCGTTACCACGTTGAAGGCTTGCATTCCACACAAGAAAGATCGATGCCTTTATCTGAGCACGAAATCCGCAACCTCATACATTGTCAAGGCTGATCACATACTTTCCTTGCACCTGTAGGTAATAACATGTTAGTACAATTTTGTGCAACCCACCGAGGTCAAATCTTGTACGCAGGGATATTGAGTATAATGTGCTCACCTTGCCCTTCACAACATCGTCCATCAGCTCCGTCATCTTCTCGAGCTCGGCCCACTGCACCTTGGGCGTGACGAGACCCCTTCGGACAAACTCAAGAGCCTCCAGCGTATCTCTGCGCGTGCCGACCGACGTGCCAATGACCTTGAATCCAGATGCGATGAACTGAAGCGGGTGCATCGAGAAGACCTGCCCAGGCGGTGGAATGCCCACGCACACGAGCGTCCCAAACGGCGCGAGCATCTCTATAGCCGTCTGGTACGCAGCGCCCACACCAGCACAGACAAGCACAGCGGGCGCTCCCAGCCCGCCCGTCAGCCTCTTCACCTCGGCTGCCGCGCCCACACTCTTGACCTCTGCGCTGGTGATGTCCACAAAGTGCTCTGCGCCCTCGCCCAGCGCAAACCGCGCCTTCTCCTTGCCTGCATCGACCGCAATCATCCTGTACCCCATCGCCTTCCCAAACGCCACCACAAACGCACCCACGCCGCCGCCACCACCGCTCACAGCCACCCACTGGCCCGGATACAAGCCATCGCACGACTTGAGCGCCTTGTAGGCCGTGACGCCGCCGCAGAGCACAGGGGCAAGGTGCTCGTCGGGCACGCCGGCAAACGAGTCCGGGATGCGCAGGAGATAGCGGGCCGGCACGAGCGTGTACTGCGCAAAGGTGCCGTCGCAGTGCTGACCCGAGTGCGGCTTGGCGGCACAGCGCGTCTCGCCGTCGCGCGCGAGGTTGGTGCAGAAGGCGCACCGCCCGCAGAAGTCGCGCGTCCAGGCCACGCCGACGCGCTGGCCGGGCGTGATGGACGGGTCGAGGCTGCCGACGTTGCTGCCCAGCGCCTCGATGCGGCCGACGCCCTCGTGGCCTAGCACGGCGCGCGTGGGGCCGAGGTGGCCTGCTGCCTGGGTGCAGTCGGTGCCGCAGAGGGAGGTGAGGTTGAGCCGGACAAGGACCTCGTTGGGGCCCGGGCGGGGCTTTGGGAGGATTTGGACTTCCAAGGCTGGGGGAATGCCTTGTACCTGTGTGTTTATAGCATTAGTCAATGGGGATTTTTTTTTGGAGAATCTGAATCAATAACTGCGTTGGATAAACTTGGTTGCACTTATATGCCTCATACAAATCATTTGTCCCTGTGGACGACGACTTCGGATGTGTCTCGAAGCAGAGTGAAACTTACCGTCAAAACGGCGGCTTTGTAAGTATCGGCCTTCATTCTGAAGCGACGAAGAGGGCACAATCAAAGTGAATCTGTCTCTCTGAGGGTCGCAAATACGATGCGATCAACAGTCAATCTTGTTTTACTTCTTGATCTTGCTGTGCAACTCGCGCTCTCTGTTTCCCACAGGCCGGTGGCTACTCTACAGATACTGATGCTGTGGGCCAGTCTTATTATAGCTTCTTGCTACAAAGTGGTTATCGCGTGCTACTGTTACATCGGAATCAGAATCCGGAATGTCCTGTTCCAACGTGCATAGCGGTATAAGTTTTACCCTGAGATGCCAAGCGCCCCCTGTAGGCGTCTCGAGAAGCACCCTTTGGGCATAGTTAAGTGGCTTGCCGGCAATCAACATGACCCCGTGGACTAATGATTTTCTCAGTTGGGCGTGAACGAGGCAAGCTGGGCAACGGCCAAGCCAGGTCAAGCCGGGTCAAGCCAAGAAATATACCGAGACTAGGTGACAAAATCTGGGGGAATAAAGTTTGAACGATGAGGAGAAGAGATGCGCTACTGCAGGGACTCTTTTTTGGTCGACTAGAACCAGGCATTCCTTACGTTTTGGCTGGCTGAGGAAACTCTTATCAGTGCAGATTGTCCATAGAACTTCTTCAACAACAGATAAGGTCGGAGGGGTTGCTGGGCAGCTGTTTTGCTATTTCAACACCACTCTGGTTATGTCCTTGTCCTTGTTTTTGTTTTTTATCTCTCAAGATTTTAGAGGGCCAGGTGACACAGTATCGAATAAGGTGGCCAGCAGCGTTGTAAAGATACGTGTTAGCAAATAATATTGATAATTTACCTCTATGCTGCCAACAGTCCCATAATCTCTCATGCGCTTCATGAAATCCTCAGCTAGAGAAAAGAGATGTATCTGCATTACATGAGCTGCATCACTCTCCAATCGCACCCTTTCTCCTCTATTTACAACAATGATCCATCACTATAGTCGCAGGGTCCATCAGCATTGCGGCTCGCTCCTTGCAAATCCAACCCTCATAATGTTGTAGTGCGCTACTTGTCAATCAAGAGAGGATCCAATCTAGTTTTTTTGATCTACAGAGGCTCAACCCAGCATGGCTGATTTGCTAGTTCTATAACAACAATAATAATACAATACAAGCACCCAACTTCCATCAAGGACACAGCCAGATGTCCTCCTCCTCCCCCCTGACGCCCCGCCACCACTCACTCTGCCGCACAAGCTCCCCATCCTCACCACCAAGAAGGGCCCAGTATTTCCTCAGAAACCAAGGCTTGGCCTGCCAACTCCTCGAGTCCCACGGCGTGCCCGACGACGCTTGACCCGTAGCAACATTAATATCCCTCTTCCCTGCGCCAGCCGAGCCCCAGCAGATGAGCCCCGCCAACATATCCACACAGAACTCGTCCTCGTCAAACACCGTCACGTTCAACAACATGTTCCTTCGAACAGTCGGAAATGGGAGCACGTCGATGGCAGGGTGGTGCGGGTGGGTGATTTGCTCCCTGATAGGTCGCAGGTCTGGCTTCAGCGTCCGGAAAATGTTTTGCACGGTGCGGATCATGGGAGCTTCAGAGGACTCGGATGACGACAAAGACGACGGCTCCGACGACTCGGCATTCTGGATGATGTTGCGGCCCAGCCCTGGACGATAAAAGGGCGAGAGGCTGTCGTCCTCGCAGAACATGGGCTCCGAGACGCCCACCTGTAGACAGTTGCTCCACATGGCCGTGAGGGTGCACATGACATCCATGCGGATGTGGTTGGCATAGGGATCGGCGGGGAGGGGCGTACCTCCTACCCTCAGGAGCTGGATGCTCGCGCCGCTGCCTGGCTGTCTGGTCTGCACCTCGACGTGCTGCGCGGGACACCCGCAGTCGATGTAGCTCTTGTACAGGAAGTCTGAGTGCTTGGACCACTGGAAGTTTCGATACATGGGCTGGGAGGGGTTGAAAAAGCTTCTAAAGTCCATGTCCCAGAGAGCAAGATCCGACGATGGCCCTGGTGGTGGTGGTGCTGCTGCTGCTGCTGCTGCTGCTGCTGCCGTGTCATCTGGTAGTGTGGACGACGACGACGACGACGACGACGACGACGATGATGATGAGGGCGACGAAGACGACGCAAATCCTGCTTCTCCTTCTTCAAATGGAGTGGAAAACACCGTCGTGGATGGTGCCTGCACCTCCTGATCCTCCTGGGCCTCTGTAGTATTGTTACAGTCCAGAAACATCCAGTCCTGTAGCGCCACATCAGACGGCGAGGTTTGAGGTGTAATGGGTGTCCCAACCATAAGTTGGGTCAGCTCTCCATTACTGATACTCGTGGGCTCTGATGCTGCTGATGGTGATGAGCCTGTCTGCAGCCTGTTCTTGGCCACAGATGCTGCCAGTGTCTCGAGGTCATCGAGACGCTTTCGCAGCTTTTCGCCTTGACAGAAAATGTCATCAGCATGTTGAAATTAAAGAGAGAAAGAAGAGAGAAGAAGAGAGAAGGAAAAGAAGGATAAAAGAAGAATAGAATACTACAATCAAATGAATAAAAGAAAAAGAGGGCAAGAAAGGAATAAGCCAGTCAACAACTCACGATATTTCTTCTGGGCTTGTATGTTCTGTAGTCTTCTCTTCTCGGGATCTCGGCGGACCGGCTTCCGCTTCCCCTGCCCCCCACTGCTGTTGGACCCCTTCACGACCCCCTGAGGAGACATCGTTGCTCTGTTGGTGGCTGCCACTACTGTCGCATCTGCTCGCGTCGGATCCATAGCGCTTCCTTGCTTGTGCTTCTGTTATCTGCCGCTTGAGGGGTTGGAGAGAGCGAGAGAGAGGAAATGAAGGAAAGAAAATGGCTTACATGAGCGCAGTTGGAAGGGGAATCGAGGGGGAGATGGATTTAGCTGGGCGGATAAGGAGGCCTGATCGGAGTGGCTGATGTGAGCCACGACGAGCCACGGATTTACCGGGTGGGTTCGGACGATAAACTTTCCGTTGTGTGCTTCGGCTCGGGGGGTTCGGCAGCCCCGGTTCGGTTTTCTAGTAGAAGTAGCCGTGGTCTCACATAATCCTTTGTCAAGTCTCTGCTCATTGTAAGCCAGTTGTTGCTCAGTAATTTAACTCGTCATGTGTCTGTTTTGGGTCGAGAGAACTATATCCTTGGCGAAGGTTATATTGTGTTGGAAATGATCCGCAATACGAGCCATGTGTTGAGAATTGAATGCCATTACGAGGTACTATTACCATCATAGTACACTGTCAGTATTTCACTGATTAGGTGAGTTCCATAAAGTACAGTACAGTAATCTCCTTGCGTTGACACAAAAAGACACACAGTTGTTGTTCCACTTTCTCTTTGATGTATTCGATAAACTGCATGTGCTAACTTCTTATGCACAACAGAACCATTTCTTCTCCTCAGATCTTCACATTGGCCACCTCAAACGTCTGCACCTCATTTGTATCAAAGTACGACCAGAAAACAGTCCCATCCTGCACCGTATCAGCCGGCGTCGACACATACTGGTCACCACTCCCAATCTCGGTGCTCCACCTCGGGATCGTCTGCCCGCTCGTGCCGGGCGTCGAGAAGCCCGACAGCTCAAAGTTGAGGTACTGCGCGTCGCCCCAGTTGACCGCAACGATGATCAGCTTCGAGTTGACCTCGTCGTACGCCGCCACGACGTGATCCGCGCCGCCGTCCAGGATGCGCATCCCCTCTCGGATGTGCCGCGTGAACTGGGCCAGGCAAAAGTACTTTTGGCTCGGGCTTCCCAGCGTCAGGTCGTCGTTGTCGCCGTCGATGAGCCCCCAGCCGCCCCCGTCGATGGCCTGCCAGTACACCCAGCCCGTCGGGTGCAGCCAACGCAGGTCCAGGATCAGGTTGCTCACCAGGCTCGAGCCCGTGGCGTCGCTGTCGCCGTACTCGCTGTTCCACAGGGCCAGGCCCGCTCCTGAGGCGAGCGCGTAGAGCCCGTCCCGGTTGCCGGAGCCGTCCTCGTAGCCGTGCACGTTGATGCGGCCCAGGTCTTTGAGAGCCGTGGACCCGAGACCGTCGAACGTCGTGACGGCCTCGTCGTATGTGTTCTCGTCGGATGCAGAGACGATGGCAGAGGATAAGCCTAGGGAGGTGAGTGCGGCGCGCTGTGATTCGATGACGGTGGCCTGCGTGGAGATGTCGAAGTGGCAGCCCTCTTGGGTGCCCGTCGTGCCCACCCAGTAGTCGGCAGAGGGCTCGTTGAAGGGCTCGATGCTCTCAAAGGTGACCCCCCAGTTGTCCTTGGCGTACAGTGCAATCTCTGCCAGGTAGTGGGTGTGGTTGTCGTAGTTCCAGCTCTGCAGGTTGTCGCTGGAGCCGTCGTCGGACCCGGACGGGTTCTTGTTGTACAGCATCCACCACATGGGCGAGTTGCTAAACAGCTCAATGTGGTTGGCACCGTTGGCAACGGCCTTGCTCAGCATCGACCGCTGGTTTGCATCGACGTCCCAGTGCCAGCTGCTCGAGGTCGGGTCCCCAGAGGCCCAGTCCCACCAGTACCCGTCCATCTGTCGAGATGCGATCATGTCGGGCGACACGACCATGGTGGTGTCGTCGTAGGTGCTGTTGCTGCACGCGCCTGCATTGTAGCGAGCAATGTTGAACCCGAGGCCAGGAAGGCTGACGGAATCATACGTCGTCGAGTCCAGGCTGAAGAAGATGTCGGCCAGGTCGTCGCGGGTCCCAAAGGCTTTGGCCCACCAGGCGAGGGAGACGCCCCATCCATCCCAGGTGCCCCAGTTGGATGTGGCATTGATGGTCCATGTCTCGTCGGCTGCGACCACCACTGCCAGAGCGGCGACAGTGACGACTTTGCGCAACATTTTCATGTGGTGAGGAACAACAAAGACAGTGGGCACCGGTACGAGAGAAGAAGGAGGCCAGCAATCCTCGCCAAACCTTGACAAGACATTGGGTTGGCAGTTGAGGGGGAAACAACAATTTCTCGTGTCTCCTAGTAATATAGTAAACACAGCTATACAAGACAAGAGGGCCAAAGCAGTAATAATTCCTCGTGGCAAGTGACCTCTCTACAAGGGCTATTACTTGGTTCACCACGGCTTTGCAAGGCGCCAACCTCGGCTCCGGCTCCCCGAGGTCACGTTGGGTCAGAGCTGCTCCATATGTATTGGATCCGGCTGCGATGTCTCCGCGAGTTGCTACTTTGAGCCTGTTGGGGTTATTCGTTCCGTGAGCGGATTTTGCCAATGCGTGGGATCGTGGAGGTAATGGCAGAATGCAACACCCCTTCTCCAATTAAATAGCACATAATTAATGCCCATGGGTCATGGCGCCCTCCCCGCCTGGGTGCAGTGACTGTGGATGCCCTTGTGGTTTTGGGAAGCAGATGGATTCTATTTTTACTTGTTGTTTTTATTTCCAGTTTGTATAAACGTGTATACATTCATGTCGATTATGATTGTTTATGCAATTCATGATTCCAACGACGAAATGGAGTCATGTTCCCAGACTGCAACTCCACTATTATTTACTTAATCAAAACCAGAGGACTTGCTCAAGCATGTCTATTGATTTATGCTAATACTATGTACAAGGTCGCCAAATAGCCACTTGTATTGTAAATTCATGCCTTCAATTAGTCATGTATGGTTTTCATAAATCATAAAAGTTTGTTAAGAGCCCAGTAAACATCGATATAGTCGTGCCAACTCTGCATGAAGTGCCAGGGATTCTTCGACACAATTACCCAAATTCTTGGGATTGGGACAGCCATATCAGTCTGAAATCTGTCTTCTGACCTTTAATTTGCAATAATCAATAGAGTTCTCCTCCTATTTTTCTTCTTCTTATTTTCTGTATTTCCATTTCTTCTTATTTCACACAAGAACTAGAAATGACTATTTTTCATCATCATTCTCAGGTTACGAGGTCCTCATGGTAAAAGTCTTGAGTATGGATCCATGGATGCTTCGATTCAACTCATGGAGCTGAGCTCAAATGCTAAAAGAACAAGCCACGCACTGAAAGATGAGCCTTGAAACGATTGGAAGAGAAGAAGAAAAAGGGCTGGAATTTACAGTCTAGCCATGGGAATAGTTTCAAGTAGGCTCCAAACTTCCCCAAGCTCGGTCGGCTAATCACTAAATAAACCATTTCTGCACTAACAATCTCTATGCCTCGGACATCCCCTCTTCTTGCATCACACACTTCCATTTACAGCAAGGGAGAACTTGTACCACGACCCATGATATATTCAAATTCTACCATCTATCTGCTTGGCTCTAGTTTCAGGCCAATAGTTCTGATACAAAACTCTTTCTAATCGTCAGCGGCGCTCTGCTATTTACCGAGACATTTCCCCTCGCGAATATCGCCCCGAACCCCACCGTGATATTATATCAGCAGCAGCAGCAACATCATCATCTCCGCTTTTTGATATTGATGAACACAAACGCCGAACTTTCATCTGAACAAAGTAAATCCAGGGGCTTTCAACCCTCTTTTCAAGACACTCTCCTACAATTTTGGTCCGTCCCGAAGACAAAATGGACCTCCCCTTTGAGCTTCAAGACAAGGACCTCTTCCAGCCCGACTGCTTCGTCCACGGCAAATGGACCGCAACCAAGTCCAACAAGCGCTTCGAGGTAGAAGACCCAGGCACAGGAAAAGTCTGGACCACCTGCGCCGACAGCCAAGCCGAGGACGTAGACGAGGCCGTCCAGTCCGCCCACGAGGCCTTCCTCGCCTATTCCAAGTACACGCCCCGCCGCCGCGCCCAGCTCCTGATGGCCTGGCACCAGCTCATCCTGGCCGCCCGCGACGATCTCGCGCGCATCCTGGTCTACGAGACAGGCAAGCCCCTCGCCGAGGCGCAGGGCGAGCTGGACTACTCGACGGGGTTCACGTGGTGGTTCGCAGGCGAGGCGGACCGCGTCCAGGGCAGCGTGTACAGCGGCTCCGTCGCAGGCCGCCGCGTGCTGGTCATCAAGCAGCCCCTCGGCGTGGCGGCTGCGCTGTGCCCGTGGAACTTCCCCATCGCCATGGTCCTGCGCAAGGCCGGCGCGGCGCTGGCGGCGGGCTGCACCATGGTCGTGAAACCCAGCCCCGAGACGCCCATCACGACGCTGTGTCTTGCCAACCTGGCTGTGCGCGCTGGGTTCCCGCCCGGTGCGCTGAATGTGCTGACTACGAGCCTGGACAACACGCCGCCTGTGGCCGAGGCACTGTGTCTGCACCCGCTGGTGAAGAAGGTCACCTTTACTGGCTCCACGAGGGTCGGCAAGATCATCTCGGGCCTGTGTGCGCGGAATCTGAAAAAGGTGACGCTGGAATTGGGTGGAAACTGTCCCTTTGTTGTGTTTGACGACGCCGATCTCGAGCAGGCTCTGGGGCAGCTCATGGCGCTCAAGTGGCGGCATGCAGGCCAGGCGTGCATCTCGGCCAACAGGGTGTATGTCCAGGCCGGGGTGCATGACAAGTTCGTGGAGATGCTGGCTGCCAAGACGAAGCAGCTGAAGGTTGGGCATGGTATCGAGGAGGGCACGACGATGGGACCTGTGACGACGCCTAGGGGCCTGGACAAGGCAGAGCATCTGCATCAGGATGCTGTGGCCAAAGGCGCCAAAGTAATCATGGGCACCGGCAAGCGTGAGCAGCAGGGCGGCGGTGGTGGTGGGGCTAATGGCGGTGCGACGGGCTACTTCATGGCGCCGACGATCCTCACGGGCATTACAGATGATATGGAGCTGGCCAGGGAGGAGATGTTTGCGCCTGTCTTGGGGGTGTTCAGGTTTGACACGGAAGATGATGCAGTCAAGAAGGCCAACGACACGAGTATGGGACTCGCCAGCTATGTGTTTACCAAGAATGTTGATCGCTTGTGGAGGATGTTTGAGAGGTTGGAGGCTGGCATGATTGGTCTGGTAAGTACCGAGAAAGGAAGAAAAACAAGATCAATATGATCTACAAGATGATGGAAATGTACTGACGCATTCATATTGACAACAGAATACTGGGAATCAGTCGGCAGCCGAGTCACCGTTCGGTGGCATCAAGGAGAGCGGTCTTGGAAAAGAAAGCGGCAAGGATGTTGCCGTGGATGAATACCTGATCTCAAAGACCGGGACCTTGACGCTTCAGGATCATTACTGATCTACATCAAAGGAGGAGTCCTTTCCAAAACTGTATGTGAGTAATTACCGCCCGATATAGGAGGCTACTGAACTCAGAGGAAGCTTGAGCGACGGAGAAAATGAAGACGGGAGACCGATCAATGATACTCTTTGCTGGACCATCTTTGCTATTTACGACTTCAGAATGCCTATGTGCACCTAGGAAAGCCTAACTATTCGATACAAAAATGTAATGGGATCCTTGCCCGTATTCTATCGCCCATCTATACCCGAGAGAATCCCTTCTTGTCGTCCATGTAATCATACATGGACACACAAGTTGTCATTTACATCCTTCTAGGTCGAAGTCGATGTGATTTGCACCTGCATTCGACTCGCAGCTGGCCCTGATTGATATCTAGGCCAAAGTAACCCTGGCGAGTTCTTGATCCGGCCGATCTCGCCTTCTCAAGAAGTCCTGTTGTCCCATCTTTTCTGGATGTCAGCAAATGTCCATGTTCAACCCGCCGAAGACATCCAAATAGAACACTACTCACAGATCAAGGAAGAGCTTCCAAAGTATAGAGAACAGGATGCCCTGCAGCCCATTCGCAATGATGCGTGTCTTGAGGCCACGACCAAACAAGCCCAAAATGCCGTCCTGTAGGACAACAAGACGGGCGGCCTCGGCTATAACACACGCAAAAGGTAGCACAGAAACAAGGAGTCAGCAACAGCACATCACATCATACCGTTCCACGTATCTCAAGTTTCTATTCCCTCTTTCGCTCACTTCTTTTCTTCTCGGCGATTTGCCACGGACGGAATGAGGAAAGGGGGGGGGGGGGATGAAGGACGTACTGTATGAGACCTGGGTGTCGTTCACCTGACGGTATGTCTTGATCACCCGCAGCGAGTTCGAGACAGAGTCGGACACGACCGAGGCGCAGAAACCGATGAGGGCGAGGCGGGCGAGCCAGACGATGAGCGGGTGCTTCGGCGGCTCCGCGATGGCCTCTGACAGGAAGTTGTACTGTCATGTGGTGAGGAAGATTCCCTCGTTTGTCAGCCCTCCAACTGTCTCAGAAGTACACGGAGGAGGAGGAGGAGGAGGAGGAGGAGGAGAAACAAAGGGCAAGAAGGAGAACAGAAGAAAGACAGAAAGATCGGTCCAGAACTCGACTCACCGTTGCGAACCAAGGATAATGTCCCACAAACGTGGCCGCCGCAGTGGCAAAGGCACCCCACCACAGGCTACCGATACCGTTCTCCTTGACGCGCCTCCTGAGCAAGGCTGTGCCGCGTGCACCCTGGGCCTGCATGGTGGTCTTCATGGTGTCGATCGGGGTGAGGATCATGCGGAATGCGGCGGCGCTTTTGATCATGTCTCAGGGTCAGCCAAGTCGTACTCTCGTCATTACACAAGCTCTCTCTCTCAAGAGGCGCTGTTTCTTGTCTTACCACAGGGAGGCAAAGATGGTCTGGATGACTGTAGGCAGCTGGCGAAGATAGCCATTGGACTGGAGCAGGGCCAGAATGCCGGCGTTGGCGGCGGTGTCGCCGAACCTGGAGACTGGGCCTTGGATGAGGGCCCAGCCTGTGCCCTGGTAAAAGCGGCGGATGCCACCCTCTGCGTACAGGGTCTTGGTCGCTGTGGTGAGAGAAGAGCCATGGCGGTATTGGTAGTTCATGATTGTACGAATCCACTGAGGAGAGCGAAGACGGTTGAGTCAGTCAGTCGGTCAGTCAGTCCAAGAGGCTTGAGGCTCGTAAAGGACGTCGTTTGGTTGCATACCATCAAGAGCAAGACCTGCAACAGCATCGCAGCGGCACCACTCAGACCACCACCAAGCGCCTTCATCAGAGCGCCTTTCAGGTCAAACTGTGCGTGTAACATACCATCAGCATCGTAGTACAACATAGAAAAGAGCAGGCCCTGAAGGGCACCATCGCCAGACAATGTCTCAAGTACTCACGTCCACATCCTTCGCGTCCACCCAACCTTTGATAAAGACAGCGAGTATCAACGCCGCCACCACGGCCCACAGGATCCGCCAGAACCACCAGCTCTTGGTGCGCCTGGTCTCGTTCTGGGGCGGCTCGAGCAGGGCAGCCTCTTGATGCTCGTCGCGGTCCTCGTCGGCCTGTGATGCGAGCAGTGGCGTCTCTTCCGTGTCCGGAGGCGGCGTCTTGGGCGGCGTTTCCGTCCCGGCTGCCCCGGCTGCTGCTGCTGCGGGGGACATGGTCAAACAGCAGAAAAGAGACCTAAAGGACAAGACAAAGTCTAGTGTCGAATACTCTGTATCTCTTTTCTTGTTTTATTTCGAGTCCCAAGTTGTACAATTTGATTTTTTTCCCTCCTTTGGTGATAAAGAATCAATGTCCTCAAAACTGAATCAAGTTGCATGTGAGCGCTTAGAAATCCACTCCATCACATAATGAATGATGAGCACTGAAAGCCAGATTTGCTTTGCCGGGCGACCGGGTTGCGTAATCTCTGGCGTGTTGGGTCTTTTTAACTTTATCTCCGGGCCGTTTCCGAGAGCCTCTTTGGCTGTCCTGGCACACCTCCCAGTGCCTCCACGCGCTCGCCATTTTCTGGTGGGGTGACGTGAGTGTCCCAGAATGTCACCCTCAGTCACCTTTGCTTGGGAAGCTGGAGCCACTGCATGAGACGCCAGAAACGCCAGAGACGCGCGGTAGGCGCCGTTTTAAGCTTTTACATTGGCGCCTATGAATATAAGGTCTATTTACTTGTGTAAATAGTCGTTTGTATAGCGCTGCTTTCGGATAAAGTACCTCCAAGCTGGCCTGCAGTGGTTGAATCCCTGTCTCAGTGTCGTAGTGGGATTGACCTTTGACTTGTAGCTCCGAAGCTATAGACTAAAAATTGAAAACTTGTCAAAGATTCAGCGTCCCAACTGGGAAGAAGTTTGTTGGTTATGTATGAATAGAAAAGAGACACTTGAGAATGAGGGCGTCTGTCTCTCCCTTTTCGATTTTTTGTTTTTTTTTCGATACCAAAGGGCCTAATACTAATAATAACCCATCAATATCAAAGGCTGCAGCTTTCAATAAAGATAATGGTAAAATAAACAGACATACGCAGTGGCCTGACTGCTTCTAAATCTGTCGCTCGAAACCCCAAATGCTTCTGTTTCTCCAACAAACAAGACACACATCAACCAATGGAATTTCCCTGCACCACTTTCTATTTTTTCTTTCTCTCTTCTCCCTTCGACGGGCAATGTCTCGAGGTGCTTCCATTATATGCCGATCTGGCGTGCGGGGTCAGTGTTAGTTCTCATGTCTTCTCCGACTAGGCAGTAACCACATGCACTTCTATAGTTGATTACGGCAGACCTTTCTATATTCGCTATTTATTCCGACTCTATCATTCCTTCTCTTGCGTAGACATAGTTACACAAGTCGACCACTGTCCGTAACTACGACTCATCCCCAACCATGTCTCGTCGTCTCGAAGGCAAAGTCGCCATCGTCACCGGTGCAGCCTCAGGGTTCGGCCGCGGCATCGCTACCAAATTCATCCACGAGGGCGCCAAGGTCATCGTGGCCGACCTGTCGGTAGAGAGCGGGGAGGCCGTCGCCAGCGAGCTCGGCACCTCAGCAGTCTTCCAGCGAGGCGATGTGACCCAAAGGGAGGACTGGCAGTCGCTGCTCCAAGTCGCCATGGAGAAGTTCGGCGGCCTGGACATTGTCGTTAACAACGCCGGGGCAACGTATCCCAACAAGCCGACCGAGTCGGTGACGGAAAAGGATTTTGATCTTTGTTTCAACGTCAACGTCAAGGCCATCTGGCTGTCTACGAATGTGGTGCTGCCTTACTTCCTTGAGAATGGCAGGCCTGGGTGTTTTATCAATATGGCTTCTACGGCTGGCATACGGCCTCGACCTGGGCTCGCTTGGTATAATGCATCCAAGGCGGCTGTTATCAACGCGAGTATGTCTTTTCTAATTGCAAAAGTCCAGAACGTTGTATAACAAAGTACATACTAATAAATCATTCATCCTGATGCTTAGCCAAGTCAATGGCCGTCGAGTATGGGCCCAAGCAGATCCGGTTCAACTCGGTGTCTCCGGTCTTTGGAAGTGGCACTGGAATGTGAGTATTGTTGTTGATGCTGAACGACTATATCTGAAGCAAAACACATATTCCTCCTGCAAATGGTTGTATCTGACTGGCCTCTAGGTCCCATATGTTTCTAGGCAAGCCGGACACAGAGGAAAACAGAGCTGGGTTCATCGCCACTGTTCCCCTCGGCCGCGGGTCGACGCCGGCTGACGTGGCCAACGGGTGCTGTTACCTTGCGAGCGACGAGGCTGCATTTATCACAGGTGTGAACCTCGAGGTGCGTGAAGTCCTCTTCTGCGTATTTCTACTTCCTTGCCTGCTCTTCTCTTCACCATTCAACGTCGCTTACAAGGATACATTCATCGCCAGGTCGATGGTGGTCGCTGTATCTAAATCTCGGAGCGCATTTCAAAACATTTGTTGTTCAGTAATATGGTTAAATACCTTGGTCTTCACGAGGACAAAGGCAGACTGTCAAACTTTTGAAACATGTTGTAATTAATTGCTTCAATCAACTACTGCCTCTGAGCTGAAGCCCCAACACGACCCCTCAGCTCGTCCTGCCATCTAGTGACCTCTGCTACCTTGACGCTGCCCTCGCCGTACCACTCCACCAGCCAGATCCGCAAGACCGACACATAGCCAAACACAACCGGATCCCACGGTGACCAAAGCTCACTCGCCGTCTCGATAGCCTTCCGCAGAGCCTGCTCTGCCTCGTCGCGCTCGCCACGATGTCTATGCCTCTCTGCTAAAAACCTGTACGGGGCCATCCACCCAGGCGCCTCGCCTGTCCGCCGCAGGATCAAGGCGTAGCCCGAATTCACCCGCCAGTCGTCCCCTGCATGGTGTCCCTCGGCGTCGGAGAGGATCTCCATGCCCCGGACGAGCGAGTAGAGCACATGGAGCGACTGCTCGATGCCTGTGGAGTTGGGTTGCTCGTCTAGCATCCTGATGCCCTCGTGGACGTGGCTGATGAATGTGACTCCTCCTACGTCGCATGCTCTCACGCGGTCTAGCATGGCTGAAAGAGATACCAAGTGGTTGAGATGATACGAAAATGTAGTCCTGTAAAATTTGGATGGGTCAGCTTTGGCTTTCACCAACCCGCCCAGTAACATCTTGAACATTTGATAACCAAGACGTTATGAAGCAATCATGGTACTGGATAGAGGCACCGAAGAAAGAAATAGAGGAATGAAGAGAACAAGAAGCAGAAGTTAAAAGGATCAACTGGTGAAAAAGGGCGCGACTACTTACCAAGCCCGTATCACAGCCTCGCTCAAATCCTCATCCTCCACTTTGGACAAATTCCTAGCCAGCGACACAGCCAGCTGGAGCCACGGCGCCTTGCTAGGCAGCTCCGCCAACATATCAGCCACATAACCAGTCAGGGACTTGGTAGCCCTGAGCAGCCACAACGACTCCGGGTTCTCCATCGCCGCACAGTCGCGGATCCTCTCGATCAGGAACATGAACAGGCTCATGACGACATTCTTGGGGCTGCTCTTCCAGTGCGCCGTGAGCATGTCGGGCATGACGCGCATGAGGATCAGCGCCTCGGCCAGCCGGCGGTTCCGCAGCAGCCTGCCCAGGCAGTACGAGAAGTGCGACCACCGCATGGCCTGGGCGAGCGGCTGCTCGGACGTCAGGGCCTGCACCACATCCATGGGCGCCATCTCGTCGCCCCAGTGGCTGCGGATGTACTCTGGGATCTGGAGGAAGATGATCTCGACCAGGGCGAGCGTGTCGGGCGGGCGGATCGAGACGGATGCGTACTGCAGGCCAAAGGCCCCCTGGATGCAGTACTGTCTTGCGGCCGGCGACATCATCTTGCTGCGGCGGAGGTAGGCGTCCAGGCGATCAATGTCGACGACGACGCCGTTGGCCAGCTGGATCCGGGGTCCGCCGCCTCTTTGGGCCGTGTTGGTGGTGATGTGGGCACTGCTTGCCTCCTGGAGCATGTCGTTTTTGATCCTGATGTTCTTGCGTACGCCCCAGCTCTTCAGTCGGGTCTTGTACATTTTTAACCTGTGGGAACCAATTAGAGTTTTGTGTTGGCAGATTGAAATCTTGTCAGGAAATGTGTTTGGTATTGTTTAAATTCTCACGATGCTTTGAAACCATGCTCCCTCTCCATCAACTCCATGACCCACTTGAGAGGTAACTCATCGTCCATGTACAGCTTCTGAATGAGATCCTTGTGTTGGTCCCATTGCGCATCCGATGCCCGCACAGGCCGTGCTCGCCTAGCAATGCGCGTGCTGGCTCTGACCACTTGTTGTCGTTGTTGTTGCTGCTGCTGCTGCTGCTGCTGCTGCTGCTGCTGCTGCTCACCGGACTCAGACATGTTTAGCGAGACTGAAGAAGGAAACGATGCCAAAAGGTAGACGTTTCTAGAAGGCAGAGTCCGAAGAAGGTCAAGAATGGGACTGAAGAACACCTCTAAACTCTAAAAGACCGGCAGCGGCTGAAGCGTCCATCTGCCGAGGTGTGGCACAGCAATCCTGCGTGCATTGCCGAGAGAGATGCATGAGGAATGATTAGCTGGCTGAGACGCTCATGAAATGGATAGTGACCAGCGGTCAGGCCATAATTAACCATAGTAATATACCAATGCCATTTTTCTTGTCTCCTTCGAGTTCGTGAGAATTTGTCTCCACATTTTTATTGAACCTGTGTTTGCTTGGAGGGCAATGAGAATGGGTAAAGTTATATATCGATCAAGTCCTTTGCAACTTGAATTCCTTCACAATTCTTTTTGTGAAATACAAGATCATTGCATTATTGCTAAATAAAGTCATTTGATTCCGGACTCAAAAGAAGAAACACATGATTAAACCCCCCCCCCCCCCCCAAATCTCTTTCCTCTCCTTCCCTCCTTCTTTGATTCTCCTTTCTTACCTGTTCTCTTCACATCTTAGAGTAGAGATTTGACTTTCGAGGGCCCTGGTGGCATCCAATAGTTCATATACAGATCAGCCTGTCAAACAATTCAAAGTCAGCTAGAGAAAGGTCCACACAAAACTCCGAGGGTTGTGTGTATGTGTGCGCGCATGTAAAGGGGTCTCACGATCTCCTTGGTCACGCCAGTTCTTTCATTGCGAAGGCCATGATTCTTCTCCAGGAGCTCCTGAACCGTCTGTTCAGCATGAGCTTCAGGATCGTATTCTCCAATGCCAAAATGTTAGCTCACGGTTCGATTCTCCCATGTTCGTCACAGGAAACAAACAGACAGACAAACAGAGAGAGAAAAAGAAGAAAAAATAAAACAAAAGAAGAGACAAGATTGCAGAGAATACAACATGACTTACCAAAGATGGTCCTCCACACCAGAGGGTCAGCATGCAAGTCCGGCGTCCGAATAGGCTGCACCCCCTTCAACTCCCCTTCCATCTGGCGATCCCGCGCCGCCTGTTCCGCACTCCCCTCCTCCAGATGATAAATCAGCCCCATGACAAACGACTTTTGCTGCTTCAGATCCGCCAGCGGCATCCTCGCCCGCTCATACCCAGCCACGGCGTCCCGCAGCGCGATCGTCCCCTTGGCCACCTCCCGCAGCACGACCCCAAGAAACGCCCCGTCCTCCATGGCCGTGGCGGCGCCCTGGGCGAGGTGGTTGACCATGGAGTGCGCCGCGTCGCCCAGCAGGGTCACGTTCTTCTGCGGCGAGGACCACGTCGTCGGGCACCGCGTGACGAGGAGCGGCCAGCGGCGGATCGACCCAGGGGCCACCATGTCGAGCACCCTCTGGAGCCGAGGGTCGTAGTCCTTGTACGTCGCCCGCACCTCGCCCAGAGAGGCGTCCTCGACGTCTGTGACGGGGTAGGTCCTGTGGTGGGAGAAGACGAGGTTGTACACGCTGCCCGCGCTGATCTGGTACGCGATCACGTAGCCGTGCTCTTTTCCCTCGGCCGCGCCCATCCACACGTCCATCTCGGGCTTTGCGACGAGGTCCCGCGTCAGGGGATCGCTCTGCACCGATTTGACGGGGACAATGGCCCTGTACGCAGCGTTGTTGGTCGGCGCAAAGGGCTTCACAGAGGGCAGGATCGTCTGCCTCGTCACCGAGTTCAGGCCGTCCGCGCCGATGACGAGATCAAACGCCCACTCTCTACTAGCACCTCTGTCGTCGTCCTCCTCCTTCTCTGCCCTGACAATCACCTTCTCCCCTTCCCCCACCTCATACTTGATCTCTGCCACCCTCGCCCCAGTCACCAGCACCACCCCGCGCTCCCTGCCCACCTTCACCAGCCCATCGTGGAGGTGCATCCGATGAACAAGCCACCAGGGTGCCCCAGCCCACCTCTCCGGGCCTCCTGCCCCAGGAACACTCGTCCCGCCCACGATGCGCCCTTCCTTGCGGCGCACGTTGAGCCGGTCAAAGGAGACCAGGTTGGGCCCGATGACATCTGCCACGCCCCAGCGGACCAGCAGGCGCGCCACGTTGGGGGTCATCTGGATGCCGGCGCCGATTTCGCCCAGCTCCTGGGCGGCCTCGAGGACCGTCACCTTGATGGTCTCGTTGCTGTGGATGCGGATGGCTATGGCGCAGGCGAGACCGCCCAGGCCGGCGCCGATGATGCCTACGTGTTGGAATTTCTGTTGGGTCTAGAATGGTGTGGAACATGATGAGAAAGAGAGGACTATTGAACAAGAGATGGGGGGGTTTTCTGCTCAGAGTGAAGGAGAATCATACCATTTCGTGTACGTAGTTGTGATTCTAGTGGTTGTCAACCAAGTCAGTAGATATAGACACGTTTTTTTTCACGTGTAGCGGTCGTTGCAAGACAGTAAGATAGGGAGGTAGGTAAATCTTGAGAGGGGAATCGGGTCCAAGGAGGCAGGCCAAGTAATTATAAGTACTCAAGTACTTAGACACAAGAAGAAAAGCGAAATAAAATAGAAAGAGACAACAAGATATAGAGTTAATCCCATTTTATTCCCATCCATACTGCCGCACGATATCACACGGCCGCGCATGAAGGAGGGTACCATCCAAGCCCCATGGCCCCCGTCGGCACACAACCCCTCGCCCTACATCACGATAGTGCAGAGACAGAAGGAGGAGGACATCCACAGGTGGTGATACGAGGGCGGAGTCTGGGCCACAAAAAGACACCCCTCCTTCACGGGAATACCGGCCTGTACTTAATGCAATGTGATGATGGTGGTGGTGGTGGTTAAAAATCGGTCTTGCTGCGTAGTTTCATAGCGCTACTGCGGTGTAGAAGCACCGTCTACGGCATGTCGGCATCCCCTGGAAGTCTAAAGAGAGCCTATAATCGCAGTAATCTCATCTGATGTCAGTAGCCTAGTCAAGATCAGGAGAACCATAGAAGAGAGATCACCAATCGAGAAGAGGAAGGAAGACTGGGTGGGATGAGAGAGAGAGGGTGTGAAAGCTAGGCCCATATAATCTAACTCTGCAAGTTAATTTAGACCACGCTCTGGCCTAACCATGCAAAGTCAAGTTGCTGACAGGCTGGAAGGGCCTGTTGTGAGAAATCAGGTCACCTAGTTGGAATCAGTGCATACAGCAGTTTCATTCGTCATGACAGGACTGTGTTGAGTACTCACTTACCTTGTGCAGCGCTTTATAATTAATATCATTTTGTCTCATAGAAGTTATGTCTCACCTCGATATCGGCCCCACGAACCTCAAAAAGACTGCAAAACAAGAACTGGTGATATCTGCTACACTGAGAGGAATGTAAAATGCCGATGCAACCAAGAGAGAGAGGCAACACACTACACAGACCGACTGGGCCTTGTCTCTCATGCATGCAAGTAATTCGCCCGTCCATCCATCCATCCAACCATCCACATGCACGATGCCTAAGCGTCAAAAAACCCATTCACCTAAACTATCGGTGAGAAAAAAAACTCTGTTCGCTCATCCCGCCCGGCCCCCTCCCCCCCCCCCCCCCAAAAACCGCACGAACCTCGCACGGTCAATTTTTTCGAAACGAAAGGAAGGGGGGAATCTGTACAACACAGCAAGTCTTTTGACCACATGATAAGAATGTCGTCACCTACAACGTTATGTCACACCAGATCGAGATGGAGGGGGGAAGAGAAAAGGGGGGGGGGGGGGAGGAAGGAAGGGTTGCAGACGTGACATATTGCCGCGCCTATGATCGTACAAGTAAAGTCATCCTCCCTCACTAAGTTATATAGAGGACTTGCAGGGGGTGGGGAGGGGGCCAGAAACACACGCCGGCCCCATCGCCTGCATATCGGAATCTAGTACCCGTTATGAAGATCAACTAGACATGCATGTACCATAGCAATTGCGACAAACCATGCGGGGAGACAACGTACTCGCACTCGCATACTTGTGGAGGGGCAGGAGAGGGGGTGTCCAGTCCACAGGGGTCGTGCGTATGTCCTGTACCTCGTGCAGAGATTAATTGACGAGATTGATGGGTGGATCGGTGGTAGCGAGAAACGGTCATATCATACTCGTAGATGAGCTGTCTGCCCGTGATGTCACCTCTCTTTCCTTGCCACCGATGGCCCTGCTGGTACTGACCTTGGCAACAACGAGAATCTATTTGCGACCATACCTCTCTCTCCCTCTCTGTCTCTCTGTCTGTCTGTCTGTCTTGTCTCTGTCTTCTGTGCCTTGTCTCTCGCTTCCTCTTTCTCTTGTGTGACGTTGTGATCTTCACACGGGTATGGAACAAGTGATGATACACACGAGTTAAAGGGGGTAAAAAAAAAAAAAAAAAAGGAAGCCCACCTCGAGCCCGTCTTTCTTTCTCACACACTCTCTCACACAGTCTTTGTCTCTCTGTGCGTGCGTGCGTGCGTGCGTGAGTGTGTGTGTGTACACCCTCGTCTCGTTAGCGAAAACCAAGTCGTCACACATTGTTCTTCTGTCTTCTGCACGGCGTACGATGAAATTTGACGTGCTTCGGGGGATGTCGCCATGAGAGCCATGTACGATAGCAAGACACAGCCTTTCCTGATCTCGTATCGTGCATGTCTGTCCATCGTAAAAACAAAAAAAAACAAAAAAAGTCCATCCATCGCTCTCGTTATGCATGCATCCATATGGCCGTTCCCTGTCTTGCCTTGTCGTACAAGTACACACCGTAGGCGCTTTAGTTATGTGCTGTTTTTCCATCTATACACCACCATTGCAAAACCCCACCCAATCCCTCAACTTACATCCCCTCCTCCTCATCGAGCGGTTCCACCCGTACCAATATCTCTTCTAGAAGCCCCTCCAGAAAAGTGCCCACATCCTTGCCCATGCCGACGGGCTCAGCCTTGTCGTAATGGTCAATCTCCTTGCATACGTGCGCCAGCTTGTAGACAAGCTTGCGCACCTTCTCGTGTGCCGCCTCAGCGCGCTGCTGTTTTGGGGTCTGGGCGGAATGTTGGCCTGAGAACGTGCCAGAGCCTGTCCTGGTCTCGATGCCTGGTGTGGTCGCAGCAGGGTTCCCCGATCGATAGATCTGCTGCAGGCGGATCTGGCGCCTCTTGAGCGCCTCCTCCAGCGCGGGGAATATCACGTCGTTTAGCGCATCTAGGTCGCCATTTGGGTTGGTCGGGGCTGGAGGAGGGAAGGAGAGAGGTGTTGGGGTTTGCGGCTCGGGTGTGTGGGTCGAGTGTGTTGCTGAAGGAGGGCCGCGGTAGGCCTCCTTCGACGGCAGAGGACCCAGATTATGTGTCTGCAATGCCCGTGGTTGCGGGAAGTATGACTGCTGCTGCTGCTGCTGCTGCTGCTGCTGCTGTTGTTGTTGTTGTTGTTGTTGTTGATGTTGTTGTTGTTGTTGTTGTTGTTGTTGTTGTGGCGGCGGCGGCGGCGGCTGTTGGGTAGAAAGAGCGGGTTGGGTGTATTGTCTCGCTGGCTGCTGAGGTTTGGCAGGCAGGGGATGTTGTTGGTTCGTGATCCTCGGTAGAGGCGATGCTGGTAGAGGCTGTAGAGGCTGTGACGACTGCTGCTGCTGCTGCTGCTGCTGTTGATTGCCGCGATAGGGAGGTATTTCTGGAAGCTTCATGGGACCAACCTTGGACGACTGGCGTTGCATCGGTGGCGGTAATGGCAGCTCCCTCGAAACTCGCCTCTCTGGACCCATCGCAGGCGCCAGGCTGATGTTGCCAATCTCGCGCTGCAGCTGTTCATGCAGGGTCTTGTCGTAATCGGGAGACTCGCTGGTTGTGCTCGTGCTCGTGCTTCTCTGCTGCATGCTCTTCATCTGCGATGCGCGAGGGGTTTCTTGGCCCTGGGACTGGGACTGGGACTGGGACTGTGACTGTGACTGCTTCGGAGGAGAGGGTGGCAGGGGCACTTTCGAAGGAGACCCCGGCCCAACACCGCTGCCCACGGGCTTCCTCTGCGGCGACACCTGCCTTGCCGTGCCCGAGGTGGAGCCCGTCGTCCTGAACGTATCCCGCTCCTTGTCGATCAGGGCCTTTGTCGGTGACACTTCCCGCCTCCTCTCGCCATAGTCATCCGCGGGTTCGAGTGGTCTTGACGACCGCGCGTTCATGGCTGACTCGTCCATCGGGTTCAGTCCCGGCCTGTGCACCACCTGGCCCTGGTTGCCCACCAACCGGACGGTGCCGAAATCCCACATGTCCTCGTTTACGGGCTGTAAATTCGCCGGCTGACCAACCTCGTCTAAGGATTCCTCATCGTCCACGTTCTTGTGGGTGGCAGCCCAGCGGGTGGACCGCTCGATCAGCTCCGTCAGATAGCTCGTCTTCTTGGCCTTTTTTACGAAGGGGTGCTTCAACAAGTCCTTGGCCGTGGGCCGGTCCTTGGGGTCGCGCTGTAGGCAGCATGCGACAAAGTCCTTGAAGACCTTGGAGAAGGTGTCCCTCTCGAGGCGCGGCGGTGGGTTCTTTGGAATCAGGAAGAGGACCTTCATTGGGTGTATGTCGGCATAGGGCGGTTCGCCATTGGCCAGCTCCAGGGCTGTGATGCCGAGGGACCATATATCCGCCCTGTGGTCGTAGCCTGACTGCTTAATGACCTCGGGTGCCATCCAGAAGGGTGTGCCTACGAAGGTGTTCTTCTTGGTCATGGTGGCGGAGAGCTGGCCCGAGACGCCAAAGTCGGCCAGCTTGACCTGGCCGTTGGAGCTCAGGAGGACATTGGCAGCCTTCACATCCCGGTGCAGCTTCTTGTCCGAGTGTAGGTAGTCCAGCCCCAGCAGCAGCTCCCTGACGATGATGGCAATGTACTCCTCCTCGATTTTGCCAGGCTTCATCAGATCGGCACAGCTCCCGCCAGAACAGAACTCCATAACGATCCATAGCTCCGCACCCTTTGCGTAGGAGCCGTAGTATTTTGTGACATAGGGGGACTGCAGCTCCGACAGGATGGCAATTTCCTGGATGATGTCTTCGACCTCGTCCTCGGCGCTCTCAATATCGATAATCTTGATGGCTACCGCGTGACCGGTCCGCTTGTCGACACTGTAAGGGCACGGAAGAAGGAGGTTATGGTCAGCTTGAGGTGCCACGACCAGCGAGCGAGCAAGCACACACGAGAGGGAGGGATTTGAGGGGAAGCGACTTGATTGGGGCTGGGCTGGGCTTGGGCCAGGTTGGGGAAGGGCGAAGATTTCGAGCGTACCCTTTGTAGACCTTGCCAAAACTGCCACCGCCTACGAACACACGAGTAGAAAAGTCAACGCGATGCTCCTGCAAGCCGCCCAAGGACACACAAGCACACCTCCACACCTCTCCTAGCAGCCTCTGGAGCCAGTAGAGAGTAGGAAAAAGAAAAGGAAAAAAAAAATTTGTAGTCAAGGATCATGTGGAACGAACGAACCGATGCAGAACTCCTTGGTATACAAGGTCTCGGGATCGGGAGACCCCTCATTGTTCTCGTCCCAGTCCTTCTCCCGTCCAGCCATGGTGCCGCCCGTTTCTCACACTCGTCTCGTCGCGAACAGTCAGTGGCGTCCCACGCAAACACACACACGCACGCACACGTCCTGACGAGTCGAGCTCGAAGGGCAAAGAAAGAAGGAGGGCGTCGTTTGACGACGGGCGGGTCGGGGGCGACACAGAGAGAGGAGAGGAGAGAGAGGGAGGAGAGCGTGAAGACGACGCTCGTCAGGGCGGGTCGATGTAGGATCGGGCCGTTGGTCGAGGGTGGATACTATGGTTTCTGGCTTTCCTTGCCCCCCCCCTTTCGACTCAGCGATCTGGAGGGGCTGGGCTCGACGGTGGAGTTGTGGGGCGCGGGAGCTGGGAGCTGGTAGCAGCAGCTGGGCCCTGTCGTCACTTTCTCTCTCCTTTTGTCTTTCGTGGATTGCCTCGGATGCGGCGGTGAGGTTGCAAGTTGGCAGGGCTGGCAGTCTGGCAGGCAGTCTGGTTGGTAGTCTGATTGGTAGTCTGGGCTGGCTGCTGGCTGCTGGCTGCAGGTGTTGTTGTTCCCCTGGCGACAAGGGAAAACACACGAGTATGTTGGGCTTGGACGAATGATGTGAGTCCCACGTTGCAACCCTCCTAGTTCTCCTTTCTTGTACTCGTGCAGAAAAAGAAAGAAAGGAAAAAGTCGAGGGGAACAATGCAATGCTGTGTGAGGAATTGATGACGACAGTAGGAACAAGATTCTTCTATTGCTGTGCCGTGCTGAAGACGAAGAAGAAGAAACAAGTTGGCCGCGCGTGAGTGAGGAAAAAGAATGTCGGTGGTCGGTCGTGTTGCACGTGTGGAATTCGCGTGGAAGCACGTCTGACAGTTCCGTAACCGTCTTGTAGATCGCGCTTCCTTGTTTGCCAGCCTCCTTCCTTTTGGTGCATACGGTGCAAAAGACCCACTGTATATGCGCTGGATTTGGGGGCTTTGGATTGAAACTGAATGGGCTAGGCGAGATTTTATAGTACAAGCCTACCAAATACAGGAGAGAGAAAGAATCAGAAATAAGGGAATAAAAGAGAAGGTAGACCTTAATACGAAACCCAAAAAGAAATAGAAAAGTGAGACCAGAACAAGGGAGAGAACACAAAACAGTCACATCGTCAGCCAGAAGATGAACATCAACATCAACATGAACATTAAACCAACCATGACAGGCAAGCCAAGCCAAGCCTATTCAAAGTTGATCTGTTGTCAGCAAAACCAGAGAAACCAAAGCACCCATCCAAATCGTGGGGTTCAACAACCAGGTATTTCTTAGAATGGGGAAAAAATGCACGGGGCAGGGGAAAGCCAACCCAAAACAAAACCATCCCTGGTCTCAGCTCTATCATTGGAGAGGGAGTGCTCTTTTTGCAAAATAGCCGCGCTGCTGTTGCCGAAAAACCACCCCAAGAAACCAAACAACAACCCTTGTTCAACTGTCGTCCCCCCCCCCCCCCCTCTCTCTCTCTCTCCAACCCCTTTCGTGTTCGTGTCAGTCATTGTCAACCAAGGCTTGCCTGGGACCTCATTTCAATACAAAACATCTTGTCTCTCTTCATCAGCGCTCAGCAATCAACGGCATTGCCGGCATCGTGCCATCATGAAATGATATCACTTGCAGTCTCATGTCATGGTCGGTGGGGCCACCCCCATTGGATGTGAGCATGTCATGTCAATCGTTCGTGTTCCTGTGTGGGTTTCCTGCTCAACATGTTCGGTATATGGGGTGAGAGAGTAAGAGCTTGAGACAGAGCTTGCAAGTCCACCTATTACCTGGCTGGCTATCTCTCTGTCTGTCTATCTGTCTGTCTGTCTGGTTGGCCTGGCTCTTTTATTTTTGCTCTATCTTTCTCTCAATGCTTGTAGGAAAAGGACTGATGTCTAGGGTGGGAGACCCTTTTCCCTTTTTCATCTTCCTAGATCTATGGTCATGGGCTGTGTGTGCCTGATGCGTTTCAATGCCGTGTCTACCGGGCCTAGCCTGGCCTGATCCATTTGCCGTGACGCCTCCCGAAAGAAACAGCAGAAGAAGAAAGGAGAACAAAGAAGAAAAAAAAGGAGAGAAGAAAAGAAGATACGGAAACAAGCCATCCTCCAAAAGTCAAGGAGCCTCGTGTCTAATGACAGCCACGACTCAAGACCAGAGTCATGAACCATGAACCATGAGCTGAACTGTGTAAGAAACCAGCACCGTTGATTGTCCATCCTCGTATCGAGTAAAGGAAGCACCCCAACTCCTCTTCTCCACCTCCTCTCCCCAGTCCCACCATTAAGCGTATCAAGATCCTACCCCACCCATAGGTAATTCGTAAGCCTCACTGAGGGGGAACATCTCCTGTGCTCTCAAGACCCAATGTACTCGACCATGACGGTAGCCTGCTTGAGCCCAGCCTCCTCAACCGTCCTGTCCAGGTCATCCAACAGATCCTTGCCCTGCGGCATCACCTTGAGCTCAAACACGGCGCCCGCCCCTCCGTCGAGCGGTTCTGCCTTGAGCCACTCGTAGATGCGCCGGACAGGATCAGAAAGGAGAAACCGCCGGATCACCCTGCCGTTGGCATGCCGGAACTGGATCCTCGTAACCCTTGGACTTTGCTCTGGCTCGACATGCGGCCTATCGGCGGCAATTTCGGCAAAGACGGAGTCCTCTGCCGCGGGAACGCTCGCCTCCTGCTCTTCCTCCAAAGGTGGTGCATCGGCTATGGCCTCGTCCTCGACGTCGGCAGCGACGCCCTTGCCCTTGTTCTTGTCCAGCTCGAGGGATTTCGTCAGGGCGTCTGGGTCGTGCACGTTGACAGCGGCAGCCGAGGTCTCATGGCCATTGGTCGCAAGACTGTTGCGCATTGCCAGCTCCAGCATCTCTTCCTCTGTCATGCGGTCCACATCCACAGCCCGCTGCGGCGCCTTCTGCTTCGACACAGGGTTCTTGCTGTTGCGCGCCAGCGAGTAGCGGTCCAGAAACTCGACAAGCTGGGAGAGAAAGTCCTGCGCCGATGGGAAGGGGATGCCCGACCACACCTTGACTTGCTCACCCGTGCGAGGATCAATAATCGCGACATGTGGGAAGTTGTCTCGGTTCTCCTGGGCGTGGTGTGGAAAGTAAAACGTGTTGTACTCGGTGGCGCGAGGATCGTCCTTGCTGTACTGCAGGAATATGAAGCTCTCCTGGACCAGGGCGGTGATGGCGTCATCCTTCCATATATCTCGGTTCAGAGCCTGACAGTTGAAGTCGTTCATGTCCTGCACGTTGACGAGGATCCACATCTTGCTTGCCTTGCCCTCTTCCCGCGCGTCGTCCCACGAGAGATGCGACATCAGCTGGTAGGGAGGGCGGAAGAGGTCGGCGAGGCGCCGGGCCCGCTCGCCGCCGGCGGCGCTACCACCAGCTGCCTCGGCGAAGGAAGGAGGCCCGGGTGGCTGGGCGTCGTCCTCCCAGATCGACTGGCCAAAGGGATTGCCCCTCACTAGTATTCTGACTGTCAGCCCGTGTCCCGTTGGTTTTCTTTGCGGACGATATCACGTCATATTAAGGATGGGTCCATCTTTCTCACATTGTGCCGTGCGGGCTCTCGAGGTCATGAAGCCGGGAAGGGCGCTGTAGTCGTCCTCGTCTGCCGCAGCAGCATAGCCGCTGGGAGCCACCAGAGTCTCAGTGGTTCTTGCGATCGGAGCACGCACGCCATCGGTATCCATGGCGTTCTGGCCGTACATCTCCTCCTGCATGCGACGGGCGATGGCCTCGTCATCATTCTCCTGGGCGATGCGCTGGATGCGTTCTATAGATTCGACATGCTCGCCGCTATCATCATCTAGCCCATCAAAGTCAACGTCGTCGTCCGAATCTATGTGAATAACGCCAGAAGGGTCTTCTCGGCCGGCAGAGCGCGATAAGGATTGTGGTTGAGCTGCAGGGGCGGAAGTAGCAGCACCAGCAGTAGCAGAGGACGACGACGTCGCCGCGTTGGCAGAGGCATGGTCGGAGAAGGAGTTCGCAATGTCGGGGTTCTCAAAGAACATGTTGACCGCAGCCATGACGTCCCCATCTGTCATACTGAGGCAACCCGCGGCGACGGTGGCATTCTGGTTGGTGAAGGCCATGAACTGTGCCACGGCGTCATCCATCTTGACGGTCTGTTCTGTATGTAGGTATGTGTGTGTTTTTTTTTCTTTTCTCCTTGGTGCCTTTTCCCCCTGAGGTGATTGGGCTTCAGGTTCGTCTGAGGTGTGGCGAGAAAGGGAGGCGAAAGGTCGGTGTTTGTTGAGAGGCGAGGACCTGTTGAGACCTTCTTCGTTCGGTCTCGAGAGGAGAGAAGGTACCTGCTCGTTACGTCCTTCTTCTTCTTCGTCTGTTGTGTTCGACCCTGTTGGCGCCTCGCTGGCAAGCTCTGCCTCTTCCTCTTGGGCCGTCAAAGGCAAAAAGGAAACAGAGACGAGATTGGTGTGGTTTGCGGCGACTAAAGAAAAAGCCAGCTGGGGAGGGCCGGGGGTTGGTTTCTGGTCGCAGGTGCTTGTTCCCGCCAGGCCAGGTGCGGTCTGTAGCACGCGGTTGCCTTGTCCGTCCTAGAATCGGTGGCCGTGCCTAGATGTACTTAAGTAACGTATCGTGTGTGTGACTGGTTGAGGAGGCGGGGTCAGGAAACCAAGCTGCTGTTGATTGTGGTGGTGGTTTCTTGTCAAAGGAGGGGTTGTTGTTTGGTATGGGGGCAAAGATGAAAATGGACGGACATTTGATGTGTTAGCTGACCATTTGCGGTCTGGTCTGGTGGCACACTTTAAGAAGTTCCCAATGGCAATCGCTTCAGGCGCCGGTGCATGACGCAACCTAACAGGTTAGCCCCGCCAGTGAGCTTCGCCTTAGTGCTGTGTACCGTGGTACTACCATGGTACCTGAGCATGCTTGGCGCCTTTACCGTAGCACTTGCAGTACATGCTAAGTACTGTACTTATTATATAAGAGCACTGGAGCGCCTACTGCAGCACCCCCCGCACCTTAATTCAAGTAGTAAGTAGCAAGTTCCGCAGGGGTGCAACAACTGCGGCCCCTCCCGTGAAGCCTAACAGTCAGGCCTTGTTTACAGTGCATTCTACAGCTACTGACAACAGTAAGTTGACACGCCCATCCTCCACGCAGCCCTGAGAAATGTTTGTTTCTTTTCTTCTTCTTTCTAATTTTTTATTATTTTATATCTAATAGACTTACTTCCCACGATCATCATAAATCATTCCAGTATCTAAATCCTGGATACGAATAGTAGATAAAAATATAAACAATCATCATACACACGTCATTCATGAACTAAGTACTGAGAGAGACCAGACGAACATCACCGCCCTCGTTCAACGCCGCGAGTGCCTCCTTCACAACCTTCTTCACCTCCATCGACCTCTCACCCTCCAGAGCAGTCTCAACCGTCTTCTTAATCTGCTCCTTCGCCCCCTCCGCAGGCCCAAAGACACCTCTCCTGACAGCCCGGACCAGCGCAAGCGTGGCCTTGGCCCTCGCCAGACGGTGTGACTCGACACCCACATCAGGCTTGTCCGCGTCCAGCGTCGCAAAGTAGTCCAGCGCCACTTTCTCGCCACTGCTGTCTTTGTTGTCGCTGCCCGCCGTCGCTGTCGTAGTCGGGTCTGTCTTGGCCGACTCGCCCATCAGATCCCCTGCACAGTCATACCAGACCTCCCTCCTGATAGAGTCGAACTTTCTCTTGTCCAGGAACGGCGCCAGCACGTCCAGGATCTCCCTCAGAACGTCCAGCGGCGCCTTGCGCATCATGGGCCGGCTGTATCCTCTCGCGACCGCCTCAGTGGCATTGAGCACTGTCTTGTAGGCCTGGAGCTCGCTCTCCCTCGCCTTTGCCACTTCCTTTGCATCGCCCGTCGAGCTATTAGCCTCAGTGTGGTTTTTCTCATCATCGACATACGCCTCCAGAAAAGGCTTGACAATTCCCACAATGTCCTTCCAAAGTCCGCCTTCCAGGTCATCGCGCGCAGCCGCACACTGGCAGAGACATTTGAATGCATGCACCCGGTACGCCTCGTTGTTCCTCTTGGCCTCTCGCAGCACCATCTTCTTCAGCTGGGCTGCCACCGTTCCATCGCCCTCCCAGAAAGCCTTGGCCTTGGTGTGCACATCCGCCAGGGCGTCGAGCAGCTTCTCCTTGCCTTCGAACGTCTTGAGTGCGAGGGCCTTGTCGAGAGCGGGCCAGAGCTGCCGCAGCTGCCCTACGTTGACCGTCGACCCGGTCAGATCGCCCTGTGCAGCGACAGCCCGGACCGCATCGCCTACCGTCAGCGCGCCCGCGTGCTTGAGGCTCCACTGCGGCGCGTCCAGGCTCCTCGTCACCAGGGCGACAATCTCCGGCACAAATCTCGTCGCTGTGCGCGCAGATCCGGCGTGCGTCTCCCAGACCTCCTTGAAGGCTTTGGCCACGTACTCGTCCGTGTCGTGCATGCCCAGATAGCTAAACGGCAACAGGCTGCCCTCGAGCGCGCTAAAGTGGTCCGGCGAGATCTTGCTCAGAGACAAGATCACCGCAGCGACCTTTTCCCGCCTCGCCTCATCCTCGGCTGCGAAGAACAGCGCGACATACTTGTCCACAAAGTGCTCCTTGGCCTCGCTGGGTGCATGTCGCATGATGTACGCTGCAGCCCGCGCATATCCACCGCTGACCTCGTCGTTCTTGTCTAGGGCCTGTTTCTCCATGATCTGCAGGAAACGCGCCGCGTACGGTTGAAAGTCGCTCGTGTGGCGCGTCGCCAGCGTCCCAAGGACCCTTCCGCAGCCGACTTTGGTGGGCATGCCGATGGCGCTCTTGATGGTCTCTTCAAGCCCTGCCGCAAGCTGCGGCATCACGTCGGCGTCCGCATTGCGCAGGCAGTTCTCGATCGCCTGGAAGATGGGGCTCTGGCCCACCATCTGGCTCCGCAGTTTGTCGATCTTGCCGCGGCCGTCCTCCCCGAAGCGCTGGTAGTAGTAGTTGACCGCGTCTGGCTCGATCGTGCTGAGAAGACCCAGCATGTGGCTCACGATATTGGCAATGTACGGCTGCAAGGCCTTGCCGCCGGTCTTGGTGATGGTGATGACGGTCGTGATGGCAAAGCTCTTCACCTCCTCGACGCTGCTCTCGATACCATTGTCAGAGAGCAGAAACGGGAGGGTGGAGGCCATCATGTCCCGCGCCGAGGCCGACACGCCGCCTTCTTCGAGCTGGCGCGTCAGCGTATTGGCCATGCTCATGCACAGGCGCATGGCGGACTCGCGGACGGTTGCCTTGACATCGTCCAGCACCTTCAGGGCCTTAGTCCAGATCTCGCCGTAGTATTTCTCATATTTCTGGAAGGGCCGTCCGCCGATCAGGTCTGTGATCGCTGCGCAGCTTGCCTGGCGGACCCGCCACTCCTTGCCGTGAATGGACTTGAGCAGGTCGGTTATGATGGCATCAAAGTGTTTCTCGGCGACCGCGTTTGAGTCCTTGACGAGTGCCTTCCATATGTCGTTCATGGACCGCTGGACATTGGGGTTTGGGTCGAAGCGGTACCTGTACAGCTTTGGGTACAGCTTGGGGTCGATCTCCGTCCCGGAGAGGATGTTGCTCAGCCCAAACTTGCCAAAAGCAGACCGTGTAGACCATGTCGCCGCGTTAGACGCGAGGGACATGAACTTGTAGACTAGCGTCTGGTCACCCACTTCGTTGGCCAGGCTCACAATGTCCTTGTACGAGGTGACGGACTTGCCCTCTCCCGTCGGAAGGGCGCCCGCCTCGAACAGCTCCGTCTCCTCCTCGACCTTGAGCTGGGTGCTCGAGCCCGTGAACGCACCCACGAGATCCTTGACCAGGTCCTCTTTGAGCGCCTGCGTGCCCCTTTCGTACACCAGCGCGAGACCGCGCGAGGCCGTCTCCTGGACCAGCTCATCGCGGGCGCTGAGGAGCCGCATGAAGGCAACCTGGCACTCGCGCAGCCGGGACTGGATGTCAGGTAGATGCGCACAGTAGCGGATGATGGAGAAGAGCCAGATGCCGGACGCCTTGAGCAGCGACGGCTTCGTGGTCTTGCAGTCTGCCAAGATCTTATTCAGGGCCTGCTTCATCTTCTCAGGGCGCATGCCCACGCGGTAGTCGCCCCACGTAGACTTAACGTCGGCCGTCAGCCCGACGATATCCGAGTCCCAGCGCACCACTGTAGCGGTGATGGCCTCGCCGATGGTGAAGTGCACCTCGGCCTGCTTGAGCTCGTGCAGCTCGTAGAGCTTCGAGAGCACAGTGTCCACCTCGGCACTGCCATCGCTCCAACCGATGGTCAGCCGCCCAAGCGCCGTGATGGCGCGCTCGTTCCCCTTCTTACACTGTGGCACCAGCAGGTCGAGTTCTGTGTCGATGGGCTTCTTCTCGTCGACAAAGGACGCCGTCCACAGCTGTGCCTTCACCGTGAGGATGACGTCTTGGAAGGACGCTGGCGCGCTCTGCAGATCCTTGGCAGAAGGCATCCAGACCTCGGGCCGGATGCTCAGGGTATCATTGGGTGCGTCCTTGCCCATGAGGAATGACTCCTTCATGCTCTGTATCGCGGCAGCAGCTTGCTTGGCGATGTCCTGTCCCGAGTCAGTCCTCCGCCTCTTGGGTGGAGGTGGATCCTGCGAGCTCACCTCTGATTCATCCTGCCAGCGTGGCGGGGCCACGAACCGGTGAGGATAGTATCTGCCTCTGGACCACAGATGGCCCAGGGCAAGGAATGCGCCCTCGACAGCATTCATCTCTGCACCGACGGCCGTCTTCCAGCCCCTGGCCCGCTCGAGCAGGATGTGGTGCAAGACGTTGAGCGTCTCCATAGGCACCACAGGGTGCGCGCCTAGGATGCCGATGCAACGCGCAGCGAGAGCCCTCACCTCCTTGTTGTTCGACTGGAGCACAGCCAGGAGGTTGTGGAGCCCTTTCATGGCGAACGGCGCCAGCACGCCGATGGTACACAGCGAGGCCACGTCGACAAAGGCCCTAGCACATTCTTCGGTAGAGCGAGCGTCCTCCTTGATGCCCTCGAAGGCAGCCTCCAGAAGGTCCGTCAGCGAGGTCCCCTGTACACTACCGAGGTACACCTCGATCTCGGACCTCGTCTGCCGGTCTGTCTGCACCAGGGTCTCGAGCTGTCTCTCCCAGTCAGGCCCGAACTTGAACGTCTTGTTCAGGGCCGTCGCGAATAGCATCTTCTTGCAATATGCCACGGCCGTCGGGTATGCGGTGTCCGCCAGGTTAGGAAAATTCTGCTGAACGCCTTGAACGATCCTCGAAGGCGGGGTGCCGCAATCAATCCTGCTTTTGAAGAAATGGTGTGTGAGGGACTGCCAGTCTGGAATCGGTTGGTGGCGCTGGTCGTCGTTGAGTTGGTACCACCACGGGTCAAGGCCCTTGAGTCCCTCCTCTATGACCTCGGTGCGCTCATCCTCGCGCCCTGCAATTGCGACGATGTTCATCCATCGCGCCAGTGGATCGGAGAGGGGCAGGCATCGGTTCACAAGTTTCGTGACGGCATGGCGTGTGCTGCGGATGGCATCGCCGCCGTCGGGGAGAAACATGTAGGCGATGAGTATGGAGCGGAGCTCGAGGAGATTTTGGTCGTTGAACTTGAAGAGTGAGGCCATACTCGACAAGGCACCTTCAATGTTGACCACCAGATCCGGCGTCGGGTCTTCAGAGAGGGACCGGAGGAGCCACGCGACGAGATAGAGTTGCTTTTTCGGTTTCATTGGGCTGCTCTTGGCAAGCAACCCGATCGTCTCGAAGGCCCTCGCACGCAAGACCTGGCCATCGAGCGTGTTCATCGATTGCTTGGGCTTCGGCCACCCCAGCTCCACCGTGATGAATGTCTTCAGCATTTCGACCAGCATACGCCCGACGTCAAAGTCGCCCCGTCCAGGCCCTATGCGCGCCAGCCAGTTGAGGTACGCAAAAAGGGCCCTGTGGATCTTTGCCAGCTGGAGACCATCGGGTCTCGGCTCACCCGTAGTTGGCCCAGCAGCAGCATCACCAGCATCAGCATTAGCAGCATCCGCAGTAGTATCATTAGCATAAAGATAAGTATGAGCGGCAGCATCGGCAACATCATCATCGTTATCATCGACAAAAGTAACACTACCGCCGAAATCTCGCCTCACTACTGAGAGGATCTCCTCTGTGAATTTGGAGTCTGTAGATGCTGCCGATTTCGACAGCAGGTTGAGGATGCGTATTCGATACGGCGGCGGCAGACACGCATGCCTCTCATACAGAGTCTTCACCCGCTCCTCGTCTTCCAAGCTGGCTTTGCTCCGCATCAACATGGCCTCGCCCACGCTATTGATCCTGTAGTCCGTACTGCTCGCTGCATACACAGCGGGCAGGAACCGCTCGTCGTCCGTGAAGGCGCCGCTCTCGAGCAGCTTGACGGCACGGATCCTCGTCAACGGCAGATCTAGGCTGTCGATGCCTGTCGTGTTCCACGTCTCTGTAGGTTTTCCCAAGGTGAGGAACGTTATCTCGTCCTCGGTCAGACCAGGCGAGCTCTTCTCCTCGCCGAGAACGAGGAGGAAGATGTGGCCGAGCTTCTCCGCCACAAAGGCCGCATCCTCGGCCTCCGTCAGGCCAAGCTCGCTGCGGAAGACCTCATCCTTCTTGCTACCCCTTGGAGGGACGACTATGTCCTTCAGCACATGCAGGAACAGGTTGAACCTCGCGCCCACAGCGCGCCCCTCGTCACTCGCGATGCCCCCCAGGAGCAGCTCCACGATTGCCCTCCTCTCGTCAGGCTGGATCCTCTCGATACTGTGCTGTATGAAGGTGATATCCAGCTGCCTGATGATCGGGTGGGGGTTCTTCATGTACTGCTCCAGCAGGGTGGCCACGGGCAGCACCACATCAGGCGACTTGATGAAGGTCTTGAGGCGGTGGGCGATCAGCACGACTTTCTGCCGAACAGCTGCATGCTCGCTGCCAGCTTTGAGCAGGAGTGGTGCCAGGTAGGTCTTGAGGAGGGCAGTGAGCTTGGGTCCTTGGTTGGCGACGTTGATGATGCGCAGGTTGACCTTGTCGACGAGATCGATCTCACGCTGTTCAGCGGAGGCCATGGCGAAAGCCTGTGTGCGTTATTCTCATAAGGGGACAGTAGAGCGAGAAAGAGAGAGAGAGAGGGGGGGGGGAAGAGGAGTAAGTGAGAGATATGTATCGTGGACGTTAGATGTGGTTGGTTGAACGATGGGGGTGGATGATGATGCGTCGATGGTTAAGATGAAGGTTGATGATGAGAAATGCAGGTGCGTTTGGATGCTCGAGATGGCGGGCCCTTGCCAGATGGCGGAGAGAGAAAAGAGGGCTCCAAGAAAAATGGGTAAAAAGGGACCCCGTCTGCCATAAATGAAAGGAATAATGGCTGTTACTTTCCACAACACGAGAGCATCTTGCGTAAGAACGTGGTCTGCCTGTTGAATCGGAAAATCAGACAGCAACTTTATTCACGCGGCCTCGTTACTAAGTCGGGCTGGCCGTGCGTGCATATGGATCGATGGACTGTCACCATATGATCAAAGTACAGTACTAACACTGTCCCGGCAAGTTTACCGCTGTCATTGTTAGCGGCATTCTCTTCCCTCACGTACCAACAGCCCAACCAACCTAGCATCGACGTTACAAATTGACCAAAGCAATCATATTCTCCTCCCAGCAAATTAAATCAGAGAGGCTATATCGTTTGTCTTCGTAGATGTGGTCATCTGTAGATATCTCCGTTCGTTGCATCTATCGTCAACTAGTTCTCATTCCTGGCACATTAATTCACTGCCGTTCTCAGCATTCGATATGGGGCTTATCACAAATAGCAGTCAAGATCATAGACCAACCATTACCGCGCCTCCAGGTCCCTCTGCCTTTGTCTGCTCTACTATTCATTCCAGAAAGAGTAGTAAGAAAAGATGCAGTTGATTTATATATGCTTGCCCACTAGGTTATACATGGTATTGCTACCCTGAGGGCGCAGAGATGACCACCCCCGCTGACGCCCTCCATGACAGTCTACCTTGCCCAGCCGTTACCGCCCTGATGCAAGATACCATCCCTTTTGTTTTGTTATTTTTGATTCGTAATCAATCTCGATTTTCCCCTCCTTGCCAGCCTCCACTGGATATCTCAGCCTCCACGCATTCTGGTCCATTGTGTGAGTTGTGGGTGTGGGTGTGTCTGTGTAGTGTGTTGTGTGTATGTATATGCATCTCCTTCTGTCTCTCATCCTCTCTTGTCTCCTTCTACGACTTCTCCATCTTCTCCAGGATGGCCTTGGTGAACTCGTGCGTCGAGTTGACACCACCCATGTCGCGGGTGCGCACCTTGCCGTCGGCAATAACTGCGTAGATGGCCTTGGAGATCCTGTTGGCGTGATCGTCGAGGCCGAGGTGGCGGAGGAGCATGCTGCCGGACAGGATCAGCGCGCTGGGGTTGGCCTGGTCCTTGCCCTGGATATCGAGGCCGACGTGACGGCAGCCTGGCTCGAAGACAGCGACGTCACGACCCATGTTGCAGCCAGGCACGATACCCGGACCGCCCACCAGCGCCGCGCCAATGTTGGACAGGATGCCGCCGTACAGGTTAGGCATGACCATGACGTCGAACTGCTGGGGCCTAGAGACGCACTGCATGGAGGCGTTGTCGACGATCATGTCATTGGCCTCGATGGTGGGGTACTCGGCGGCCGTCTTCTGGAAGGTGGTGCGGAACAGGCCGTCGGCCAGCTTCATGATGTTGGCCTTGTGGATACACGTCACCTTCTTGCGGTTGTTGGCCAGGGCGAAGCTGAAGGCGAACTTGGCGATGCGCTCCGACTTGGCACGCGTGATGATCTTGAGCGACTCGACGACGCCCTTGACCGACTGGTGCTCGAGGCCCGAGTATTCACCCTCGGTGTTCTCACGGATGATGCACATGTCGACGTTCTTGTGGCGCGTCTCGTAGCCGGGAACGTTCTTGATCAGCGAGATGGAGGCGTAGATGTCGAGCTCCTGGCGCATGGCCACGTTGAAGGACTTGTGTCCGGAGCGCTCGAGCGGGGTGTGCAGAATACCCTTCAGGCCCAGCTTGTTGCGGCGCAGCGACGCCACGGCCTCCTTGAACATGTCCTCAGCCGACCTGGTGCTCGTGCCGCTGTCGATACCCGTGACGTCGAGCTGCTCCCACTCGATGGGGACATTGTCGGCCTTGAAGAGCGTCTTGACGCTCTCTGCAACCTCGGAACCGATACCATCACCGGGGATAAGGGTGACGGTGTACTTGCCGCCGTACTTGGCGGGCTTGAAGATGTCGCGCTGGACGGTCGCGTAGGATCGTGCGGCGATCGATGGTTGCTGTTGCTTGGCGGCGGCGCGCAAGAGGCTCTGTAGTGCAGCATTCATCTCGTCAGCCTCTTGTCCTCGTCTCATACACCCACACACGCCCGTCACCTCGTGTTCTTCTGTTCTCTCCTCCATCCATGGAGAATTGTTGGGGGAAATGGCTCAACGTCACTGACCGTAGCCGTCCTTGTCGAGTTTCTAGACAGCATCTTGCCGGAACTCTGAAGGAGGTAAATGGGATCCGGAGTGGAGATTTATTTGTAGGGACGAGGAAAGAAGAAGGCAAGAAGCTATAGTTTGCGGTTTGATCGTCAAGTCGTCCAGGAAGCTACCCAAGAGCACGGCGCCGACAAAAGAAAATCTGGTTCTATGTGAGGATGGGTGGTGGTGGTCTAAGTCAGGCAGAAGAGTAGAGAGAAAACCAAGCTTTGACTGCCTGCAAATAGCGCAGCGGAAACAAATTCAATGATAGAGCTATCGCTTCTTCGCTCCGTCTCGGCCGCGGTTACTGGCATGGTCGACCAAGCCCCACTAGAATTCGGAGCTTGTCGGTTTAAATGCTTGGCCCGCTCGCTTCAAGCTCGGCTCAGCGGCGCTGAAGATTGTTGCCCTCGGGAGAAGGGGGGGCGCACTGAAAGCCTGCCGCAACCGACTACAGGCGACGCGCTTCAGAGGCTTCAGGGTACTGCAAGGTACTGCTGCAGGGCCGGGCACTGACACCTGGGGGAAGATCAATCTTCCAAGATCGGACGGAAAAGGAGGGCCAAAAAGAGAAAAAGTTAGAAAGGGAAAAAAGCCACTACCAACGATCCGCCTAGTATGGGTGCACTTCTGTTACCCACATGTGACATGTTTAAAAAGCTGACCCTTTCTCTAAGCTTGACTTCTCGAATTTTGGGGCGCAAATGTTCGTCAATGTTCAATGGATATCGATTGCCATGTACCACAGTTCCCTTTCTCAAGCCTGATCTCATGATCAAAGACAGGACTTAGATACGGTTTCAGGTGCTAAAGTTCTGTCTGCAGGTTGCTTTCAAGTAACGAGAACCGTCATCGAAAGTCTTCCCTGAGGGTTCCGGTATCTAAATCTAGAGCCCACCCCCCGCCCCCCGAGGGGGAGGGGATGCACCACCTCTTCACTACATTTCATTTTGCGTGTATAGAGCAAGATCTCTTCATTCTTACTTACCTTACTTGCTGATCCACTAGATCTTCTCTTGTAATATCCACGTTACCATATAATCTGGCTGTCTAAATGGCGATCTCGGAGTACAGGAGAACGCAGTCGAAAGTCTCGAGTGAGAGAAACACTTCTCCCGCTTCTTTGAGTGGACAAGAATGAACATTAGTAGATCATCAAGCCCAACGGACGAATGACCCAACGGGAAAGAACACAACAAGGTTCACCAACCAAGATGGGGCAAAGAAGCACGAGGTCCAGCAGGAGTAACATAAAGAGCAAGTACAGCAGACGACACGGACCATTCCAGAAACCTGCAGACTTCTTCAGACAGAGCCTGATCATTCAACTGTCGTTCCGCCGAATCATAGTCGCCGGACCAGCCTCGTACAGTCCTGCTGCACGCACAAGGAACAGGTGAAGCCGCATCAAAATGGTCGTCGACCGTTATCGAAACGACAAATTAGGGGACACGAATGGCCGTGCAAAACACGCTGCAGACAATTGCGTTTTTTGTAATACCAGCAACGAAATGATCGAAAACACAAGCCAATAAAGGCGGATCCATGATTAACAAGGGCAGAAATCTCATCAGTAAAGCATAGTTCGGCATTCAAAGGACCTAACGTCAGTCGCAGCTTGCAAGAGACGCAGTACTACCACCTAAGATAAGTCCACCGCAGACAAGAAACCTCACTACATGAAGCAAGCTCCCCACATAGCACAAAATTGGGTTTGTCCAGCATGTGCAGAACAAATCCCGAAGTTGTGGTGGGGGGCAGGCAGTATAGCAGGAGAGAAAACCAATGCGGTGTTGCGCCAAACCGAAACCGAAACAGACTAAGAAGGGAAAAATCAAATCTCAAAAGAGTGGCATTCCGAAAGTCGGCCATTGTCCATCCACCCCATCTGATATATTGCCCGCTCACTAGAGTTCGTGCTGTTTGCGGTCGAGGGATTTGTGATGTACTGAGCCGCTCGGAGGGAGAGAAGGTATAAACGCGAGGCCAAGTCGAAGTCAAAGTCGAAGACGCAGAGAGTGGCCGCTTGAGAAGCTAAATTGTGATGTTGAGCGCCGGCGGAAGAAAAAGAACTGTCCGAGACGAATAATAGGCATCTCAGAAACTAACGCGACGAAGCATCCCCAAGCAGAACGCAAACCGCAGACCGCAGAAAAAAGACCGTGAACAAGGAGTGTAGAGACTCCGGATATCATGAGAACTTTTCCTGCCGTTAACTCCACGCGCCTCAACACCATGTAGATGCGACAAAAGGCACTGGCAGGGACTTCGGGGTGGCGATTACTAAAAAGAAGTGATAACGTTAGACATTCGCCATCAGTTAAAGAAAAGAAACGGGTGTGTGGAGGATGAGAACAGGAGATGCACAAAAATCAGGGCGAGCTCAACAAACGTACCGCCATAGGAGGAGGCGGAGGGTTGCCGCCGAAGCCACCACCGAAGTGATGAGGGCCGTAGGGACCCGGGGGACCACCACCGTAGTGGGGGGGAGGAGGGGCAGGACGGTATGGAGTACCCACGCCAGAATTGTTCTGAGAACGTCCCCAAGACAGGCGGACACGGGAGTTGCCAATCGGATAGCCCTGCATCTGATTGATGGCCATCTCGGCAGCGTGGCGGTGAACGAACTGGACAAAGCCACAGCCCTTGCCAGGGGGGATCTTGACATATGTGATCTCGCCGAAGCCCTGGAAGAAAGAGCGGAGCTCGTCCTCAGTCACGTAGCCAGAGAGACCGCCAACAAAGACAGTCGTGTTGTTGGGGTCGGTGAACTGGTTCATCTGCCCAGTCGGCTGCATCTGTCCATAGCCGTTGTTGGGATAAAAGGGGGCGGGGGCTTGCTGCATGCCCCAGCCAACTGGCTGCATGGGATTGCCCATCATGGGACCGCCGTGACCTCCGCCGTTTCCGTAAGGGTGCTGCTGGTTTCGACTGTGAGGACTTCTAAGTTAGCCTGGTGTGGTCTGGCAGGAGTGGACGGACAGAGCATACCGCTGCTTAGGCGTGGCGGTGCTGATTCGCATAGGTCGGTTACCGCAGTATACGCCCTGCATTTCCATCAGAGCACGCTGTTGATCACCCTCGTCGGAGAAGCGGACAAAGCCGTAACCACGAGATTGGCCGGTGTTGGCATCGGTCATGATCTTAGCACTCTTGCACGAAGGGAAGCGCGCCTGGAACAGAGAGACCAAGACGTACTCGGTCACCTCAGGACCAAGGTCACCGACGAAGATCGAGAACTCGGGGCCGCGATCGTCACTATTCATGCACCAAAAATTAGAGGCGGACTCAGGAGGGGAGACAGGGCAAGTAAGAAACGCACCGTCGGTCCACGAGACCACCACCGGAGGCCCAGTTGAGCTTGAAGTGTTTGCCGTTGGAACCCGGGATGGGGGTTCCAGTCAGAGACAAAGCCTTGTTAGCGGCCTCAGGTCCAGGGAACTCGACGAAACAATAGCCAGCGTTGCTGCAGAAAGTCAGTATTGCGGGCTCAATAAGCTTAGAAAAGCCAGGCCCGGAGGGGGGGGGGGCGGTTTCAAGAGAAGAGGTGAATAAATATAGGAAAGTGAGAAGTATGTCCGAGCCAGCAGAGGGCAAAGGATGAATCCTCACGAGGTTCCACGGCGTGGAAAGGCTTGTGAGCATTGCTTGGGATGAATGGGAAGAGACAGCCGAGGAATACGGCAAAGATGACGACACAGGCGTCGACCCGGGATTCAATGGTGCGAGTGCGGGTTTGAGGTTATGGAGCAGAGAAGGAGCGAGGCAAGACAGTGAGTGCCAATATCCTGGGCTCCAGGCAGCCCGCTTTTGCGATTCCATGTCCCTTCTCTTCCGAGGGGCAGGAGTGTGGATGAAGGGGAAGGAGGAGGCCGAGATTTTGTACGTACCCAGAGTTGCGATCACGAATGATCTTCACGTTGACAATGTCACCAGTCTGGTTCTGGAAGAGAGACTTCACGAAAGACTCGTCCATCCAAGTATCGAGGTCCCCCATCCTGGGAAGTTGATGTCAGGATTATCTCCCGAGGAGCCTGGAATGTGGAACCCACTTACCAAAGAGTACGGGCAGCCTCGTTGGAGACAGACTGGCCGGCAGGCGCAGCAGGCAGCTGGTTGTCCATACCATTGCCGCCGCCATTCGAGTCAAAGCCACCGTTGGTTGGGAAAGACATCGTGACTAGAGAGCGTTAGACACAGAAATGAGCTGAAAGAGCAAACAACAGGTGTCCAAAATGTCAAACAGATGTGGGGAAGGTAGCGGCTGGATGGCGAACCAACGAGTACGCTGAAGGGACAAGAAAGTAGCAGAAAGAGAATGCAGGATGCGCAAGGACGAAGTGAAACGGTTGCGGAACAACAGACACGGGTAAACCGTTTTGAACGGTGCCCGCGGATGTTTGTCTTTGTTGGCAGGGGGGAAAGAAGTGATAAAGATCTGTGGGAAGACAAGAGGGGGATTGATTCTGTGCAACTCTGTACACAGATCGAATCTCCCTGAGAGCCCTACAAACGGCAGGAGAACAGTGACTCGTCTATACTGGTCAATTGGCCAGTCAGAGAATTCAATGTCCTAGATGGGTGTCGAAACATCACTGATGTATTCCTACAAGCCATGTGTAATAGTCACCACAAAAAGCCTGCGAAAGCCTGGGCTCAAACAACTGCACTGAAAGACCTTAAAAACTCATCCTGTGTCAAGTTTGGAGCTCCATGTAGTCAGGGTCTGAAGGCCTCGACAAGGAACACTTGACTGGCCATGAACATCTCCTCAGAGCATAGTGCATGTACAAGTATAATGGATCAACTGGGGAATGATGAACTATCATAACCCTTATGAGAGCCCGTATTGACTTGTGCTGCTGTTCAGAGCAATAGCGAAGCGTTCGTTCACAGCTTGAGAAACATCCAGAAGGGCATCGCAAATGAAACAGCTCAGTAAGGACAACCCCCAAAAAGCCTCAGTGACAACAATATTAGGAAGAACTCTCAACCAGGATAGTGGCTTGTCCTGCTGCCAAGACAGTCATAAGCTGCAAGGCATTCCAGCATGTTGCCTTCAGAAGAGGCAAGAGCCAGTCCAGACCAATTCTGAGACCATGAGGGACAGTCAAGGAAGTAAGGAATGCTGTGCATGAAACGAATTGAACCAGAGCAGTGTGTGTGGGTGATTTGGCAAGTCCGAGAGTCGATAAGGCAGGAAGGGGGGGGGGGGTGGTTGCGGCAGCATTGTGGAAAACTCATCAAAGATCTCGCAATTGCTTGACCAGATAAGGTGGCATAGAGGTTTCTCTTGCTATGTGTAGCATGTGAAGTGTCCTAGCACTCAGCAAGGAGAGGTATTTATGGATGTCAGGGTACAACAATTGGGGGGGGGGGGGTATGAATGCGTTGCGATGTGCTCACAGCATATTAAGAAGAACAACAGAAAGCAGGAAGGACAAAGGTTGATTGAGGCAAGCCAACAGAGACCAAAATAGCTTATAACTTACGAAAATAAATGGAATGTTGTTCGTAACAGGGTCAGATAGATTCGAAAATAACGGGCCCTGCGGTAGAAGGGTCAGTTAGGCCGAACGAGTCGTATCATGAATAGCCTTGTCAAGCATAAGGGCAGAGCAAGAGAGAAGAAGAAAACAGAGTGGAAAAATGAAGCAGGCCAAGACAAGGACTGAAGCTTGTTAACTGAGCAAGCCTCTGATCATTAGGGAAGGCGGTCGGCCAACGCTTTGGGGTGATGGGATGGCCATCTGACCAAAGGTCCTGTTCCTTGTTCGCCGGTACGTATCCTTCGATGAAGAACAACATCTCCCTGCGTAGCCTGTGGCAGACTGCCCACAGCTGGCAGTCGTGAGCCGGCTGGAGGCTGATGCAGCAGAGAGAAGTTGTCCAGCCGTGGGTCTCGGAGAACAATCCCTTACGAGCTATCCTTGGCAGTCAAACGACGACTGATCCACATCATCAACCTGGGCAGAAATCTGCTAGAGAGGCACCACGGACCACGACTCCATAGTGCCAAACCCGTGCAGTGCCAAGTCTTGGATGTTAAGCTTGGGGGGGTGACGCCGACAAAGGTTGATCCCATTGAGTTGGCCAAAAGGGTTGAAGTGGCGGCCGAAGTCGGAACCTGACCCAAGAGAGGAAAGCCACTCTCTGTGACCAGCCATTTTGGACATGGCAGAAGAGCTGCCGTGCGGGTACTAGCTGAGACCAATGACGGAGCCAAGCGGGCAGAGCGTCCTCCTGGCAACTCGCAACCACAATTCCGGCCTGTACTGGCGGGTATAGGTGCTCGGCAACCCAAACCCCCAAGCAGGCGCATATTGAATGAGCCTCAGCAACAGCCAGGATGGATCATAAAAGGAAAGATGCCATCAAATTGCCAGTCTCCTGATCTTTCGACTGTTCGAGAACTTGCTGCACGGTCAAACGAGGGCAACCGCAAGCCCCAAAAAGCACCCATCCTTCATTTCCGCAGCGGCTGCTTGGGTGCTGGAGTGCCATCGACTCCTCCTTGATCCTTGGCTTGAGGAAGAGCTGAAGGCCGGGCTGTATCGGGATATGTCCAAATGCCAGAGCAAGACCGCCGGCAACACAACATGAGTTCCAACATGCTGTATCGCTAATCCAAGCTGGATGGTCCTTCTGCGGGGCCGGAATAAAGGAGAGTCCAAGAGGCGTCCAATTGCTCCAGGTTGACGGTTCCATCCATAGTCGCATGTATTGTGGTCTCATGGGAAATCACGGCAGGCGTAGATTGAAAAGAAACAGACAAGAGATAAAAAGAAACTCAAGCTTACAAAGGTAATCAGGAAACCAGTCGGGAGTCAAAGACTTTTGATAAGTATGACGCCTTACAGCTTGAAGACAGGAAGTCGAAGAGTGGTACAGTAGACTTGTTGATAGAATGGAAACGAAGGTTAAGAGGCGCTTCTGCCCTGTAGGGTAGATCCAACGCAGGCAGGAGATAATCTAATAGCAGGTTAGCATACTCAAATCGCTAGACAAGTACAGCTGAAGGCAGCAAAGAACAGCCACGTTCAACTGGACAACATAGAAAGAAGTCGGAAAACATTAGATGAAACATCTCCCGAGAAGAGGGCCTGAGCAAGATGAAAAAGGACAAGCGAAGAGTTCAACCGTCAGGAATAAATCCAGGGTATCAGGATTTGAATGTTGTTCTCGGCGCGACGGTCATCGTGGCAAGCCTTCCGGAAATGGGACCAGCTGGACACTCCTTCAAACCCCGAATCCAGAAAAGATAAACAGGGTTCCAGAACCATGTTAGGGAGACCCAGGCCAGGGTTTAGCGATGAAGTATGGTTTATGGTGACCTGTACACGGCTCGACACTGCGGATCCCTAGGCTGCATATCTAGTCGAGATATGCTTGACAGCGGGGGGTAGCATGGCAACGCCCCCCGTAAGAAGTCCGCAAACTTCGGGACCAAGCTCCGCAGATCCATTGTCGAGGCCGCACCAGCAAGTTGCATTGTATGTACTCGGCGTATCAAATTCGTACGTCGAAACATCCAGCGGCACGCACTGCAGCATGTCACAGGCGACCGTCTCCCCATGAGGCCGCGCACCCGAACAGGTAAGCGTGCAATCGACATTCGAAATGTCGGATTCGGGACGGCTGCTCTCACGCCATTCGTCCTGGCCATCACAACCCACAGTACCTGCTGAACTTTAATCTTTCCTAGCCCGCAGGTTGCCCCCACCCTTTGGACGTGAGGAGATAGCAGTTCGAGGTTGTCGCCAGATGCACTCGGTCGCATCTCACAGCTGATCATATCAAATAATCGCCGTAATGTTGATTGACTGCGCAGCACAGCCTATGCCGGCGATACCGGGATCACAGCATAGCATCTCGGAATCGAGTCTCCTCGCCTCGACAGCGCCGGAGGATCAACCTATGCCATGTACGACAGACGGAATACCATTGGGGTCGACATCGCCAGCACGGACGGTGGTGTCCTTGGATTCGACAGAGATGGTGGGGTGGTTCCGAATCGGGCCTCGCATAGGCCAGGGGCTCCACAGGATCCGGGGGGGGGTTTGAATGACGAACAAGGTCCCAAATCTCCGGGAAAGCTTTGCCATGACGCACACAAGAAAAAATTGGAGAGAGGATACAGGACCCAAGAAAAACGACATGTTGAAATTTAAAAACCGCAGACGATTAACGAGAGGAAGCTCACACACTCACGTTGATTTAGGAAAATAGTGGTCGCAATACACTGCTGCTCAAAAATGGGGCCTGAATCAAGGGGCAACCAAATGGTGCTCCTGAATGCGACGGCGGGAAAGACGAGACGAGCCGTAGAACGCCGGGTGCGAGTTGCCAAGAGGTGACGACAGGGTGTCTTATATTCCTATCGGATTCGTACCGAGACAGTTCTCTTCCTCGAGGGAGGGCCCAGGAAGATAGGTCGAGGTGATCAAGAGGCCGTAGGCTAGACAGCGCACGTTCGTTCAGATGGAAGTCGTAGTCCCAAGGGCGAGCAACGTAGTCGCGAGGAAATGTCAATCGCAAGAGGTGACTTCGACGGTCGCGACGGTCGCAAGATGCAGGTCGTGTACTCGTCGTGACAGCGCGCAGGTGACGTCCGTTTCGATGACCTATCCTGCTGATATCGGAGCAGTGGCTTGACCTGATGAGGTGACTGGAGGATCGCGAGACGAGGCAATGAAGGACGCTCGGTTGGTCTGCCGGTCGGGCGGTGGATCGGGTCTAGAATACTACCGTTCGGAGGCGGAAGTCGCGAACGAGACTGAGAGACGATAGAACTTCGAATTGGGATGTTTTCTGAATCGTGTTGCGCCAAGCTGATGAATATTGTCTGTCGACAGCAAAATGCACAACCGACTACAATAACAACCAACAACAAGACAGTACGACACACGCACAACAGAAGTGGCGTCGAGAAGAAGAAGAGAAGAAAAAAAAGATGCTTCCGCGAAAGCAACGCTCAGGACGGACGCGAGGGAAGTGAAACGAGGTGAGATCGTTCGCGATGTTCGCAGCTTGTATCAAACGCGGGAAGAGAGGAAGAAGAGAGAAAAAGCGCAAAACAAGACAAGACGACGGAGGGAGAGGTGGTGGCAGTGTCGAGTAAGTAGAGGA